GTAGAAAGTCTCACACGAATTGTTTGTCGCCTTGCACTACCAATATTCCTTTTCGTTTTCAGATTTGAAAAAGACCACTGTTATTATTATTTAAAAAAAAAACTAAAAGAAGCGTAAGTGTTAGTGTAACTATTCATTCACTGTAGCTCTAGATTTATTATCTCTATTCATTAATTTTTTATTATTTTTGATCCCTCTTTCTTTGATAGATGAATTAATTAGTCACTTTGGTTTGAAAATTAATTTCTTTTGTCTTTTTTACTATTTTACAATTTTTTTAAGAAATAGAAAAAAATAATAATTCTTTGAGAAATAAAGTAATTAGTCCCTTTGATTTGAAAAATATTTTTTCTTTTTTACCATTTTTATTTATTGTTTTAAAAAATAAAAAAAAGTAAAATATGAAAAAATATTTTATTTTTTTGAAGAAAATCATCTCATCTAATCAAAAGTATCTTAGTATTGTATAAAGAGACCATGAAATCCTATGTTGGGTTGTTTTAATGATCCTTATTCTTTTTCAGGTGATTGTATAGATTAATGTGGGGGAAAAAATGAGGAAAATAAAAATAAATGCAGCAGAGGGAGGTGGAGATGGTTTTTGAGACAATGAATTGGAAAGAGAGAAGTGCAAATATGCTTCAATAATTCATAAAAGTGGTACCTAGAGATCTCATTTTCTTTTTACTTTTTAGGACCACCATGTAGAATTAAGAAAATAGTAAATTGGAAGATTAAAAAAATGATCTTAGAAAAAAAAAGTAAAATATGAAAAAAAAAATTATTCGTGATTAATATTGATTAAAAAATTAGAAATTTTATTTTTGAAACCAAAAGAATTAATTAATTCATTTCTCAAAACGAAATGAACTAATTTATAATTAATTTGTAATTCAAGAATCTCTTTCATCATAAATTAAGAATTCATGAAAATCAATTTTGTAATAGTTTTTATTTTAATTTATTGATTTTAATATATTCCATACGAGTTTAGATGGTTTTTTTTTTTTAAATTTTTTTATACTATATATTCTGAATCTATTGAATATGATCATAATATATATATATATATATATATTAAAAATTAATTATGTATTTGCTACATAATATCGATTATTTATTATTTATTCCTTTTTATGTTCTCAAATCAATATTTTTTTAAATAAAATAACGTTTTAGAAGAACTTTGTTATTATTCAAATACAATTTTTTATATTAATATTATTGATCATTGTGTCAATAAATATATATATAAATCAAATGATTTTGCTCGATCAATAAATTTGATTTATATTAATTATGAGAAATAAATTTTTTATCCGTATTATACCATATGAATCCTTGACTTTATGTATATAACGGTTATCCGACCGCATGACATAGCACGGGTATCCATCTAGTTTTGGACTATAAAAGCATCTTTTTTTTTTCTCAAAAAGTTTTCTTGTCATGCATCAAGTTTTTCTTAATTTACAATTTAATTTGTAATTCAAAAATCTCTTTCACCGTAAATTAAGAATTTATGAAAACTAATTTTGTAATAGCTTTGATTTCAATTTATTGATTTTAATATATTCCATACACCTTAGATTGTTTTTTAAAAAAAAAATTATTTGTGCTATATATTCTGAATCTACCGAATATGATATATATATATTAAAAATTAATTGTGTATTTGCATACACAACATCAATTATTTATTATTTATTCCCTTTTATGTTCTCAAATCAGTATTTTTTAAATAAAATAATTAAAATAATGTTTTAGAGAAAATTTTTAATTATTCAAATATAATTTTTTATAATAATATTATTGATTATTTTGTTAATAAATATATATAAATTAAATAATTTTGCTCAGTCAATAAATTTAATTTTTATTAATTATGAGAAATAAGATTTTTATCCATATTATATCACATGAATTGTTGACTTTATATATATAATAGCTATTTAATCGTAGCGTAACGCGAATACTTATTTAGTTTTGGACTATAAAAGCATCTTTCTTTTTTTATTTTTTCTCAAAAAGTTTTCTTGTCCTGCATCAAGTTTTTCTCTCCTCTCCTTCACGAGCACATTAAAAAAATAAAATAGTTATAATCTTACGTTTTTTCCTCCTACGTTAAGGATTCATTCATTTTTTAATTAATTTATTTAATTTCGGTAAAGAAAAAAATAAAAAGACAAGATTAAAATTAAAAAAAATTAAGTTGATATATATTGTAATCTTATGACGACAGTACGATTAATTAAAAAAATTAATAAAATGATACGATTGTCACTGATTTGAACAAAGGCAGTACGTAGTTGCAGAATATTTTGCAGGCACAGGCACTCCATGTTCTTTATTTTTCTCATTTTTTTTTAGCATGCTGTTTTCTCTATTCATTGTTTGATTCTTGCAAATAAAAAGCATTATTACAAAAAAAAAAAAAAAAAAAACTAAATCAGGTGGTAGTAATATCGTTGATAGACTGTTCATTGTGATACATTATCACTGTGGGTGCCATCCTTTTTTTTTTCTCAGTCATTGATTGCCTTCTACAACCTTCTCCTTACCGTTGGATGTGTTTCCGTTTGTCTTTTTTTTTTTTTCCCCCAAATAAATTAATGCATCTACTGCCTTCGCTTTCCCGTTTTCCATTTTCTGCCCTTCTATTTTGACTTTAATTTCTTTAATGCCGTTTAATGGATTGTGATATTACTCTTGTGCCCTAAGCTATTTTTTCCTTGGCTCTCTTGCTTTGGTGCCTTTTTTTATCATTAAATTTTTCCTTTTGCTGAAGCATTAAATGCTAGAAGTTCATGGCCCATCATTTCGTTTGGTCCTCTGGTTTTTTTTTTTACTTTTTGTCCTTAAAATATAAGTTGATATTACTCCTATTTTACTTTTGCTTTTTTGACTTATAATCTTTATTTTATTTTTACTTTTAATAAAAACGTGCTTCTCACATGTTTTTAATCTGCTAACTGTTGGATGGAAACCTGCTAACTTGGTTTTAGTAAATAGACGAACTTGATTCTACACATGCTTCTCACAATTTTTTTTTAAAAAAATTTTTTTACATCAAGAGGAGGTACAATGAACTTCTTGTTTTGTTAATAAAAAAGAGTTAGCTTTCTCAATCCTGGAATTTTCTTATAAGAAAATTTGGGGAATCAAAGCGACGCACGTGACAAATAGAAAACCTTATAATAATCGAAGTCAAAACCGACACCATTTGATAATTTTACCAGTTGCAGATGAAGCGAAAGAGAAATCTCAAGTTGATTAATGAAGACAGTAAACGGTAGCTGTAATATGAGACTCAGTAAAACAAATGACCATATTCATTAAAAAAGAGAAACAAGAAGAAATTGCTTAATTAAAATTTAGGTTGGTCATTAATCGATCTCGAGGCAGGTGATAAAGACTTCATTAATATTTTACATTTCATTATCTGTGTTTGGTTAATTGTTGGTTCTGACACTGGCAATCATCTCAATCCAGTCACAAGATGGCAATTCGTGTAGCATCAAGTACTAGGAAGATAGAGAAGAGGGACCAAGTTTCACTAGATATGAACAAATTAGAGAAGTCTCTGAGTGCAGACTTGGAAAAATCGTATGCTTTCTCCAATAAATGTTGCATCTATCGAGTTCCCGAACGACTACGACATTTAAATGAAAAGGCTTACACGCCTCAAGTCGTCTCCATAGGCCCATTTCACCATGGTGCAGAAAAGCTAGAAGCTATGGAAGACCACAAAAGAATGTATCTGCAAGAATTTGTTCGCCTGAGCAAGGTAAGTGTAAAGGGCTTAGTTCGAATTGTTGAGAAGAATGAAGCAAGATTGCGTAGATGTTATGCAGAAACCATTAAATTAAGTAGTGAGGACTTCATAAAAATGATCTTATTGGATGCTATCTTCATCATTATGGTCTTGCTGAAATATTGGGGTAAAGTAAAGTGTAGAAAAGACCGCATTTTCGGCCGTCCATGGAAGTTAGTTGAAGTAGTGACCGATATCTGCTTGCTTGAAAATCAGATTCCGTTCTTCATTCTTGAGAAGCTGTGTAAGAAGTTCCATGTAGTCGATATGGCTCATAATGGAATTACCGAGGTTACCCATTCGATTTTAAAAGGTAGGTGGGCTTCGTGGGTACCGGACGACATTTTGGAGAAAATCAGTTCATCTAAGTTGGAACATTTTGTTCACTTTCTGGAAATTTGTCAACAGCCGACTGAGCCACAGTGCAGGAAAGATGAATTAGGAGCTTCAGATAATGCACCCAGAACTGCAACACAGCTCCAAGAAGCCGGAGTCAGGTTTGTGGTGCGTCAAGACAGCCGCTTACTAGACATTAAATTTAGCACAGGGACTTTGGAAATTCCACGGTTAGACGTACAGGATTCGACGGAAATCTTATTGAGAAATCTCCAAGCCTATGAGCAATGCCATTGTGACAACAAATATATAAATGACTATATTTGTTTCATGGGTTACCTTCTCAATACTCCTAACGATGTGCATATACTCGTTGAAAAGCAAATAATGAAAAGAGTGCTATCCAATAATCAAAAAGTAACCGACCTTCTTCACAATCTTTGCAAAGGAGCTATTGTCTCTGGACATTTTTCTGGCCTTCGTGAAGACCTGAATGCATATTCCAGAACCCATTGGCCCAAGTGGCGGGCAAATTTGGAGAATGTTTATTTCAAAAATCAATGGACTGCCATCTCTGTTATTGCAGCTGCTATCCTCCTCATACTCGCTGTCATACAGACAGTATGCTCAATCATGCAAGTTGGTCAACAATAGGCGCTTCGTGCTTCAGTTTCGTGAGAATTTTTAATGGCTAAGTATTAAATTTTTCATTTTAAAGTAACTGCTATATATGTACTTAAAATCCTAAGTAATGTTAGTTACTTTCATGTCTTACTATCCTCTGTGGCACTGTTAAATCAATAAAATGCTTGTGAAATTGTTGTTGATTAATCTTAGTTACTTTTACGTCTTATTTTCCAATGCAGAGACCTTCCTGGATGTTCAAGATAGCAACTCTGTTCGTAAGCAAGCCTGTCATTTTCCTCCACACATTTTGATTAGTGGACCACAAAATTTTCTTAAAAATTTCTAATCATGCAAGTTTTTTTCCGTTGAGAACACGTGTCGTTACTTTAATAGCTCATATGCTTAAAAGTATTTCTTTCAGGACACATCTCGTTATTTTAATAGTTCATATGCGCATAATAACACCTGAGATTGGTCAACGAATCGAAATTACTTAATTGCGGATAAAAAAAAAGTTTGGAACCAAAATCAGAATAAAAAAGATTTAGACTTTTTTGCCATTGACAGCATCAACCACCTCTTGTGTGGTGCTATCTCCACCGATGTCTTTGGCTCGACACTTCCTTTCAGATATTACATGCTTCATTGCAGTCTGAAGTCTACCAGCAAATGGAGGAAACTGGAGGTGTCTGAACATCATGGCAGATGAAAGGACCAAAAATAGCAACCTCCCTTTACCATATACTGCCTTTAATCCTAGCAATCATCTCCACCAAAAACCCGCCGCCGCAACAGCCCTTGCTGCTGTTCTTCTTCCTTCGCCAGCCTCTCCATAAAGAACCTCTGTTTCATCCTTCTCCAAAACCCCGAGCACCACTCCAGCCTATGGCTCAACAGCAACTCCAGGTGTTGGCAGCACAGCAGCCACAAGGGAAGCCACAAGAGGAGCCACAAGGGAAGCCACAAGAGGAGCCAGAAGGAGGACTCCCCAATACTCCTATCCTAAAAAATCATCTGGCAAGCAAAAAATGTAGGGAGGCAAACAAAACATTGCAGCCGCCCACTCCTTCACAGACCTCACAAGGCTTCATCTTCTTCCCCATATCCATCTTCAACCCCCACCTGCGGTAACAAAAGGGGAGGAGGAGGCAGCCACAATTCATCTTCCTCCTCCCTCATCTTTGGCAGAACAAAGCTCCACACGACAACCCACGACTCCTCCTCCTCACAAGCTCCAGATTATCCTCCGCGCAGCATCTCCCTCCAAACATGCCATCTTCCTCCCTCCTCCAAGCCTTTACTAACCACCATCTCTAAAATACCCTATAACTGTCCAACCGAAAGCTACACACCATCCTCCTCTTTCACTAAAACCTGTACACTGCCACCATTCAAAACCCCCATAAACCGCTCACAAGCACAACTCAACCCGCTAGCCATTCACCTACAATAACAAAAAAAAAGTACTCCTTATCATAGCCATCCGATCCCTCTTACCTAAAAATATTGCCAAACCAAGCACCAAATACCCTTTATCTCCTCACCCGCCAGTCGAACACACCAACACCATCCTCGTTGCAGCACCTTTCAGATCAATCACAGCAGCTTATGCTCCCCAACCTACCACCAGGGACTCTGCATAACAAAAGGCCCATTCAGGTCTCATATTCAGGTGTTCTCAGATCTTCGTCTAGTTGGATTAATGCTATGCCCTATGGTTATTGGAAGAACAGCAGTCTCGCAGTAACCGCTTCCCTCCACTGCCTAAAACTCGACAGCCGTGACCCATTCTCCACCCCTTACAACCCTCACAACTAACCACCCTTCCTTCGTTGCCCGGAACCGCTACCTCTGACAGACAAAATCAAAAACACATGATATGCATACTTTCTAAAGCCCATAATCCTCCACACCCAGATACCCAATAAACCACCACCAGTATCGGTCCTCTCCTTCATCAATACCCATTGACCAGCGACCACACAAATTCTCTCCACATCACCACAAACTCACGTTTTATAGAAAAAGATGCGTGAATGTTGTAATGGAGATAAAAGGAGGCAAAAAGAAATCTAGCAGTAGCAGCAGTAACTCAGTTCAATACAAAGTCCCTCTTGGTTCTAGCATTGAAGACGTTCGTCCAAACGGTGTCATTGAAAAGTTTCGATCTACTGCTGACTCCAACTGCGTGAGGATGCTGTCCTAATACGATCCGAGAACAAATACAGGCACCTTCAGTAGCCTCTCTCTCAAGCTCCCAAAATCCGAGGCAACAAGAGGAGAGGATGGAAGATATGAAGGGGATTCAGATCACTCTGATCTGGAGGCTTCGGGTGTAAAAGTATGGATGGCAACAGGGTTGTGGAATCAGAAAAGAGGCCACGAAAACAAAGGAGAAGACTGGCAAATGGAAGAGAAGAACCTTTGAATCACGATGAGGCAGAGAAACAGGACGAAGGAGAGGAAATCGTGTGATTTCGGTGGAGATTTCAAAATGGAAGAGGCAAAGAAGATGAGGAGAAGATGGAGGGTATAAAACTTTGATTTTGTTTCATTTAGAGGTTTGATTTTGTTATTAAAAAAAAACAAAAAAGAAAAAAGGGGGAATAAGGGCTGGACTTGTCCATCCCGCTGTCCAAGCAGCCCAGCCCAAGCCCAAAAATGGGAAAGACTGGCCTGCCCAGAAGACCAGCCCAGCAGCCTGGCCCAATGAGCCCACGGCCCACCAAAAAATGTCTAATGTTTTTTTAGTTTTAATTGCATTTATTTTGTTTTAGATAATTTGTCTTGAATGTTTACTTATGCATGTTTATTTTCTGTTTAAATTAGATTTTAATATTCTATTTTTTTTAGAATCCTATTTAGCTCATTTTAATTAATTTTAATTTTAGAATTTTATCTCCATAATTAGATTAGATAACCAAATGATAAATGAATTATCGAGTCTTTTAATTTTTAAGGACTGATGACGATTCTCGATCAAAAAAAAAAAAAAAGCATACTTTAATTTTAATTTTTTGGTTTTCACAATTAGTTTAGGCAACTAAATGATAAACGAATTGTCGAATCTCTTAATTCTTAGGGATTGATAACGATTTCCCATCGAATCATAAGCCATAAGCATTAATCCTTAGGAATTGATGATGATTCCTATTTTAAAGTAAAAATTACTCTTGTGGTTTTGATGACATGGTAGCTGGGTTTTGTGAAATTTACCTCCTAACTTATCAATTGTTAAAAGTTACTTTTAGAATAATATAAAAATTTTCAGTAATGTTTTTTTTGTCAAAAAGTATGAGATAATTTACCTACCTTTCTATATTCTATAAATAAATAAATAGATCTTCTATATATTCTCCATGTCATCGGAATTTTATTGATTATGCACACCAAAAAAAAAATCATATATATATAACCATGGATATATATTTCAACATTCTCTAAAATTTGAAACATAATCAGACCCATGATTTTGCATGGCTTGTTTGTTCTTCATTGCAGTTTTAATATACTTGCCAATATTTTCTGGTCCTCGGTTTCCTTCCCCCATTTTCCCTTTCTTCTTCTTCTTCTTCTTCTTCTTTTTAATATATATGTTTGTTTTTGAAGTTCAAGGTGGATACACGAAGCTGGAGTTCTTCTCCATGTTTTCTATTATCCGAGAATCAGAAGAACCATATATTATTTTCTTCTTTCATCTGGTTTCTGGAGTTCAGAGAGCTGCATATACTCATACACACGCTTGTGCACACAGGCACCCACTGTGTGTCTAATTCTTATAATTTAAGAAGGTGTGCCAATGGTATGATGCTTCAAAGAAATCTACATGCCCATAAACATGCTATAAGTTTTAAATCATTTGGCTTAATAAGAAATCTCCTCACCTAATCATCTTTGCACCCTTTGAACTGGCACAAAAACATAAGAAAACATACAGAATCCAACAAGGTCCTGCAACCCACTCGATTTCACTTCATTACCTTTATCTTTTCCACTTAAAAACTATTATGCGCATTAGCAATGTCTGTTTTTTGTTCCTTATTTATTTGTCATTGGTGAAGACACTAGAATCTTTAAGTTTCTTTAATGAGGCCCATACAAAGATTACTGACGAGGAAAAGAAAACCTCTTGGAATGGTATTGAACTACCGTCTACCTATTCACTTCTTCAGAACCTTTAAAATCATAGCCAACACCAGCACAATCCATTCAGTGATCTAACTTCAAGAGTTCTTACGGAAGTTCCAGTGAGAGCTCTATGATGGGAAAATTTAATTCAGGAAACACAATGACAACAAAAAATGGTGGTGTTGCCCTCTTTTTCTTCTCTCTTTTTCTTCTCTCAAGTAAGTTTTGTGCCACAAATATGTTATTTTCAGTTTTCTTGTTCATTTTTTTTTCCAACTATTATGACAATCTTTCGCTTTGACAGATGCAATTTCTTCAACGAAGATTGGGCTGAACTATGGTCGTATTGGGAATAACTTGCCATCTGCATATCAATCCATAGAATTTCTTAGATCCATGAAAGCAGGCAGTGTGAAGCTCTATGATGCCAACCCTGAAATCCTGAGACTCTTAGCAGGAACCAACATCCATGTCTCCATTATGGTTACCAATGATGAAATTATCAACATTGCTGCCAATCAGACCACAGCAAACAAATGGGTTGAAGACAATGTCCTCCGCTACTACCCTGAAACCATGATCCGAACCATTCTCGTTGGTAATGAAGTTCTCAGCGACTGTTCAGATGCAGGAAAACAGATTTGGAATCATCTTGTGCCTGCAATGCGCAGAATTAAGATCTCTCTGAGAGCTCAGGATATTCGTAACATCAAAGTAGGTACTCCACTAGCCATGGACGTGGTGCAAACAGCATTTCCACCATCCAACGGGACTTTTCGGCCTGATATCTCCAGTACAGTGATGGTGCCATTGCTAAAATTCTTAAACAGTACCAAGTCATTTTTCTTCATTGATGCCTACCCTTATTTCCCATGGGCTGCAAACTCGCTCAACATAAGCCTCGATTTCGCACTGTTTCAATCAAACGTCCGATACACCGACCCTGGCACGGGCTTAGTCTACACCAATCTCCTGGACCAAATGCTGGACTCTCTTGTTTTTGCCATGACCAAACTTGGATATCCCAATATCCGGCTTTCCATAGCTGAAACTGGCTGGCCTAATGCAGGCGATATCGATGAAGCTGGGGCTAACGTTAACAATGCAGCTGTTTACAATCGGAATCTTGTTAGAAAGATGACTGCTAGGAACCCAGTCGGCACGCCGGCTAGACCTGGTATACCCATACCAACATATATCTTTGCACTGTACGATGAGAACCAAAAGACCGGCCCTGGAACAGAGCGGCACTGGGGCTTGCTGCATCCAAATGGTACGTCTATATATCAGATTGATCTGACAGGGCAGAGAGCATTAGCAGACTATGAACCACTACCTGCAGCACATAATAACATGCCCTATAAAGGCAAATTATGGTGTATAGCAGCACCAGATGTCAATCTGACAGAGTTGGAAAGGGAATTGACTTTTGCGTGTAGTCAAGGTAATGGGACCTGTGACAGCTTGACTCCGGGAAAGGAGTGTTATGAGCCACTGTCGGTAACTTGGCATGCCAGTTTTGCATTTAGCTCGTATTGGGCTAAGTTCAGGAGCCAGGGGGCCAATTGCTACTTCAATGGACTGGCTCAGCAGACCACCAGTAATCCAAGTGAGTTGCATGATTTTAAGTCTATTGAGTTTTTGAGTACAGAGAACCATCCTCGAAACATATTAATACCTACATGCATATTATCTGCCCTATGATTTTGCTTCATTTGCCATTTGCTTGAATTATCATTTTAGAAACAAAGTAGTTTAAATCAGAGAACAGTAGTTAAGAAGTATCAATTGCAAAAGCATGATTCACCTGAACTGGAAATCAAAAATAATTTGCAAAAGCCCGATTCAAGTTTGCGAAATGAAAGATTCACCTTGTTACTTTGTTCCTCTCTTTTTTTCTGATGATTTTTTTTTGCAGGTCGAGGATCATGCCAGTTCCCCAGTGTGACTCTTTGAAGACAATTTAAGCTTCTGTAAGCAGTAGAAAGACATGAAGCTGAATTGATCAAATTTTATTTCAGAAGTTTTTGTTTTAGCTGATGTTTATGGTAACTGAAAATGTAATGCAGAAAAGCATGTTTCTGACCTCAAAAGAAAACAATGAACTCTACAATCATTTAAGGAAAAATTTACAGCTTGTTTTCTCGTCTCTATCTATTTTATATCTGGTGATTTATCCACAAAACAGGTGACTTTTGGTCATCACAATTTTCTCCGGTTACTAAACTGCATGGTTGAACAATATATTGAGACGCTGTAAATTCGTCCTGTCCATTTGATGACAACTAGAAAATCATCAATAACTCAGATAACTATATGTTAATTTTAAAACAAAATTCTGATTCATCTGAAGCACTCAACTCAATAACTAGTAGCCCTGCACCATAACTATTCATCCATATAACCTCAATTGCTAAGTTAGGCAAATTCTTAGAAAAGGAAAAATCTAAGGTTAGCAGAAGCTAAAGCAGAATTGATAGAGCATCTAAGGAGAGCCAAACTGGCAGAAATAAACCTCCCTGCAAAACTAAGAAACTAAAGCCGCCAGCCTAGCACTAGAGATTGGGAAGACAGCGGCAAAATAGCCTACAGAACAACTTTCTGGAACACCAAACTAGGTATCCTTGGCTTCAGGATTGCATTACAGCTACAAACATTCCTTGACTAACACAGACAAACAGTAGCTTTGCCAAAAAGCAGCTACTCCGTCTACCAGCTTCGGGACCATAAAAACACCCAAATGGAAGCTAAAAGCTTTAGGGAAAAAGAGGAACATAAACTTGCGAAAATCTCCACTCTAGCGGCAGTATAATTATATGCAAAGACAACAACCACCAAGCACTGGAAGATGATAACTAGCATGAAGACAATAACTAGCGCAGACCATTATAGCAGAAAAGTATTGGCTACGAACTGAACCCTTAATGCATCAAAGATGCAATAATCCCATTAAGACAACAGTCTCCCTCAATGAACCAAACCCCAACATACGTCACCAGACAACCTGATCATCATCCCAGAACAAAAAATTCAAATACTGACCAACAGAAGGCAGATTAGAATTCTGAAAGCAAACCAAAGACAGACTCCCCACTCAGAATAACAAGCATTCAGCTCTCCTTTAAAAAGAATCCCAAATAATCTAACAACTAAGCATGGCATGCCCACCTTCCTCTAAAAATCTGCTTCAAATCACCATAAAGTTTTATCTTAGTTAAAGGAAATCAAAAGAAAGAAAATTTTTCATCTCAGTTCTACGGTTAAACACAGCAAGGATGCTGACCAGGATTTGAGCTACCACACACATCCTAGAGGAAAGATCAAATTATATCCCACTATTTCAAATTTCTGAAGCTAAAAGTCACAGCAGCCTAACAGTTTGTCCCCCTTCCTCCATAAAATTGGCTTTTCTAGAGCTTCAAAACACATTATATGATATAAACTCTCTAATCAACTATCAAACAAGTCAATAAGTCCGGAGAAAGCTCAGGATACCACAAACTACGTGAAATGTGAAATAGACAAGGGTAAGATTTGACATGAATACACACAAATACATAGGTTCTCTATCTCAAATTTCTAGGTTACCTGCTCTTGAAGCAACACATGGTTTTTTTTTTTTTAAAAAAAAAAAAACCTCATTCAAGGAAACAAAATGAAAACGAAAAATCAACAAACAATGCACATTTTCTACAAAATCAGAACACAAATTTCACATTAGCAAGCATTAAAAAAAAATAAAAGAGAAAAGAGAACATCAAGATTCTGCTGCAAACATATTTAGAGGATTATAAAATTAAACAATCTTATTGATCAAAATAAGGAGAAAAATTAGCAAATATCATAATTATAATGTTAACAAGTTAAACAAAACCTAAATATAAAAAACCAAGCTCTAAATCAGCCTACATTACATACCATCAGTAATCTAGCGCTGAATATTAAGCATAACCTTAGCTTCAGTCTGCTCCTCCATCAATGAATCACTTGCATACTTACTCAACAACTCCATTTTCTTCTTCTCCAAAACCATCCTCTCAATCTCCTTCTCATCCGGCAACGGAACATGTGCAACAAACTCCCTCTCCTTTTCCTTCCTCTCAATCTCCTCAATCTCCCTCTCCCTCTTCCTCTCTTCCTCCACCACATCCTCCTCCTCTTCAAACAAAACCTCTGCCCCAGCCCCAACACTCACAACTTCCTTCGCACCCTTCCTCGCTTCCTTCCTTATTGCCTCCATCCTCCTCCACTCCTCCACCGCACGCATTCTCATCTCTCCCTCCGCAGGACCTTCAACCTTCTCCAAAACCCCATCCTCCTCATCCCTATACCCATAATAACTAGCATCAATCCTCTTATAAATATCATACCTCGTCCGCCTTTTTCTCAATTCCGGCGGCTTCTCAAACAACTCCCTAACTCCTGGCAACTTCTTCGCCGCACCAAAATACCTATAACCAGGCCCACGCCCGCTAGGGTTAGGCACATCAATAATATTTCCTTCCAAATCCGTCATTTTAGCAGAATGTTTAGCATAATTAGGACCACCAAGCTCCACAATACGCCGTTCCCAATGCGATTTCTCGCGAATTAGCTTGTTGATTTCATCGTTTAAATCGCGAAGGAGGTGTTCGCCAAGACCTTCGTTTTGAATCTCGGCGACTTTGCGGCCGATTTCGCGCATGATTTGCTGACGCCACTTGTCGGCTTCGGCGAGGTCGCGGCATTCGGAGGCTAGGTAAGGGCGGCGTTCTTTAGGTTTCTTTTTTCTTCGGATTTTAATGCTATGAATCGATTGAGCATCGATTGAGCTTTCTCTTCGTTTCGTGCCATTTTGAACTTAAGAGATAAATTTTTGAATTAGATTTTTTAGAACTCTTCTGGTAGAAGAGACACGACCGGAGAGGAGCAGACGGAGAGATATAGAGAGAAAGAGAGAGGGGAAGCTAAGCCAGGGCAGTGTTATTTGTTTGGGTTAACTTGTCTGGACAAAAATATTCTTTGTCTTTCGCTCTTATTACTACCGTGCCCTATACAAAATAAATATTACTAAATAAGTATGCTTGGCATGGCATTTTTGTAGTTTTATTGACTTTTAAGGGCCATTAAAAATAAAAATTTGAACAACTTTACATTTCGGTTCATATATTCTTCATCTCTTGTATTTCAATCAGAATTTTTCAATTTATTACATTTCAGTCCATATCCGTAGATAGAGGACGGAGAATAGATAAGAGGCGCATTCAAATCTGTCACTCAAATGTTAAAATGAAGGAACGAAGTTCGGATGTAGAGTTTTCTAGTGGTCTTTTACGTGAAGTGAAAAGTGTGGGAGTTCCAAAATATAAACATGTTGATCTAATTCGAAAAAAATAGTAAATAAATTACTTAAAAATAAATGAATCGATTGCTCGAAAACAAACAGTTCGAAAATAAAATGGTAAAAAAAATGACGTCAAAAAAAATGCAAGCTTGCTGTTTAATTCTTTTTTAATTGAGCCATCATACCTATTTATACATAAAAACTCTCAATTAAAAAGGTTAAAAATAAGAAGTCGTCATTTTGTATTAAATCGAAATAAAAAAACTTAAATTACTAATCTTGCAAATATTACAAAAAAAAGTATGAGTTATGCTTATTGAAAAAATAACAATCATCAAAAACATCATTTCTTAAAAGACGATATCTGACTTGTTTAATTCTTAAATTAATTCCTCTCCAAGTCTTTTGTGATTTCAAGTTATTTATGAATTTGAAATTAATCTAGAAATTAATCCTTCACATTTGTTATTCGTGAACAATACAAATTTTAACTGTATACTAGTTGTTTTTTACTCATTTTATTCCTTTACTCTGACTCAACAACTTCTTAAAATAGATTTTTTATGTTCTTTCCTCTCTTTTTTTCTCTCTTACTTTTCTCTATTTTGCTGTATTTTCTTTCCTTGTTGTTGTATTTTTTCAGTTTGGTTTCTTCTTTTATTTATAGAGTAGGAATGAGGGTTTGATTATATGATCTCTAGGATAATTTTCAGTCTCCTTTCAAGCAATTTCAGATTATTTTCAAACTTAAAAAGGATTGTTATGGCTAGATATTATTCAAACTATGATTTTAGTGATTTTTAAGATTATAAGTTGTCTTTTTTGGCCAAGAATTAGTTTAGATACAGAGAGGAAGGAGATAAGTATCTAGGCTTGAGTTAGAAGGGAAAATAAAGCCAAAATGACAAGGTAAAAATTGCACAAAAAAGCTAAAAATAAAAAAACATGCCTTGGGGAAAACGTAGAACTAGCATTTAGAGCTCCAAAACACGACGTCGTTTTGTGCGGACTGGTTTCATTTTTTTTTCCAACTCACAAAACAACGTCGTTTCATATCAAGCATTTAAGTTGACCTTCCGAAAGTTGCGCTGTTTTAATTTTGGTCCTTATGCTTTTATTTTTCTTTCGATTACATATTTTAATTGGTGATTAATTTTTTTATTCACGTTCTTTTTAATTATCTTTAATTATACCCCTGTGTTTTAATTTTTTTTTATATTATTTTTCTTGTTTTATTTCGGTCCTTTTTCTTTCAATTTTCCTTTTTTTTCTACATCAGTCCTCTTTTTTTTAATTTCTTCTCAACAACACCTCCAATTTCAATCAATTGTTTTTCCTTGGCATTTTTCATCTGGCCTTTTTTTTCCATTTCTTTCTTTTATTATTTTTTTATTTTTTATTTTTACATCTCCTTCCCAAAACATGAATAAAATATAAATCCTAAACTCTTAAAAAATTATAAAACTATCTAAAAATTATTTTAATTCATAGAAATAAAGTAGCATGCACCTTTTTTAAATTTAATTAATTAATTAATTTTATGTATATATATATTCTTTTTAAATAAAAAGAAGGCTAGTTAAGTTGTTTTAAAAAATTCTTACCCACCACAACCCCTATCTCATCACAAGAAATTTTATAATACACAAGGAGTAATTAGTGACATGTACAGTAACTACTCTTTGAGCCTACTTCGAAGAGAGAGATAGACACACAAAAAGAGAGAGAAAAAATAGGAGAGAGAAAATAAAAAAATTTGAGCTGACATAAAAATTTTCTTATCACTTTTGATGGGTATAGATGTAATTTCTTTTTTTTATGTATCTATCTCTCTCTTCAAACTTGGATCCCATGAATAACTATTGTAGATGCCACTAATTACTCTTTGTGTATTATAAAATTTTTCATCTAATCACACCTCTATTCCAGAACCAAGTATAAAAAAAATTATTTAAAAAATAAAATTATCAAAAATTCAATTAGGTCCTAAAAAATTTTTAATTATCTTTAATTATACCCATGTGTTTTAATTTTTTTTAAATTATTTTTCTTGTTTTGTTTCGGTCTTTTTCTTTCAATTTTCCTTTTTTTTCTACATCGGTCCTCTTTCTTTTTATTTCTTCTCAACAACACCTCCAGTTTCAATCAATTGTTTTTCCTTGGCATTTTTCATCCGGCCTTTTTTTTTCCATTTCTTTTTTTTTAATTTTATTTTTTTACATCTCCTCCCCAAATCATGAATAAAAATATAAATTCTAAACTCTTTCAAAATTATAAAACTATCTAAAAATTATTTTAATACATAGAAATAAAGTAGCATGCACCTTTTTTTAATTAATTATATATATATATATATATATATATATATATATATATATATATATATATATATATATTCTTTTTAAATAAAAAGAAGCCTAGTTAAGTTGTTTTAAAAAAATTCTTAACCACCACAACCCCTGTCTTATCACACCTCTATTTCCATTACCAAGTATAAAAAACATTATTTTAAAAAATAAAATTATAAAAAATTCAATTAAGTCCTAAAAAAGTTTTAACTATCAAGGCTAGATCCCTCAATCACGAAGCCATTGTTTCTATAATACTCAAATGGTAACCAAAAATTAAAACCATTTAATCAATTGGAGAAGAATTGAGTTTTTATTTTGTGATAGTTTGATTTTCATTAATCAAACGGGAATATGTCTCTCTTTTTACAATTTTAGTTCTTTTTTTTATTTTTTTAGTTTTAAAGTGAATTGATTGTATTATTACTTTTATAAGTAAAATACAAGGTGACGAATCTTCTCATAATCTTATCTTTGTTTTATCGAATGGAAGAAGAACGTAACGGGCTCATCCCCATTGATTGACACTTGGCAGCGTACCGAATTCAGCAACTATTAATTACTCATTTCTAGAAATTTGACCTTTCCACGTCTCTCTCTGCCACGTCCGCATCAAACAGCTCAGGGCTTACCTTATCCTGTAAGATAATATTTACAAACATCCGGCCCACTGGTACGTTGATTTTGATTTCTTGTCTCTTCTTCGCCAAACTATATTTTAGCTTTCATACATTTATCAATCTCCCACTTTGATTCTTTTCGTTTAATGTTTTTTTAATATCAACCATAAATTATAATAGTTTAATTTCAGTATCCCCTAGTTGTTAAACGAGAGATTATTGGATACTATAGCGTACTACTGCTTCTTATTTTTTTATATATAAAATTAAATAATTTCATGCTTTATATATATATAGTAATTTTAAAAAATCACGAGATTATATAATCAAAGTAGACTATATTTTATGCTGACTGAATCAAGATTAAAATGCTAACATGTATAAATATTATTCAGTAAATAATTTTAAGTGTTTGTAAAGACGTTATCGATGTGTATGCAAGTTTTTTTTTTAAGAAAAAAAAATCTTATGGAGGTGTATTATTATATTTATAGAAATTTGAAGGATGAAATGAAAAAGAAAAAAAAAGGATAGTATATCAAATTTAGTCAATTATGCATCTTCCATGGTTGGACAAGATTTTTAATGTCGAGAAATTTAAAAATTAAGGGACCAAGTTAAATATTTTTTACAGAAAATAACCAAAAAAAAAAAAAATAGAATAGTATGAATTTTAACCACAAATTGTTTTTGGCTTATTTTATTCCTTTGCATTGACTCAACAACTCTTCAAGAAGATTTCCTATCCTTCTTTTTTTCTCTCTCTCGCTTTTTCTCCCATTTTCTCTGTAATTTTTATCTACTTTGCTGTATTTTCTTTCCTCTTTGTTGTGGTGTTTTAGTTTGGTTTCTTACTTCATTTATAGAGTAGGAATGAGAGTTTGATGGCATGATTTTCGAAATAATTTTCAGCATCCTCTCAAGCAATTTCTGATTATTTTCAAACTTAAAGAAAATTGTTACAGCTAGATGTTTAAACTATAATTCTGGTGATTTTTCAGATCATATGTTATCTTTTTTTTGGCCAGGAATGAGTTTAGAAACAGAGAGGAAGAAGGCAAGTAACTAGGCTTGAGTTATCAGAGGAAATAAAGCCAAAATAACAAGGAAAAGATAGCACGAAAAGCTAAAAAATAATAATAATAACACAGAAGAAAATGTAGAAATAATGTTTAGAAGTAGAACAGCAAGCAACGGCAACGTTTTGAGCCCACAGGCTTTATACTTTTTTCCAGCTCGTAAAACGACGTCGTTGCATTTAAAAATTTAAATTGGTCTTCCGAAAGTCATATCTTTTTTAATTTTGGTCATTACACTTTTATTTTCTTTCAATTACAATACACTTTTTAATTGGTGATTTTTTTTTAATTCTCGTTCCTTTTAATTATGTTTAATTATAAATCTGTGCTTTAATTTATTTTTCTTCTTTAATTGTTTTTATTTCGATCCTATATCTTTCAATTTTCCTTTTTTCTTCTACAACAATCCTCTTTCTTTTGATTTCTCCTCAATTACACCTCCAATTTCAATCAATTGTTTTCTGTGGCATTTTTCATTTTTTTTAATTCCACTTTTTTTACTTTTCTTTTGCATTTTTTCTTTATATATATATATTATCTTCCTTAAATCAGGAATAAAAACGTATACCTTAAAATCCAAAAAAATTATAAAAGCATCTAAAAATTATAAAAAGTCATTGAAATAAAGTAGCATGCAACTTAATTTGTTTTGAAATTTATTTTTATGTGTATATTTTTTATATTTTGTAAAAATTGTAAAAAATTAAAAAAGCCAAAATTGGATCATGAACAATAATTATAATAATGAAAAGTACACGAGTTAAAAAAAGAAAAAGAAAAAAAGAAGAAGAAAGAACATCTTGTATTTAGAGAAGACAATTTTACTTGACATATTGGATACCGAACACATCCAATCCGGTTGGATCATATTTTTTATATGGTGTGACCAAAGTTGAAGTTGATGGAATGAAAATTGAAAAAAATTATAAAAAAATCATGAAATTAAGTAATAGAAAAAAAAAAGCCCAATTAAGTGAAAGAAAAAAGGAAATTCTTCGGCACTACAACCCCTATCTCATCACACCTCTATTTCCATAGCAAAATATAAAAAAAATTAAAATTGTAAAAATTTCAATTAAGCCCTAAAAAAGTTTAACTATCAAGGCTAGATCCCTCATTCATGAAACCATCGTTTCTATAATAGTATAATACCACACAACAAAATCATATATTTTTTTAAATCGAGTTGATTGTATTATTAATTTTATAAGAAAAATACAAAATGACGAATCTTCTAATTATCTTATCTTTTCTTTTATCAAATAGAAGAACGTAATGGGCTCATCCCCATTGATTGACACCTGGCAGGGCTGCCAAATTCATCAACTATTAATTACTCATTTCTAGAAATCTGACCTTCCCTCGTCTCTCTCGGCCCACATCCACATCAAACTGCCCACTTGATTTATGGGCTTTTATTATACTATAAGATAATATTTATAAACTTCCGGCTGGGTTACGGTGATTTTGATTTCTTGTCTGTTCTTAGCCAAACTATATTTTAGCTTTCATACTTTTATCTAACTTCCAAGTCGATCCTTTTCATTTATTGTTTAATACTAATCATAAATTATAATAGTTTGATTTCAGTATCCCTTAGTTGTTAAACAAGAGATTATTGGATACTGCAGTGTACCATTGCTCTTTTTAAATCTTTTTTTTTATAAAAATAAATAATTTCATGTTATTTACGTATTTTGATTATATAGATATATAGAGAAAGAAAGAGACATAGAGAGAAAGTATTTTTATAAAATCATGAGATCACATGATTAAAACAGACTATATTTTATATGAATTGACTTAAGATCATCGATCGCATTAAAATGTTAATATGTATAAATATTATAAAGGAAACAATTTCAAGAGTTTGTAAAGACTTGAATGCAAGTTTTCTTAAAAAAATCTTATGGAATAGTATTATTATATTTATGAAAGTTTGAAGGAAAAAATGAAAAAAGAAAAAAAAGAAGGATAGTATATCAAATTTCGTCAATATGCATCTTTCATGATTGGACAAGACTTTTAATGTCGAGAAATTTCAAAAATACGGTACTAAGTTAAATATTTTTAAATAATATAGGGACTAATAATAGCATACTCTCTGCACTCCAACCATGTATTTCTCCCTTGGATGGCAGGCTTTTAAAACAAAAATCCCTCTCGAATGCTATCGGTGATCACGCTGCCCTTCTTTCTAGATATATTTATTTATTTGTTGATTATATAGAAACAATAACGACACTCGCCAACATTTGTTCGTGTCAGTTCAGTGAAGGTTTTTGCTTTGGTCAATCCGATGACTACTGCTACACTACTTTCTGTTTCTTCTTTTCCAGCAAATCGAATGGCAATGGTTTCTTCAACTTTGAGCTCTAATTATGGTGGTGCTGATGTTAGTAAACGCCATGCTGCTTTTCAATTCTTGGTCTCTCGTTATCATTTCAACAACTCTAAAGTATTACTTAAAGGACGCAATACTGGGTTCTCTTCACGTCGAGGATTTCGAGTTTCTTGCGAAATCAAGGTAATTCTTGTACCCTTTTGAATTTAGCTTGTACAGATACAAGCATATCTTGTGATTTGTCGTTTTTGGGCTCTACGTAATGTTTGATATGTGCAAACTCCTTCATTTGCTTTTGTATTCAGGTGTGAATTTCTTTTGAAATTCTGCTATTTTAAGTTATAGTCATGCCTCATCATTCTTTAGCTCTTGTTTTTAGCTGTTAACAGCTGATAATTTTATGTCTTTATCTTCAGGTGTTGTTTTGGTATGATTGTGTATCTGGATAAAATTTTTGTTTTATATCTTTGATTATGATATAGAATTTGTCTTTCTACCTTTACCATTTGTAAAATTTTGATCTGGATAAGCTTTTTTCATACCAAATTGAGTAAATATTTTCATATTCATCTCTCTGACCAGATAGGCTGTCAACTGGGTTGGAAATTATGGAAAAAGGAGGTCATTAATGTCTTGTCCATACAAGGATTTTATTTTGAAGACTAATATAGCATGGAAATGATTGTTCTTGCAAGAAATTCAGAGTAATTGAGACTTTAGGCCAATTAGAATTTGCGGTTGATTAAGTTTGTGGGTCTCAACTGTTTTCTTGAAATGGAGGCTTTCAGTGTTCATATGTCATGTAATGATTAAATAGAATTTATTACATAGCTGTGTAACAAGTTCCACCTGCCCATTAATACATTTTGATTTCTGTGTTTGTCTGGCTAAAGTTCAAGTCCGGTGGCTTGAATTTCTCTCCAATATTGGATCATTTCCTTAATCTCTAAACGTTTGCAGAATAGTATTTGCATATTTAAATTTCAATTAATTAGACACCTATTTTTCTGTTGAGAAACTTCTGCTTGTGAATGAATTTTCCATTTCGTGGAGTTATTGTGACAACAACGTAGTATGTTTCATGGGTTTTCACTTTATCTCTTGCCTGGACAATGCAAGTTCATTTATGGAAAAGTGGGCCAGTGAGTTGTGAAATTAAACAAATAGAGACCAGCTTCGTTAATTCTCTCCCTTAGTATCATGACATGGACATGCTGGTTTATTGACTACATGAAAAGGCATTAAAATTATGCTCTCGTATATTTGTTTTTAGTTTAAAATTTTCTGTATACACACAGGAAATATGACTAGGAGTGCTCAGGTTTATTTTTATTATTTCTTCTTTAGACAGAGGAGATTAAGATAAGAAGGTTTTCACCTTACCTAGAAAGGACTTTAGTTTCCAGCAGTGGTGCCTTAAACTCTGATGATTGGAGAGCAGTTCCTGACATTTGGAGGTCTTCAGCAGAGAAATATGGTGATCGGATTGCAGTGATGGATCCGCATCATGATCCACCTACAAGTATGACTTATAAACAGGTAAGTTTCCAATATAAATTTAGTTGGTTTTCATTATGTATCTCCTTGAGAAGCATGTGAAGAAACACTTTGTGTCTCAAGTGTAACTTGTGTTCTTTCCACACACACAGCAGAAGTGATTAAATGTAGCCAAAATTCACTTTTCATCATATTGATTGGAGCTATAAGATTATGAACTTATTTCATAATAAGTTTGAATTGGTGGCAATAGATGTCACATTAGCTATATGACCCATATCAGTTCTTTGGCTACATTGATATGCAATGCTGAGATGTATTGTTGTTTCATGGTTTTGTGTCAGCTTGGAATTTGTACACACAAACATGGATACTGTGCTCCAGTATGGATGTACTCTTTTACTCGAGAATAATTTGGAACTTTTATGGTTCATTGTGATGGGGTCAAGCATGTGAAATTATCTAGAACCACGGAAATAATGTTTTTTTTTTTGGTCCATCACTAAGAAAATATTGGCAGTGCTATACAAAATCCTTGGGGACTATTGATCATTATTACGGATGAATGATGTTTTCTCTTTGGTCTAATAGGACCATATCAATATCAACAGATAACTCGGTTCTATTCAAAATATGATGCCCTGCTATATATCAAACGCTTTACTTTTGGATTGCTAGTGGTCATACTTCTTATTCTCTGTTAAAAAACAAATTTATTGGTAGTGCTCTATCTCCAGCTCTCTGCTTTTTTCCATTTTCCACAATAAATTTTAACAAAATGAAGTAAAGGGATGAAGTTAATTGTTAAGAAGTAAATGATATTACAATCTCACAAAATTTGGGCTGGTAAGATTATAGGTTGTTCACTACAACCAGTTTCAAGGTCCTTATGTGGACATTAAAATTTTCACTAGAGAGATGCCTGAACTGGTCATATGAGATGAGCCCATAGCCCGTCGTATTTTTGTGAAGAACAGATGCGCTCTTAGCTTCATTTCAAGTTGCCAAATGCTTTCCCTTTCTATGTTAGAAAGAAAAGCATACATTTTTTTGCATTTATTTCTGTATTTGGTTTATCTATAAGTGAGCTGGTTGCTCTGCATGCTGCTTGATCTATATGCAGACAATATCACTGTTATTTGAAGAAAAGAGTAACCATTGATTCCATTTGTTGTAATAAATTGTAAAATTTTCTTCCCATTGATGCTGACTGGTACCATATTTAATTAGAATCTTTGTTCTTTCCATATACATGGAATGCAAATTCTTTCATGTTCTTGTTAAACAAGTTAATTTGTTTTAATTAGCTGCTTTCTCATCAAATATCTCCTTTTCTCTTCAAAATTGCAGTTGGAGCAGGAAATATTAGATTTTTCTGAAGGCCTAAGGGTTATTGGAGTTAAGCCAGATGAGAAGCTTGCATTTTTTGCTGATAATTCATGCCGGTGGCTTATTGCAGATCAAGGTACCTTGCAGTTTCAAATATGTTTTATCTCCTTGCTAAAGTCTATTTATTTGGCTAGTGCTTGTCTCTATGTTATCTAGTTTACATATGAGTTTCTGTGTTAGCATGTGTGCTATGTGCAAGCCTTTCAGTTAACCATAGACTGTTATCGCGTCTAGTAGGATGTTTTTGGCTAGTGTTTGTCCTTGTTCATAATACTGGAGTGAAGAACTCAAAATAAAATAATTTGACCCTTTTCTTTATTACCACAACAAATCATTTGCAAGGAAATGGATAATTGTAATTTGCTATCACTGTATACCTAAAACTTTTGAATAGCCACTGCAAAGTACTAATATGCATGGTCACTGTACCTTAAATTTGATATGTATCTTATTGATATTTTTCCTAGCTATGATGGCCATGGGAGCTGTTAATGTGGTGAGGGGATCAAGATCATCTGTTGAAGAGCTATTTCAAATATACAATCACTCTGAAAGGTTTGCGAAAAAAATTTCCTTTTAATGTATATTATTTCTATATTTGATCTTTAGAAATAGATGATAAGTGAGAATCATTGAGTGTTCATAGATTAATTTGCAGCCTAGTTTTTTTTTTTTTTTTAGATGATAAGCAGCTATGCATGCAGGATTTCGATACTCTTCCTGCCATTTCCTTAATTCTGGGGTAGAGCTTGTATGTTAGGGACTTCAGGATTTGAAATTATGGGTTAAGACTCAGGCTTATGGGAATGTAAATGAAGGATGTAGAAGATAAAAGAAACAAGTGGCACATTGATAGGAAAAAGAGAGAAACAGGTGCTAGAAATAGTGACGTGAACAAAGAAAGGAGTAATTTTGTAATTATTTCTTGGCTTAGGGTGTTAACTATCAAGTACTAAGCTGAGAATAAAATGGCATCGTCATAGCTTCATTTTGTTAGCCCCCACCAAGCTACTCAGCTTGTGCTTTTCTACAACTAGCCGGACTCGTCATACCCTGAAAAAATTTATGATTTGGGTTAGGTCAGACAAGGCTGATTTTGACTGGCAGTTCTATAAACACTCCAACAGACACACTTGTCCATAGATTTAAATAAGTAACGGCCGTTATATAATGGTTTCGGGGCACCCCATTACTGTTATTCGGCGTTATGGGTACCCCGATGTCATTTCACAAGTATAACGGCATTATACTTATTATTATTTTTTTTAAAAAAAAAACGAAACTCTGCCTTTTCATTCAGCATTTCACGTGAAATTCAGCTAGAGTGCCTTGGTGACAGTGACTTGCCCACTCCATGTGAATATTCAGAGAGTAAGAATCAAAAGCTTGTAGGCTTTAATTGAATAAATTATAAATTTGTCCCTTTAATTTGGAAAAATAAATTAGTTAGTCCTTATTTCAAAAACCAATTGTTTAGTCATTTTTGTCTATTTTATGTTATTTTCTAATTTGTTTTCCTTTTTGTCTTAAAACATAGAAAAAGAAAAAATATATATATCATAAAAAAATGATGAAAAAAGAAAACATTTTGTAAAATAAAATATATTATATTAAACATGGTCAAAACTGATCAAAAAATTAAATAATTAGTTTATGAAACAGGAAAGACCGATTAATTTATTTATTGAAACTAGACAGACTAATCCATAATTTTCTCTCTATTATCCAACTAAATTTCAGGTTGCATCTTGTATGCACCAAATTCAAAGGCCCGTAGGAATGCAAGCTTTAATTGAGTAAATAATAAATTAGTCCCTTTTGTTTGGAAAAATAAATTAATTGGTCCTTCTTGTTTCCAAATAATTTATTTTGTGTGATATTAATTTATTAAAAGTGTTATTAACTTTTTTTTGGTAATAAATTCAATTATTATTGTATGATATTTATTAAAAAACAATCTCACCTAGAAGCTTAAAGCTGTTAGGTGAGGCCCCATAATATAATTTATATTACTTTCTAACACATCTTCTTTATATTACTTTCTAACACATCTTCTCAAGTAAAAGCCCTAACATGTGGGCTTGAAACTTGCACAAGTCCACATTGCCTTGTGTTGAATACTTGAGAAACCGGGGATGGTAAGATTTGAACTCGGGATCACATGGTCAATCAAGCTCGATATCATATCAAAGGACCATCTCACTTAAAAGCTTAAGCTGTTAGGTGAGGCCCTATAATATAATTTATATTGCTTTCTAACAATATTAAACTATGAGAGATGTTATTACTTACTAGTATACTTAATTAGTAAAATTGTTAAAAATATGTGAATTAGAATAAATTTATTAGCGATTGCTTATGTATTCACGACATCGGTTGCCACAACCGTTACTTTACTACCATAATAAGCTGCGATCCGCAATCGCAATGGCGATGATGACCGTTTTTTGAACCGTGATTGTGATTTAAAACTATTCACTTGCCTTATATGTGTTGAATGTGTTTTGATCAGTGATATTTGGATTGGTGTGATAACAGTATTGCAATTGTTTTTCAAGAGTTTGAGGATGTGGATTCCTTCTGTATTCAATCTGTAATGGCACTAGTGGTATTGCTGATTTTTTTAATTATTACTACAGTGTTGCACTTGCAGTGGACAATCCTGAATTGTTCAATCGAATTGCAGAAACATTTTGTTCCAAGGCAGCTCCCAGATTTGTCATTCTCCTTTGGGGAGAGAAGTCACACCTTGCTACCAATGGAATGGAGGGGATACCTATTTTTAATTACAAGGAGCTAATAGATTTGGGGCAAGAAAGCCGTAAAGCTTTTGTTGATTCTGATGATGCTAGTAAGTTGTTCAGTTTACATATAAATATGAAAAGTATATGTATTTATTGTGTTATGGAATTATCTAGAACACTTCTTCCTTCGAGAGCTTTGAGTTTATATTTTAAATCCCTGTTTCATATTATACGAAGAGGTTTTCTTGTTGGCTGCTTTTAAACCTCGAACACTTAAAGCAGCAAGTAAGAGAGTACTTTGAAGCTCGGTATTAAAATTTTTGTAACTATGTTATGGATTATACGCTCTCTGGAGAATCCCAGAGTGTTTGAGAAAACTCATCCTAAACAGTTTTTCCCTTTATAACTGGTCCATGATGCAACCCTTAACCAGTTAGGTAGAACCACTGGTATTAGATAATTTAATATATTTTCCATGGTTCTAAGCTTGGTGCAGTTGAGGTACTTGTTAGGATTGAAAAAAAATCTAATAATAATGTTCAATTGCTGCATTGCTCAAATTGGCTGCTTAGCATATCATGGTCATATTCCTAGCATCAATGGTGATTTTTATGCTCAAAGTGGCTTTAATTGCTATTCAAGCCATCATGCATATGCAATGCATCTGCAGTTTTTGTGTTTGTGGATGTACGAGCCTGTTTTTGGATCCACTAGGCTAAGACAATTGTCTCAGTCATTATTGTTCATCATGCCATCATTGTTCACAATATTGTTGAGTTACAAGGAAGAGATATACTTTTATATCACTTGTCAAGAGGCACGACTGTGTCAGTGTGCTGCTTAGTGAAAGGTTTTGCAGTCAATTTATATAACTATGTACCAGCATGTACAGTTCTGTATATGTTACCATAAAATGAATCTAATATACAAAAAATAAACTGAAAGTATCAGAATATGCTCCATCACTAATGTTCTATGGTTATATTAATTCTTCTGCAAAATAAAATATTTCTATACTAGTTGGAAGAAAAGAGGGGAAAAAAAGAATTACCCCTCACTTTCCTTTGCCAGATTATCTTATGTGTTCTATTGATAATGATTGCAGGGAAGCACTACAAATACGAAACAATAAGCTCTGATGATATTGCTACACTTGTTTATACTAGTGGAACTACTGGAAATCCAAAAGGTGTGATGCTTACACATAAGAATCTGCTGCACCAGGTTCGTAATTATTCTCTATCATTTTGCTTATTTCAATTATTCCTTTTAACTTTTTGTTGATGTTCCCTGCTCTAATTTGTTTTTTATCCTAACAAAAAAATAAATTCTTAAGTGTCTAATCTTGTGTATACATGTAATATCAGTTGTTAATCAGCAAATAGATGCACTCTTTTTTTCCAAATCCTGATCTGCCGAGCTTGCCATTCTTAATAACCTTGCACTGTATAACTAGTCTCATTAAGCATGTTACCATATTTTCTGTCACTCAAGCTATTGAAGGCACATTAATCTAGGAAGCCAAAAGCAGCTCCTTATTTTAATCCTATTTTGCTCGTCTTCAGAAGAAATCCTTTGATCTTCAGTGAATACTCATTTCTCATAATTCAAAATCAAAATCAATTCCTTGAAAGTCCACCTTCTTCATCAAACCACTCGAAAGAGATCAATGGTCAGAGATTCAATCAGTATCTAATCCAATTGAACATTTCACAGTTACAATATTATCATTGTGCACACGTTGCTATTTACTTCCAAAGATGTACAAGGTTTACGTGAGCTGTCCTGTCATTTCTGAATGTATCTTTCATGGTATCCAATAAGCACAAGTTCTCTCAGTTTCAGTTAAAACATATGAACACAAAATTTTCCTTTCTTGTCCACCCTCTTTTACTCAGAACATTTTCTCCTCCATTGAATTTGGAAGAGCAAGCCAGAAAAAAAAAAAAAAAAAGCTTTGAGATTCTCTTCTACTGAGAAAAATCATTCTTGGTGAGAATGTTGTCCTCAAAATATAAAAGAAGAATGAGGGAACGACCATGACGTTGACAAACAAACATGGAAGAATCCACATGACTACAGTCGAATCCTTTATCACAAATTAAGCAGTGAGGGGGCCATCCTTTTGTTATGGCATGCTTTTCAGATTTATGGATTCATAGGGGGCCTCAGGCCTACTTAGTTTACTGTCAATGACAAAGGCTTTCAAAAGTAAGTAGGGCTTTTGAATTGAATCTTCGGTTACAGTTGAAAGCAAAACTTGGTTAACTTAATGCTGAGGCCATTTACAGTGTCAATTGTTTTCCAGATAAATAATTTGTGGGAAATTGTGCCTGCTCAACCTGCGGACAGATTTCTGAGTATGCTTCCAACTTGGCATGTATATGAGCGAGCTTGTGAGTATTTCATATTTGCGCATGGAACTGAACAAGTATACACAACTGTCAGAAATTTAAAGGTATTGGATTTTCGATTGTGACTTTTGAAATGATCCTTTATGATTTTGATGATGACACAATCATCTTATCAGTTGCCATCGCCCACTGTATAGGCTGTTCACCTGGCACTGTCTAATATGGTTTAACTGCAATCACTTTCATTCATAGGTTGATCTGCAGCAATATCAGCCGCATTACGTGATCTCTGTTCCTTTAGTATTTGAGACGCTTTACAGGTGTGTCCAGTGTATTATATCTATCTAATACATTTCTTCTTGGAGAAGTTTGTGTTTTTTTTTTAAATGGAAACTTAAATATTCATATTTATTAGGTTTAAGGAACTTGCAACACACACACAAACACACACACACATGAAAAGATATTGAAAAATATTATCTAATGCACTGGTTGCCAATGCATCAAAAGATTTGCAAAGTAAGAAAACGGATTTCCACAAATATTTAATATATTTTGGGTGATCTAACTTCCAATCTTAGTCAGGGAATAGGAAGGGAGAAGGCATATCCACCCCAATCCCAACTAGTTTGGGATTAACACTTAATTTGAGTCGAGGATTCATTTGAAGTTGATACAATATGATGCATTTGCAAAGCATCATATTTCTATGAACTTAAAATACATACATTTTTTTCATTGTACCACAGATTGGCATGTATTCAACTTGCATTAAAGTATCTGCATATTTTAATGTGTCTTTTATCTTCCAAATAAATTCTCCATGTGAAGAATTCTTGTGAATTTTTTAAGTGAAAGAGACTTTGTGTCATTAGGGCTTTTAAATAATGTGGCAACACCTTCTTAGGATTTTGTTTTGTTTGATTTGTCTTTTTAATTTTTTACCGGAGCGATGATCATGGAATGGTTACTTTGTAATACCTAAGCAGGATTAGCTTTCATGTTGAAATAACTGTTGACATGGGATAAAACTGAAATATGACTCACTATGTACTTTAATTAGCCATGGATTTGATTGATTAAAGCCCTAAGCCATTCTTGTACTTTGAAAGGCAAGGGTAGGTGTGTGTGTGGAGGAGGCTAATATACAAAATCGATTTCTTTGGAAGTTTTCCCGCCTAGTCCTTAAGTAGCCTTTACAATAAGTGTTCATATCTCCAGAAAGAAGCCCAAATTCTTATTTAATGACTGAGTATGAGTTGCACTAAAGTGCAAACCTTCTAATAAATTTTCACCTTCATACTTCTTCTATTTTACCACTGATTTCCAGTTAGCAGCTTGTGCATTAATACAACAGTTATTGAAATGTGAATTGCTTGTTTGGTTTTGTTGTACTATATGCTCCTCTTTGGCCAGTTGATTATTTGATTATTCATGCATTCCTCAAGACTTTGTATTTTATGTATAGTGGCATACAAAAACAAATTTCTACAAGCTCCACTCTTCGTAAACTTCTTGCACTTACCTTCATAAAGATGAGCTTGGCATACATGGAGATGAAGAGAATTTATGAGGTTTGATAGTTTGAAATTGTATGCAGCATTTATTCTTCACTTTATTTGCCATTTTTTCTTAGCATGTAAATAAAAATTTGCTAGGCTCCAATTTTATTACATTTCCATGTGCTTTTGAAGGATGATTATGTCTCTGTTTGATATTGTTATATTCTGAGCATTTTCTATCTTATGATAAATAAGTAGACTTTCTTTTTGATAAAATAATATGCTTGGTCACCTCCTCAGTAACCATCACTATTTAATCTGTTCAGTTCTACTTATTGAATAATTGAGTCAGTAGAACACATTCATATATTTCATTGCTGCTACGTGCTTCCAAGTTAGTACAACTCTTGTGACTCTTAGATCATGAAACCATTCCTCTTGTTACCATATAACTGCTCAAGTACAATGGCATGCAGTGCTTCATACAGTGAGTGTCAGTGAATTTCATGAATCCCAGTCGAAGCCTGCCAATTATTTTTGGATCTACTCTACACCTTATACTTCCATAGGACGTGATCTCAGAACGTGCTTTGTTTGTACTACACAAACTAATCTGGCTGGCAATTTCCTGGGCCAAATTCTGTTGATGAAAGAGTTTGGATACCGACATTTCATGGATCCATGCTGTAGGCCTTTTGCATGTTGGATGTTCCTTTGGCTTCTGAATAACATTTTTATTTTCCCCTGCTTCAAATTGATTAACACCTCCTCACTTCAATTTCACTCAGGCTCTCAATTTGCTGCTTAATTGATTTTTATTTTCACTGACAGGGAACTTATCTTACAAGGTCTCAGAAGGAACCATCGTATTTTGTTTCAATGCTGGACTGGTTATGGGCAAGAATCATTGCTGCAATCTTGTTGCCAGTACATATGTTGGCTAAGAAGCTTGTTTACAGTAAAATTCACTCAGCAATTGGAATGAGCAAGGTTTATTTTTATTCATAAGTTATCATTTTGACTTAATGCTTCATTATTAGATCTTATCTGATAGAACAATTTTTCTTAAGACATCTCCACTTGGTACTTGAAAAAATGGTTTGAATCCTTGATGCCAATTCTGAAAACAATTTATCCAAACTTGAAGATTCATTCGATGGCTTTTAAGCTGATTCGCCTCTCCCAAAAATAAATGATACTGGGGATATTTTCCTTCGAGGTTGTGATAATGTTTTTTTTTTTTTTTGTCACTGTTTAACAAGAAATATCCTTATCTTGTTGACCCTTCTTTTTGCTTAACTAAACATAGATCTTTGTTGGTACTTGGAAATATCTGCTACCTTGCAGGCTGGCATAAGTGGTGGTGGTAGTTTACCTGCACACGTTGACAAGTTTTTTGAGGTTCAATGCTTATCACACTTGGCTGGTTAAACAAGATATTTCTGATAATGTCTCTGATAAAACTGCTATATGTGCACAGGCAATTGGTGTTGTATTGCAGAATGGATATGGTATGACAGAGTCATCTCCAGTCACTGCTGCTCGACGACCTAGCAAAAATGTAAGATGTACATCCATTATTTTAGATTGTTGAAAACCTTGCACCATTTCAATAATCCCAAAACTTACCCTATACACTATATGTCCTAGAAAGGACATCTTTCGCTGCTTTATCACATCAGTTTGGAGTGGTTATGTACTTCTAGCTATTCACTCGTGTTAATTTGTCCTCTAACCAAGGGCGGAGTTATACTGTGGGCTCTTGCCCACACTGCCCTAGCACTACAGAAAATAGGCATATGCAAATGGGTACAATCATCTATGCCCCTCGTGATCAAACAAGAAACTTATTTACCTCTTGTAACTTTGTTCTCCGGACCAGGTAATTGCATGGTCCATGACCACCTATACAAGTCTATGGCTATCCTAGATTGCTTTTTCCCCTTTTTTTTCGCCCACATTCAGGGTAGCTAGATCGATTTCAACATCGTAAGATATATAATTGCATTACTCATTGGTTTGTTGTGTTTACTTTTTTTCTACAATACACATTCCAGGACTATGTTATCATTCGTACTTGTCTATAGACTCTGAAAGTCCAGTTGAAGAACTTTTATCGCGTGGTTTAGCTTAGGAAAAGGTGAAAGGAAAAAGAAACCTTCTCTATATCTCCTTTTCTTTTCATTAACTATAATATTATTAAATGCATTTTAAATGCATATGTAACCTATATTACTTATCTTATCAAAATGGGAATATAATAATAATGGTTATGGGTATGTATTAATACAAATCCACATGGTTGGTTACTCTCACCCAGAAAAAAAAAGAAAAAAAAAAAGAAAAAAAGATTGGTTGCTAAAAATTAGTTTATCAATGTTATCATAGAAATCCACGTACTGCATAACTTTAGAAAGAATGAGGAACCTCTTAATATTAAATATAACTTCATCATTAGGTTTTATAAATTTCTTATTAAAAAAAATATGAGATTGTATAGAAAATAATAGCAAAGAACTAAATACATAAAATGGTTTGGCATAAGAATGGATCTATATTTTTTTCTTTTAAGTTAAATATCTTTTAGTTGTTAATGGTTTGATGTAGAATTTAGTTATTTAATATGTATAATATAATATAGTATAAGTATATTTTTCAAATATATATATGATAAAATTGTAGTATTAAATCTGCCCTCATTCATAAATATTTCTAGATCTGCCACTGGCTCTAACTCCTTGAATGTGGTACAGATATTTAAAGAGGGATTTCTATCTTTCTTTCTTCTTCTTTTTCGTGTTATATTCTCCACCAGTCTCTTTGATTTTAAATTATTCAAAATCTGAAATTTAGCATTTGCATGCATCTTCTTTTGCAGTTCCTGATAAGCAACTTTCAATCAATTTCCTTACTTTTTGTATCTTATATATTAAATCTACCTTCAGCTTTCATGGCTGTAATGCTGTAGCAAATTTGACTTTTGAAGGTTCTTGGTTCAATTGGGGATCCAATTCAGCATACAGAATTTAAAATTGTAGATGCAGAAACTGGTGAATCTCTTCCACATGGCTCAAAAGGGATTGTAAACGTCAGAGGGCCACAAGTGATGAAAGGTTACTACAAGGTAATAGTTTCTTCAAAAGAATTAGTCTTTTTTCTCCCCATCAAAAAATAAAGCTGATTTGACTCATGACAGCATATTGATTGCAGAATGTGCTCATGAGTTTATATAAACTATTCTGCTTGATATACGACAGCCGTGACATTCAAATATTAGGGTTATTGATCAATTCAGGTTGTTGGGGCTTCAATTTTGGATACCAGTAGTGTAGAATGGGGTTTATTTGGGGCTGAATTGGGATTGTTTGAAGCTGTCTGATCAATATCCATGTTTCCAATTTTTCCACCACACTATTACGATGGCTAATTTGATGTTTCTTTAATATCAATTCTTAAGAGTCTCTCTAGGGCCTTTTATGATGCTTGTGCATCAGGGGTTCCAATGGAGTATTAACTCTAAAAGTATTGCAAACTTGTTACAAAACATTATCTAACGGTGTATTTTAAATATTAAAGCTCATTTTTTTGTTGGATATTCTAAACTCTCATCTCTTTATACACGTGCAAGACTTGTAGCAAACTATATCCTAACCTAAAAATAAATAAAGGACTTTGTAATTCAACAAGAAAAGCCTTGCTAGCTTCTCAAAGAATATTTATTACCAAGACTATAGTTCAACTAAAGTTAGACAAGCACCTCAATCTAAAATCATGTAACCCTTCTCTGAAAATTGCAAAAATGTTCCTAGATACTAACTCTCTCCATTTTTTGAAATATTGTACTGTAACATAAATATTATAGCTGAATCCTATAAAGTTACTCTTTTGACATATAGAACCTTTGAAGTGACCCAACTGGCTAACCACAATCATTTTTGTTTTGCCATTAGTAAGAGTCTAAGAGCTGCCTTTGTGTCCTTGATCTTTTTTCGCAGAGAGATGGAAAAATGGTTGTGAATCATGTTGATGGTTCTGTGGAATTAAAAGGGAACTTCAAACACACGTATATGCATTTACATTTACCAGGATCACCTAAAAATCCTAGAAAAAAGGGACCTGAGGGGTTGGTGGTTCATTGGGAGTACTTATGTTTCTGATGCTCATCCTGCATGTTTTGTTTTTCATCTACTAATTCTTCCATCACACCTTTCCTGTGTGGCATTGTGGTTCTACCTGTAAGCCATTAGAAGGCTTTGCCTAGAACCTGCTCCTGACATTTCCTTTTATTGTTTCCAAGGTCATTTTTGTACTCTTGATCTTTATCTAGTTATCAATTTGTGTTTTGTGTTGATGGTTCACTTGACAAGGCCTAGCTTTGAAATGTGTTCTTAGCTCACTTACTATGAACGGTGCTAGTCTTCTCTCTTGCAAACAGAAGTGTAGTTCAAGGATGAGAGTTTGAATCTACGTCCCTAACTACATTGATACCTAAAGTGACAGTGAAGCCTACCTTCTACCATTCATGACCGAGTATGAATAAAATTGAGTCTTGAACGTGTTCAGGGCCAGAGACCAACTATTATGCTGTCAAAGGCCATAGATTTGATAACTGATCTGTTGACATGTAATTCGCCCTTCTTGAGTCAGTTATTGCTAATAAAGAACAAGTTACTCTTTTCTTCCATTGTAGTAGTAGTTCTTTCTGTTCTTCAGTAAAAATATGTTGGCTTTTTGCATGTATTTGCAATCATTAAAAATGTTTCACTAGCCTATTATGTTGGATCCAAAATTTTCTGTGAGTTTACATAACAATCACAGTGAAGAAATTAGACATCTGGAAATGCAGTGGTGATCACATCATGTCTGAAGATAAATAGCATAATTGACAATTGTACTAATATGCAGAACACCAAAAAGCATTTTATCTAAGTCATAAAATTTTGTTTCTGATGCTTTTTATGTGAGGTTGTATTTAAATTATTGTATCAAGGTAGTATTTCTGTCTCACAATGTTAATTATTGCAAGTGATGCATTTGTAATAATCTTTGAATAGAATCCATTGGCCACAAAGCAAGCTGTAGATGAGGATGGTTGGCTAAACACTGGTGATATAGGTTGGATAGCTCCTTACCATTCAAGAGGGCGAAGCCGTCATTGTGGAGGGGTTATTGTTCTTGAAGGCCGTGCCAAGGATACTATAGTTCTTTCGACAGGTATACTGGAAGCATGCTGTTTTCCTTCTATACCACTACAGTCACTGCCTGTCTCTTTCTCATCTCTCTGAAATTATAAGTGAGATGCACCGGAAAAAAAGTACGAAAATATTTTATGATCTCTAGATAAATGTACGAGATTTAATCCTTTTTGCCTACCATTTCTCAGTCTATCTTCTATGGAAGTATCTAGAGATCTTAGTAGTGTTGGCGTGTCAAAAAGTTCCAATTTTTCCTTGAGCATTGCTTCTTTCAATCTTCTATTTAATTGCTTTGTTTTTTGTCATGTATCTTTTCTGAATCTTTATTGCATAATTATTATGCTCATATGTGTGGTACTGAGTTTCATTTTCTTCTGAATGGAGATATACTATTGCATGGGCAATCTGCCTTTTCCCAAGAACAAAGATGCTTTATCTGCATCATATTCAGGCTTACTTTTCCAGTGTATCATTCTGCTTATCAAAAGTATCATATATTCTACTTCTGAACTTGTTTGGAGAAAATAGGTGAAAATATTGAGCCCTTGGAGCTTGAGGAAGCTGCAATGAGGAGTAGTCTTATTCAACAGATTGTTGTTATTGGCCAGGTTTGTTTCAGAGATCATTTTTCTCAAGTCCTGAGCATTTTCAGACGCATTTCCACATTTGTCCTCATCTATGGTCTTTCATTTGTAAGTTGGTAGTTTTAGTTTATATATTTACTATCATAAATCATATGCAGGATCAACGTCGTCTTGGAGCTATAGTTGTTCCAAACAAAGAGGAGGTACTAGAGGCTGCAAAAAAGTTGTCCATTGTAGATGCAGATGCCTCAGAGCTGAGTAAGAAGCAGGTCACCGGCCTGATAGATGAAGAATTAAGGAAGTGGTAACATTCTTTTAACTTGAACTAATCTGAAGAATTGGAACTATAAAGACATGTTTTATAGTTTTTGTGGTAGTTTAGAACAAATTGAAAAGATACTGTGGGTGCAATGGAAAGATGTAGGAGTTTTGTGCTCAGAGAGGTGGTGGTGCAGAGCGATGGCAGATGAAATACTTACATGTGGAATATTTTCCTGGACTTGCCAATCTGCGTTGGGTAATCTTGAGGCTAGAGTGGGATCACAAAAGTACAGGGGATGGATGGAGCTTTTGAAAGACTTTGCTTTCCTTTATATCATTCTCATGCGTTTTTTCGTAACAAATTAACGATTTAACTAACAACTTGAAGAAATGTAGTACACAACAAACTAGTCTTCCCAATCATTACTTCAATTTTTGGATTACAATTTGTTTTTCTTTGTTTTGATTGTTATGGGGTTTGCTCCTTTGTTTGTGCATAGCTATGCATTTGTGCTCATTATAGCCGTGTATCGGGTGGTTCTCTGTTCATTTTTATTTGATGCAATCATCGTGGAGTATTTGGAAAAGAATTGAATTTCTTTCTATCCTAATCATTGCTTAATCGAATGCTCTGACAAGCAGGACATCGGAGTGTTCTTTTCAAATTGGACCGATCCTTGTTATCGATGAGCCTTTTACAGTAAGCTTCACACTAGCAGTCTATTCTTTATTGGCACTCCATTCAGGCAACATCTGCCATTTGGCTCAATTACATTCTTTATTTTGCAGATTGAGAGTGGCTTGATGACCCCAACGATGAAAATCCGAAGAGACAAAGTTGCAGGACTATACGAAGAACAGATAGCCAATCTCTACAAGTAGTTGATGTGATCAATGCATATACGAAGATCAAAGAATACGCGGAATTATGACAGCCTTGACAGTGAGCATAAAAGTCTGAAACCCTCATTTAAGTACACACAATTTGTATCTTTGCATGTCTTGCAATAATTGTGCTAATAAACTGATTAGAACAGTTTAATCTGTGAATAATAACTGGTGTTTCCAGTTACTAGTAATTAAAACTATCAGGAGTATTCAACTTTCCCCATGCACTTTTCGTTTGTTTTGCCAAATAGTTTTTTTCTTTTTTCTTTTTATTTTTTAACACGTTATCCCATTTGAAATAGGATTCAGATTAGTGTTTATTCCTTCAATCTTTTACTGGTACTAGAGTAGGATCAAATAAATTATACATCAAATATGCTAATAAATATTGTGGATATGGATGCTTGACATTTTTGGGGATATCGGTATCAAAAAAAATCCAACTATGCTATATTTTTACTGTAAAATATGTGAGTTTATGGATTTTTGTGAACCACTAAACTTGCTAGAGTTCTTGAAGCTTCAAAAGATGAGTATGGAAATGCAAGAGTTAAAAGCAAGAAGTTCAAGAAATGGCTGAGGTGATTAATGAATCGAAGTTAGTGTTGAGGGCTTGTAGGGATATGAGTATATATATATGTGGGTGTTTGTTAGTTTGTTCTGCCATATGCTTTTGCATGTTTTAAGCAAATAAATAGGTGTTGCTGTCGTAATTTTGATTAAGGAAGAAATGAAAATTGGGAGTGCTTTTGTATTTCATGTTTAGCAAAAATTGTTTCACCTATTTGTGTATGGTTTGTATATAATCGTAAACATCTAATTACAATGCTTAACCAACATTTGTTAATATAAATATCACACTGATATTAACACAAAATAAGAACATAATCAACCTAGACTGGTCTATTTTGTAATCATGTGTCATTAGAAAATTTTATTTTCAGCTAAAAATAAATATTACATTCCCAACAATTACATTTCAACAGACATTTAAGAATCCGTATACCAAACATTCTCTAATTGGTTGTTCAATTTTCTTAGTTAAGGAGGTGTTTGCGTAATTAGGGAGCTGCATAACAATGAAATAAATGAATCCAAGTATAAAATTATCTCTAAACTAACCCTTAACATAAGATGTTATCTATAATTGACTAAAAATTGAATACTCGCATGAAATAATTGACTAGAATTGATTTAAATTACCAATTAACGATAACAATTTACCATCATCATGCTGTTGTTTTTGTAAAGAAATTTGAGCTCTGATATGCAACAAGCTAGGTTAATATGTATCATTCAACATTTGGATTTAGATGTTATCAACCTAGACTTGATGTAGCCTACATATATGCATGGATGGTCTAAGCCCAAGCTTAGCCCTTTTGGACAAAATAAAATGAAGAGACAGAAAAGGCCATAATCTCAAGACTTTCATAACGGATCAAAATCATTTCAATCCAGGTCACAGAAAACCAATTGGAAGACTAGTCTATTTTGTTTTTATTTTTACAAATAGTATCCTAAGAGTAAATTATATATTAGTCCTTCTAGTTTTGAAAAATGAATTAATTAGTCTTTTTTTGTTTCAAGAATTAATTATTTAGTTCCTTTTTTTCTTATAACTTAATTCTTTTTAATTTATTTTGATTTTTTATTTTAAGAAATAGAAAAAATAAAAAAATAAAAAATATAGAATGATTGATGAGAAAAAAAATGAAGGTTTTTTTATAGTTAATATTAAACTTTCATGCTATTTCAATGTGTTTGTAGTAATCTTAAAAAAGAAGTGATGTTTAAGGTACTAATTCGGATAAATTTTATAATGCACAAAGAGTAACTAGTGACATGTACAGTAGTTACTTCATGAATCTACTTGGAGGATAGAGATAGACACATAAAAAGGAGATAAAAACATGAAAGAGAAAATTAAAAAAAAATTGAGCAAACGTGAAATTTTCTTATCACTTTTGATGAGTCCGGATGTAATTTTATGTGTCTATCTCTCTTCTCCAAGTAGATTCATGAAGTAACTATTGTACATGCTACTAATTAGTCCTTCGTATTATAAAATTTCTCCTACTTCAAACCATAATTGAACTATTTTTGCAAAAATTTATAGCATTATTACCATTGTCAATGCATTTCTTTGTTTATTAATAATATTTTTAAAAAGTATTTGTGTATATTATTATATTTTATGTTATTAAGCATACGAGTCTAAATAGTAAATCAATTAGTTAATTAAGTAATTTAATCGTTCAAGTAATCAAGTCAATTTCGCCTTGTTTGTTTTGGTTAATGACGTATGTTATATGTGATTTATGTTAAATGAGATTTACATTATCTCGTGACGATTTTCATTAAAATAAATAATATATTTTTACTAATTTTAAATCAACTTCTTAGATTTTCGAATCTAAAAAGTAAATTACAAATCTCAAAAAGATTTATTCAGTATCTTTCTTCTTTTTCAGTTTCACCAAACAATAATCATTATTTTAACTTTATGGTAGATTTTAATTTTATGTTAGAAAGGACATACCAATTCAATTGACGAGGTTTCAAGTTCAAGTTCATATATAGGCACTCAACCTGCTTAGTATCCCCTTTCTCATGGTGAAAAATTATTTTCTAGATAAATTATATTTTAATATGGTGTCTTACAGATTTTAATTTTCTTTTAGATAGTGATAACCATATCAACATTAATTTTTTTTAATGTTTAATGATTAGGAGATCATCAGGCCATTAATCCCTCACGCAGAGGATCTCAATGGTTAATGGTTAAGGACTCCTTAATTAGAGTATAGATAGATTTTTTGCAATTATAAACCTGCTTAATTTAAGACACTGAAATTAAGTAGTATTCCATCAGGACAAATGGGCAATCCTTCTTACGACAGGAAACCAGAAGAAACAAGGTTTCCACGTAATCCTTATCAATTTAGGACTACGCCTTCTGACCTTGGATATAAATTGAGAACCGAAGCCTTTGAAACTGCATAACTTGATTAGATCCTAAATCACAACAACAGCTTCAACGATGACGACCGGTAAACCAGTAAAGGTGCGTGAAGTCTGGGCAGACAACCTCGTATACGAATTTTTTCTGATAAAGCAATCAATCTCTCAGTTCTCATTGGTTGCTTTGGACACCGAATTCCCTGGTACTCTCTTTCAATTAACTCTCGACAAGAGTTTGCTGTCTCAAGCCCCTCCTTCTGTCAACTATCTTCTCATGAAGTGCAATGTTGATCTCTTGAAAATAATTCAACTTGGGATGACTCTGTCCGATTCACAAGGAAATCTTCCAAGTTTAGGATCAGAATTCCACTACGTTTGGCAGTTTAATTTCCGAGATTTCGATATCGAGCATGATAGTTACAATGAAGAGTCTATTGAGTTACTTGAATGCCACGGTATTGATTTCAAGAAGAACAGAGAGAAGGGTATTAATTCCTCAGATTTTGCAAGGTTGGTTTTGAGTTCTGGACTTGTTTTCAATAATTCTTCAATAAGTTGGATTACTTTTCATGGTGCTTATGATTTTGGATTCTTGATCAAGATTTTAACTAAACAAAAGCTGCCATCTAATGTGTCATCTTTTTTGGCGCTGATGAAATATTTCTTTGGGGATCGAGTCTATGATACGAAATTTATGATGGGAACAATTAGGGGTTTGGTTGGTGGATTGGAGAGGGTGGCTAAGTTACTTGGTGTAGAACGAATAACTGGAAGTAGGCACCAAGCAGGATCGGATAGTCTATTAACGCTGCAGACATTTGTGAGATTTAAACAATCTTACACTAAGCTTGATCTTGAAAAATTGAATGGCTGTGAAAGAATGATGTTCGGAATGTCTGAAGGCTGGCAAGGGTTTACTCGTACACACATATAAACGATTCATTGGTAGTGCTTCTAATCCTGGTGAAGGAATAGCATATGGAGTTGGAGTCTCAGGCCAATAAAGTATTTTTCAGTATAATCCTTTTCGTTTCAATTAAACTTTTTTGTATTTAGAATGTTTGTAAGTCTAAATTATTGAAACTTAATTTGATACTTATAGTTTTTTTCATTAGCTGTATATTTTGATTTGTTTTGCATTAAATCATTTCTTATTGATTTGTCGGAATGAGTAATATTCATAATTGATATGGGCTTATATTACTCTAATAAATAAAAAACAATATAGATCAATTTCTCATTCATGAGTATTTTGCTGCTTCACGTTGGCTCATGTCAGAGGCTTAATTCTGGATGCTGGACATAAATACTCACCATTATTACTCAAGTTTAGGAATAGGCTTAAAAAATTATTATTTTTTAGAATTTGATTTTTTATTTATAATTTTTTTGGTCTTCAAAGTTTTTATAAAAAACATTTTGGTTTTACTTTATAAAGTTTGTGCAATCAAGTTCCTACATGTTTATTTATTTATTTTTTTCAAAATTACTGTTGTGGTTTTTATAGCATTGCAACTGAGATTTGTGGAATTTAGAGTATGAATATGCACAATAAAAAAAGAAAAATAAATCTTATATTATCATGGATATATAATTCAACATTCTCTTGAATTTAAAACATATAATCAGTAAAATGGTGAAATAATTATCGATATTGGAACCAAACTATTTATTACTAGTTTCAACAATTTATTTTTCTGCTAATGGATAACAAAGGATTTGCGACTTTGGCGGGTGCAAATCATGCTTAAAATGGCCAAAAAAAAAAAAAAAAAATTCTAATCATTTAAATTTACAATTAATTATGGATTGATTTAGGTGTTTAAAATTTAAAATCATGTGTTTTATGTCCCAACAGAGGATTTATTAGGGTTTTAAATCTCGATGGATCGGGGAACGCACACTTCAGCTTCTAGTGAGCTTTGCCTTCAATCGCACTTGCATGACATTTCAAATCCTCTCATACGTGTGCACGTGTAAGTGCATATTTTCATTTGGAATGTTTTGAAAACAAAAAATTCCTAACATCTTTTTTAAAAAAAAAAAAAAAAAAATTGGATACCATTTTAAAATATAAAGACATATCAATTAAGCTATTTTCTCTATATTCTATACCACTTTTCAATAGTTGTATTATGTATATCAGAGTCGCACTTTAAGTTTTTAAATTTAAGAAAATAATTTTTTATATTAATAATTTAATATATTGTCATTTTACATTTTGCAAGTAGCATAATATTACTGTTATGCCCAAAACATCAACCTTTATTTTTAACATTTGTATCGATAAGTTATTAAATTATAACCTATCTATGTATGGTTTGAGCTCAAGATTATTTATACAAAACAAAATGGAGTGAGTAAAATTCTATGGTTTCAACCTTTTTGGTTGATCAAAATCATTTCCTGAAACCATACTTTTACAATTTTTTTCTTTCTTGTAATTGATAAATTTAATAATTTTCATATTTATCTAAATTTAAATGATATAATTATATTATTACAACAATTAAAGATCTCTTATCGATACAATTTATAAGAATAAAAAGGTGATTATTCATATATATATATATATGTATCTTAAGAAAAAAGAAATGCTGTTAGTATGAATAATATGCAGCAGTGAAGATATGAGAGGTATTATCTATTGCGTGATAAATTTCATTCATATGATATGTAGATGGATGCAATACGATTTGCGTTCGTCTGCTTTGTATTCCATGCATGAACAAAATATGAATTTATTTGATTAATTATTATTTTTTTTTAAAAAAAAGATAAATCAAGTTTTCTAAAGCAGGTGATTGGTGGATGGTATAAAGATGTTTTTGAAGGTTAGATTTTTTAAAAATTTTGGAAGAAAGGAACTGCACTTTTAACTGCTTCCTTTTGTGTCTACTGAGAATTGTATGCCTTGTGACGCAACAGATTGGAGTAGAGGCCACGTATGTGCCTCCAAGAGCAGAAAAAATCAAGATTTTTGCATATCTCCATTCAAATTATATGTAGTTACAAACTGATTCTGCACTCAAAACTACTTGCAGTTAACCACCGAAGTCATCTCAAGGAACTTTGTTGATCCCAAGTCTTTAAAGAGCAGTCTGAATCAAAGCTAAGATCTTTCAATGTCGGCCGGTTACATTTTACGGGAACTGGAAGGCCCTTCAAGCTTGGAGACCTTTGCTGATAAGCACTAGGCCTTCCATACCTAGCACTGCTTGGCACTTCTTTAGTTGTAGATGATATTAGAGAAAGCTTATTCTTACATGGAGAATAGCTGCCAGAGTAAGCATCAAAACTCCCTGGCCTACTTAGCTTCTTCGGTGAGCTCACTGATCTTGATTTTGCCTTGGCAGATTCAGTTGCTGCCATGTAAGGTGGAACCACAGGAGACCTAGAAAAGGAATCCTCTCCCAATGAGTATTGCTTTCTATGGAAGGATTTTCTTGGAGCTGAAACGGGAGAAACTATGCCCTCATGGTGATATAGTCTCTGCAAACCTCTCAGCTTAATCTGCTTTCCTCTATATTCCACTCTAGGCTTTGGATTTGAAGTTAAAACTGAGTCTAAATCTTCAAGTTCTTTACTTTTAACAACTTGAGTATCCACCCAATTATCTAACCAATACCTCCATCTTCCACTTGTCTTGTTTCGCTCCGCTTCTGCTGAATTCTGAAAAGTTTTTGTTTTTGTTTTCATCCATTCAGAAAAAAATACTGCTCCAGGAAAAGCCAAGTCTAAAAAGTGAAGATGCAAAAATGGAGAAGCTTACCCGGCGGTTGAACCAGTATTCTCTTATTCGTTCTCTCTTCATCGCTGCCTCTTTCTTGCTTAGAAACGAGGCATCTGCCTCTTCCTTCGTCAGAAGGCTGCTATCCCATCTTCTTTCACTGTTCAAATCCATCTGAAAACACGGAAGAGAAATGCTTCCATTATTCGTATATCATGACACAGACATGATAACTTCAAAATGTTGTTAAGATAGAGGTGGAAGTAGTGGCACAGGCTTAAGATATTGAGATGTTTTGAGTTGCTGAGATGACAACAAAGATCTTCTATGCCTACCTTTATTATCTTGTCACTCAAATTTTCCAACTGTTTATTTTCAACACAGGTCCAAGCTCCTTCCACCGTTTGGATCCTTTTTGCACAGACCTGTGACTGTAAATTTACAATGGATTGCAAGCATTTCAGAGTAGTCATGGCTTGGCGTCTTACGTTTCGCCCTCTGATAATAGCTTGAAGCTTTACTATCCCCTTCAGCGCCCGCAAAGCTTTCCTTGCCTGCCGAAATAAATAGTTGAGATTGTCTGATCTTAATCAAGTTCTTGAATTTAAAACTGAGGCTAAGTGTTTTGATCTCACTAATTGCCTTTTCTACAGAAAAAGTTTCAATAAGCAATTGATTAAGCTTACTAAAAAGGAGCTTTGATTTGTCAGATAGACAGAACAGCTTGAACAAACTTACAAGGTAGCCCCGAAAGGCAGCTTGAATTTTAATGGCAGCCAGTTCTTTGATCTTCCTCGCACATTGATAAGTGGAGTGAGGGGCATCAGGTTCAACTTTGATGCCTAAATGATCTGTTTCTTTCTCACATTTACTGATAGAATGAGGAGCACCAGTGATCAAAACCACCTCCGCCGCAGCCTGAGCAGCTGCGACGGCTGCTTCAGCAGCAGCAGCAGTGGCAAGAGCAACGCTTAAAGCATGCTTGCTCTGCTCCTCCTCTGCTTCAACTAATGGTGTTCTTTTTGTTGGTGGTGATGCTGGTGCTGCAATGGAGGCTAGTCTACTCTTGACCTTAAACTTTCCAAAAAAAACCCATTTTCTTCCCCTGTCCTGATGATCATTGCCATAATACATCAAGTCACGCATTTTAACAGACACTGAGAGATATGACAACGGAGAAAAATTATCTACCTTTTCTCGTTTCGACTGTGTCTCTGGAGTAAACAATCTTCTCACTAGATTGAACCAGCTTCTCTTCTTAGCCATTGAAGCACCACAACTTCACACAATATTGCGAGATCCTCAATGATCTGAAAAGTTTTCAGCAAAGCAATAATTTATTAGTTTTTCTTTTCTTTTCTGCAACTTGCATACAAATCTTAAACTAACTAGAAAATGCTAAATTTCATGAAGATTCTGATGTAAACTAACCAATGGCTTACCATCTCCTGAAATCAAGGTATTTAGTGAGTCAAACAAGAAATGCTACTTCAAACAAATCTCAACTCTTGATGGCTTGTATAACATTTATGGAACTAAGATACTAATGAAAAATCACAAACACCAAAAAAGTTTGTTAACTTCACAAGTTGGTGGCATTTTTGCTGGTATGTTTTGTATTTCTATGCAATCATTCATCTTTTCCATGATGAATTTCTTCTGTTCAAAGCAGTGGGCCTTTACGTAAGAATTGCGTAGAGGGGCAAGAAAAATGAAAACCTCGAGCCATCCATCTCATTTTCATGGAAAATACCTCATAGAAAAAGCCCTTTTAAGCCTCATGGGGCCTCCCACCTTTTTTCCATCTTTCATATTTCTCAACTGTAACAGACTTGTACAAATGTTTGTTGGGATTGGAATTATTGAAGTACCCTCATGATCTCCTGTCCATTTGGTTACTTGGAAATGCAACTTGAAAGACTACGACTACTACTACTACTACCACTACATGTTTTTTTCGTGGATCTTTCAAGTACCTAAATTTGCCAAAACGATGAATTGAGCCCTCAAATTTTCCAGGTTACCGTTTCCCACCCTTCATGACAGGCCTTTCATTGCTTCCAAGGTCATCTCTATGTCTAGGAAAAGAAAGTGGCTGTTTCTATAATGACATCAAAACAAGGAGAGACTGTTAAAAGTGCAGTGTCCTCTAGCACATGCTTCTGCTCAGACTATTATTGAGGAAAGTGGGGATGGAACCAAATGTGCAAAAAAGCTGAGTGGGAATGTGCAGATGAAACCAAAATACACTTAGCTTGTAAGATGGAAAGACAGCTGTGTGAGGGCCCTCATTGGAGAGGAATTGTCATAATTTTATTCAGCTTTTGGAAAAAGAATGAAAGATAATTCTCCTTCCTCTTTGGAGCTAGCATTAGTTGCCTCTCTATTACCATCTTAAAGTCACATGCATGCCCTTAAATCATCTGTCTAGGTGTAGGTCTGCCTAGCTAGTTGGAAATTGATGGGCTTAAACTGGTGCTGGTGAAAATGTCAATGCAATCACTGTTTCACTAGTTTCTTCCTGTTTCAACTGTAATGGGACGAAATGACTTGTGGAATTACAAAGATATATAACAACAGAAGCATGGAGTTTATGAACATACCTTTTAACTTCGGTTCGAAAATAATTTCTGAATCATGTAGGGATTGTTTCACTCGTCGATAGATTTGACTATTTGAACAGAGATAAGATTCTATTATTCAAGAATCTTTCAGTGTTAACTCATATTCAAGATTAATTTGAAACATGACCTGTCATATTTTTTTATTGGTAAATTTTTCGTGATAGATTATGTTTTTCTATTTCGATATCAGTATCATTGTATAACCATGGACATCCAATTTTCGAGTCCAAGCAAAAAATTCCATACCATAGACTTGGTTGCCATAGTTCAATTGTCCTTTGAAGCAGATGTCTTTAAAGGCCTCAAATTGAGTGGTTTTTGACTTATGATTTCTAATTATAGCTCCACCCTTTACAGACATCCAATTGAATTTGGAGCCATAATTCAATAGGAAAAGTTATCATTGATGTTCATCAATGTTTTTTATTTATTTATTGAAAAAAGTGCATTTTCCTGTTACCTTCAGAATATTAGTGCTTACCTGACACATTCTCTCCGTCCGTAAATGGCAAACAGGAATCAGTACTACATGTTTTCCACTACCAATTCTTACTTTTCTAGCAAAGTACATTTTAAATAAAATATTTACTGCATGTGGGTGTTAAACAGCTTCTTCTTCCTATGTCTTAATTGGTGACTGAAATCTTGTCTCTCTTTTGAGTTAAAATTGATTTTTTTTTTTTTTGGGAGAATTTGGGTGGAGTAAATTATAAATTAGTCTTTGTAGTTTAAAAAATGAATCAATTAGTCCTCTTGTTTCAAAAACTAACTATTTAGTCTCTATATTTTTAATTTTTTTTATAACTTAATGCTTTTTTTTTCATTTTTGTCTTAAGAAATAAAAAAAAAGTAAAAAGTACCAAAGAATTGATGGGTAAACATGATATTTTTTAAAATAAAATAATATTAAATTAAGCATGGTCTGGTAAAAAAAAAAAAATTGGTTTTTTAAATAAAAAACAATTAATTTGTTTATCAAAAATAGAAAGTCTAATTTATAATTTACTCGAATTTAGGTGACATGTTATATAACCATTTATTAGACACTTAAAAATTAATAGTTTAGGAAAAGGGGAAATCATAGAGTTCAACCTAAAATAAACAAAATTAAATCAAATTTGAACCAAAAACCTCTTTACAATATGACTGGTATATCTTTATTTTTATAATTTTTTAATGATAACATATTTTTTGAATTATTTTTTGCATATTAAAATTAATTTTTTTAATTAATTTTTAAAAAATACATCGCCATCCAAATTAATATATTAACGAAAACTTATTATTATTATATTGAGATATTTTTATTGTAAGGAGCAAATCTACTTATCAACTCATGTTTTTGTTTGCAGGTTGAGAATTCACGGGCATTAATTGATGTGTTGTCTTTCCTCAGGTCCAATCAGTGCTTGGCCCAGGTTTTTTTCTGGCCTTCCTTTTAAGGTCCAGAGAACTCTGTAAAATCCCATCAGAACAAGCCCATGACATGCACTCGAAACCGCATAGCCATATTTCAGGCCCGTGGGCTTCTTTCCTTGAAATGGACCTTTTGTGTAGGGCTGGTTTGGTAGTTGCATCTGCGAGTAAATTATAAATTAGTCCTTTTAGTTTTAAGAAACGAATTAATTAGTCTCCCTCATTTAAAAAAAATATATTTAGTTTCTATATTTTTAATTTTTTTGTAACCTAATCCTATTGACATTTTTCAATTTATTTTCATTTTTTACTTTAAGAATAAAAATAGAAAAAAATAAGTAAAAAATTATGAAAAGATTGATGAGAAAATAGAATATTTATAAAATAATATTAAATTAAGTATAATCAATTTTAGTTAGATTTCAATTTATCTTTTCAAAGTACTACATGTACTCATATGATATAAGATTTCTTGGTAACATTTTGTGTAGTTTTTAAAAAATTTCAATATCCCTATTTGTTTAATAATTAGGAAATCCCACTTTTTATTTTTTCTTATTTTTACGTTATATCAAATTTTAAATTACCTATTTTCACTAAAAAAAAGAATATTATCATTTAGATTCATATCTAATAAAAGGAAAATATTTTTTTAGTGAATGTACCTTTGCCTTATGAATGATCTATTCGGAAAGAAGAATATATTATTTTTGACGTGCAAAAGTAAATCTATGGATAAAAGGATCATTATTTTTGAACTAATTTTTGCAACAATTTTTGGAAGAAAGTCAATTTTATGATTTTTTTTTTGTGAAATGATTAAAAGAAGTATTCATGGTCAATATCAATTATAAAAAAATAAATAATAAATAAATTTCCACGTTGGATTTGGATACAGGTATCTGATAGCATCAATGAATATATAAATCTTTTTTCACAAATTTCTTGTTTTTAAGGAAACGTCCTAACCCCACCTTTATAAAGCAAAAAACTCTTCCTAAGACCAGAACCGAAGCCTTTTCTTTTGTCCTTTGGTTTCTTCTTCACTTACGTTTACACGAATCCAATCTTCTCTGTTCCATTCCAATACTCCCTCCCTCCTCTTTCTTTTCCTTCGAACGAAAACACTGTTAAAGTAGTTACCTTTATAGAATAATGAGAGACTGAATAGGCAGAATCTTGATTTGATTAGGAGGTTGCTTGATCTGTAAAGTATAATGGGCAATTGGAGAAATCGTCCACCACGTAGGTTCTTTAACAAAACATCAACAACGAATTGTAATGACTACTCTGAATATCCTCCTCACTCAAGTAAGTATTTTTGTCAATATTTCTTGGGTATATATATATAGTTTTTGCACTTAAACTTGAATTGCGTGGATTCTTGATTTTTCTTGATGGGTTTTTGTTAGAATCTGTTTGTGATTGTTTGGTTGATTTTTTTATTTGGTTTATGTTTTTTCTAGTAGGGAGTTTAAAAATTGTTGCTTTCTTTGATGCGTTTGGTAGCTTAGAAAATGGTGGAATCAGACTAGAAGGTTTGATGATTTTTTAATGTTGCTTGCTAAGAAAAAATGAATCTTTGATTGGGAAGCAGTCACAATTGGGGAGCATTAATTCAGTTGGTAGCTGAGAAAGTGGTAGGAGAGATTGGACATTCATATCATTACGGATGTTGCATGTTAAAATATATATATTTTTTTAAATGCAGATATGGTATAGTTAATGGAGTTTCAAAAGAGGTTATTTCCTCCGAGGGAAGGAAGAGTAAGAACAAGAAAATGATGATATGAAAGCAATAGAATTGGGTTTGGATATGCCAGCTATACTTATTAGTTAGTACTTAGCATTGAAAGTGATTTTTTTCATTTTCAAAGATGCATTTATAACATTTCCAAATCTACATCAATTTCAATGTTTTTTTTTTTTTTTTTGTCCTCGCGTATAATTGTTAACTGTATTCGTGATTCGTGACAGTGAAAGTTACGTGTGGTGGTTTTTGGCTGAATACTAGTTCAGTTTATACTTAGATTTCTTAGCTGTTCTCATGATTTTCCTGTTGCTTGTTAGGAATTTATCAGTAATGAATGTTATGAGTTTTGGGGCAGGGAATTTTATTGTTAAAATAAAGTGCACCTTGATGTTTTTCCTCGATAAATTCTATGGGTAGAACTTCTACTGCCACTATTCTTAGAAGCCGGCAGAGATTGATTATTCTCGAAGCCAAGATTTTACTCCTTTTCTGTTTGTTGTTTATGTGTCTATGTTTGTACATGTGCTTGGTTTCTTGTATGAGGAACACCTTGTTTGGGAGGATGACGGTTTCATAGCTAGAGTAGAAGACCTCTTGGGTTGATTTCCAGCATGCTAGCTAAAATATTAACCAGTTCCATAAATTACATGTTATTATATGGGCTCAATTTTATTCCTAATTAACTTTGTTTCATGAGCAAGGGTAGATCACATCGTGTCTCCAATGACTTTTGGCCCACCTGCCTCTAAGTTGCCAAAATTTGTGGAGTTTTGTTCCCAAGTGACTTTTCTTCATGAGCAAGGGCATATCGCATCGTCAGTCCAATGAATTTTGGTCCACCCACCTCTAAGTTGCCAGAATTGGTGGATTTTTGGTGTATTCTAACACTGATACTGTAATTAATGGTGGAAAATGTTTAAGCTAAACAACTTTCATTGACTAACTTATTTTTGGAATTCCACAGTTAGAGGGTCCTTTTGGCTAATTTATTGGTGCATTGTTTATCATGAGAAATTTGGAGATAAGAAAGGAGCAAGAAGCTTCCAAGAGATTAACATTATTTTATGCATATGAATTTGAGCTTATTTTCACTACCCATTTATGCATTCTTTTAAATTGCTACGTGCTGGCAATTTTGTGTGACTTTCTTTTCTACTTTGGGGCAAAGCCCTGATGGATTCCCCATCAACACCACCGCCACATCCCCCTCCCCCTCCCTCCCCCTCTCCCCCCCCCCCCCCTGTAGTTCACTGTGAAGCACCTCTCAGAGTGAATTTTGAACTCCCTACTAGCAGCTCTTTTGTGGTTACATAGTTAAAACTTATGGGAATTTTTGAATTCAGTAGCGTGGTGCATACAAGATCTTTAAATTTTAGGTGGTACATGAGATAATGCTTGTGTAGTTTTTCTGCTTTGGTGATAAGTTCCTTTCCACTTTATGTTATATATTCTCTTTAGGTATTTTTATTAGTGTTTCTCTTTAATCCTTTTAGGCTTTGTTGATGATGGTGTTCCCTCATGGGAAAAGAAGTTCTGCACTTTGATTGGATCAGTACCGTGGCGGAAGGTTGTAGATGCTAAGAAGTATATGTATTGTCATGGTAACATACTCGATTGGGATGACTCAGCTTGTGAAGAGGCATTTCAGAATGCTAAAAAACGCTTCTGGGCAGAGATGAATGGTGTCTCTTGTGGCATCTCTCCACCTGATCCAAATATATATATTGATGAAGTAAACTGGAATCCCTACATTGATTCTGAAGTCATCAAGGACTTAGAGCGAGATCTTTTTGTTCCTGATGAGGGAGATAAAGGTGGCAAGGTAGGGCGTAAAAACAAAAATAAAAGGAACTTTGTCTCCATCCCTTCAGATGGATGTTATGAGAATACAGATGATGTTAAAAATCCTTGGGAAAGTAACAAAAATATGCAAAGCAGTGTGTCTTTGACTGATAAAGTGAAGAGCTGGAACCAATGGGAATCTAATATCAACACATCAAGTAATTTAAATAATGTTGATAACCCCTGGGAGCGTGGCCTTTCTCAGGAATATGAAGCTGTGAAAGGCAAGACATGGGGTGTCTGTGAGAATAAATCATGGGGATGGAACCATGTTGATAAGTCAAATTATTCGAATAACAGCAGCAACACTTGGAAGCGTGGCTGTCAAGGAGTTGACTCTGCAAAGAGCAAAGGATGGGTCAATATAAGGGATAGTTCTTGGGGCTTTAACCAGCAGGAATCAAGGAAATGGAATAGTGGCTGCAATTCTAGGGGAAAGAGCTTTATTCAGGGTAGTGGAGCTTCAAAAGATAGAAGATGGGGTGATAACAGCGGCAATTCTCAGGGTTGGAAACAGTGGGATAATTATGGTAAAGATACAAAAGATTTGGACTTTAGAAAATGTGGTGGTGATTGGGGAACCCGGAACGAAGGTTCCTCGCAGAGGGAAAGTACCCACCAACATATAATTGGCTATGAAGGCACAAGGTTTCAAGGGGATGGTTATCAAACAGGTCATTCCTGGAGTGGAGGAAGAACTAAGAGGAGGGTTAGTTATGCTTTTGAATAGCCAATGTTGTAGAATAGTCTTTTCTTTCTCTTTTTTCCTTTTGTCTGGGAAACAGGTGCCTGGGCTTCCAACTCATATTTATGAAGATGACAGAAGTCCACCGCATCAAATGGAGCAGGTTTTTGCAGATGCCATCAAGCTTTTAGATTTCTGTTTCATTTCTTAGCTCACAAAGTTGTGCTTCTATGTGAAATTCGCACTGCACCCTGACAAATAAGAAAGAAATAATCCTTCTGGGTGTTCAATAGTTCATACATGCATTTCCTTCAGAAATGCTACAAACTGAATTTTTTTTTTTGGAATTCATCATCAGTTGTGTGTTTCTGTCCGGATTGTATCTTGTGCAGTATCATAAATTGAATGTTAACCTGCCAAAAACAGTTCCCCTTTTGGGTGGTTAATGCCGTACTGACATCTGATTGTTCAAGTCAGGTGATTCGATCATCTTTCCACTGTTGAAAGTACTTTTTTATATTTGGTAAATTTCAGATTTGTATGATGTATAGATAAAAATGAAGCTAGATGAGGTAATGCGGAACTCACAGGACGAGGCAATAATTTTGCAAATGTAACAAGTAGCCAAAAATATCGTCAAATTTTCAGTTTCAACTCAAAACAAATAGATACCCCTAAAAACATTGTAGGAGTTAAAACATATGCAAAGAATTACTCGAATTCAAATTGTCCAAGCCATCTTTATCAAAAATAAACATAACAAATGCATCAGGGTACAGGACATTTGTTTTGCCCAGCTTTGAATGAAGCAAGCAGAAAGGTCAGTAGAAAAGTAAAAAAGCAGAGGTAGACTGGGACATAATGATCATATGGGAGTGGTATCCACCCAGAAAATGGAGTATAATCATCTAAATATAATCTTCTCCTTCTTTTGCTGCAAAAGGCAGCGACACTAAGTATGGAAGCAATCATCTAAAAAGAATTGCAATTACATAGCTTTTCTAAACTAAAACTTACAACCCGAGATGTGCTCCAAAATACTCAGCAGCCTTCTAAAGAAAAATTAGCTCTCAAGTTAGTCTGAATATTTTCTGGATTATTTTTTCTCTCTCAAACTCTGTACATGTTTGAGTCCTTTGGCTTGGCCTGCAATGATGAGGGTATTAAGGATTTTCAGTTTCAGACGAACTGAAAAATGATCATCCAACAGTATCAGGACTTTAGAGCTGATCAAGTTGCTTCTTACCGTGGCGAAGAAAATAACCAGTTGAAACAACTGATTCAATCTGCTCCAGATCCTCAGGGACTCTGAGTGAAATCCTGTTCACCAATACCATCAATACAGACTAAGCACTTGCGCACTTGCTTCTGCACGTCATCTCTCTCTGAATAGACGTCATCTCTCTCTAAAGAGCTGATCTAGTAAACGATCACGTTTGCTTCAAATCCACCTAACTCAGCAATTCACCTGGACTATGATCTTGTTCTTTCCTCATTATTTGGTAGCCATCATAAACCTTCAAAAAGTTCGATTCTTTGCTCTCATCGTTGCCCTACACTATCATCATTGCAATTACCATTGTCATCAAAAGCACTCAATAACTCCTTCACAACACTTTCCATCACAACTATATCAGTAGCCACCCAGTCCTTCATCCATGGGAATTCTAAACCATTAACAACCCACACATTTTCTCTAAGCCAAGAACGCTCATCATTCCCTGGGTTCTTAATCCAATAAGTTACATTCCTGGGATTGTTAAGCCAGTTAAGCCAGCTCTCGTAAACCATCGTAGTCGAAATCAAATCAAGAAACTTGTCCAGCTCTTCTTCTCCTATAAAAACCTTCCCTCTCGAACCAGAACCCTGCATATTCGCATTCAAAATCATCACTTTCTTTAACGTTTTAGGCCAATAAGGTAACATTTTCTTTAAAAAGAAAACCATTGTTTGATAGAAGGAGGTATCGAATTTCTGTTTCTCCTTGTGCTTGACAAGACCCCAACTTGAAAGGCGTAAATTAATTCACAGTTGATACTATTACCATCATCAATCATGCAGTTCAACCTGGACACATGCAAACTTGGAGAAGAAGGGAAAGAGCAGAGCTTGATTTCAAGAGACGTAAGATTAGCAAACACCTTCATGAGGGCAGGGAAAGCTGCATATTTCATATGGTGGTGAGAGTGCGAGCACAAAAGAGAATCATCAGCACCATCGTCACCCTCTCTTGCACATAAGAATCTGAGGGAGAGAGTGTCGATTTTGGAGACGAGGGAATTCCAGTGCTTGCAAACAGATGAACAGAGAATGAGGGTTTTGGGGTCATCTTGGATGTTTGACAATATTTTGAGGATTAAGTCATCTGGGAGTTTCTTGAATTTGTCAGCTAATCTTTCAGATCTTCTTACAGTGATTTTTGGGTTGTATGATTGTTTCGCTGATTTGGATCTTCTCATTGTCTTGAAGACGCGACCCCCGAGGTTAACGGCAGAGGAAACCTGGGAACAGGAGAGGATTTTGAGTCACTGTTTTGGTTGCCTAGGGTTTTAACACGTCGTCCCGATTTCTGAGGGACAGATTGAGAATAACAAGCATTCTACATCGTCACCTGCTAATTAAGAAAAATTGCTAGCTTTTTTTTTTTGAAGTTTAAATTTTTAGAATTAATATCTAAAAAATTATTAAATATATCTGAATCTATTATGTTGAGGTAGAAGGTGCGTTTTTAAAATCATTAAAAAGAGAATTTAATTTTAATTGACAGACAAATTAGTTCGAAATCTTTCACTATAAATACAATAAATAAATAAATATATAATTGTTATTCTTTAATTTTTTTAGTGTATGATGTGTAATTAATTTTTTTTTTTAATTTCATCTTGACTGAAATAATAAATAAATAAATAAATTGTTATTCTTTTAAGTTTTTTTAGTGTAAGATGTGTCATTAATTTGTTTTTAAAAAAATTTCATTTCGTCTGACATATAAATTAGTTCAAAAATACCTTGTATTATCATTGAACTGAAAAAAAATTCTTACATAAAATCAAAACAATTATATATAAAAAGATGGTAACAATTTTTTTTAGTTAACTTCTGTCTTTTTTTTTTTTTTATATTCTCATATATAAGTCTATATTTTTCATAAACACTTTCAGATAATTTTTTTAAAAAAATTATATTGTCAGATATATTTTTCATAAATAAGAATTTCTTTTTTCATAATATTAACTCAGCTCGGAGACTTTAACAGGCAAAAGTGGAGTAAGATGTGGGCTAGCTTTACACATTCCAAGCTAAGCCCATTAACACCTTCTTGACAGCAAAAGCCCTTGCTGGTTTATCACTCTTTTAAGGAGTGGCTATTCAGGTAGTAAATTATTAATTAGTCCCTCTTGTTTAGAAATTTAAATCAATTAGTCTCATTTTTTTAAAAAATTAATTATTTAGTTCTTCATATTTTAATTCTATCAAAAACTTGGTTCTTTCATCAGGTTTTCCTTAAATTAGTAATTTTTTTTCAAATTGTCTTTTCTTTGATTGAAAATAGAGGAAAGAAATGAATGAAGAAGAGAAATAAAACATCAAAGGAAATGCAAATTGAAAAACAAAATCTATTAATTTAACAAAAAAACTGATAAAATGATTAAATTAGTGATGAAATTAAAATATAAAAAACTAAATTATTAGTTTTTAAAAGGAAAAAGATTAATTAATTCATTTTTGAAACAAGAGGAACTAATTTATAATTCACTCCTATTTACGGGGATATCTATAATGGCAAAAGACTAAATGTAGAGTCTCTCACCTCCTCTAGAGGATGATCCACTAAATTCATTGCAACGCCATGAACAACAGTGACCATGTTTGCAGCAAGCTAGAAAATGGCAGAAAGAATTCAGTATTTCAGAATTCAGATATGGAAGATAGACATGGAAATATATTTATTCCCTTGCCTGTCTGCCTTGGTATGGCAACATTCCTCATAATTAAGGGCCTATTGAAGCTAATTTCTAATTAATGTAGCTACATATATTTTGTCCCGGCCCAAGGAGTGTGACTCAGAGTGATTTATTTTTTTTTAATCATGAAAAATCACATGAAATATTATTTAAAAAAACATGCACTTACAAATATATATATACCAAATCCAAAAGTTTAATCTTTCGCTGTTTCGTTGTTGTTCTATCGGACATACAAAATGTATACAATTACTTAAATAGTTTTTTGTATAAATAAAAACTCGAATTCAAAATTATTTACTTAAATGACTAAAGTTCTTTTCGTTCAAGCTAACTCTCTTACGTAAAATACTTTTTTTTTAAATAAAATAAAATAAAATCTCCACCTCAATTTAGTATTTTTTTTATAAATTCACTAAATAAAAATGTATATCGTGGTAGTTTTTTTTTTTTAAAAAAAAGTTTTATAGTAGGAGTAGAATATGGATTAGGGTAGTCTTTCTCCAAAACTTCTCGGATACGCAGCCAGCAAACGATGGCTATTTGACAAATAAAAATCTAAGGCATCACCGTTCTGCAACGGCAATCTCTAAGGAATAAAAGGAAAACGATGACAGGATCCAAAACCAAGCGACATCGCGATCAAGAAAGTTATTGCGGAACAGACAAAACCAATGAACTACCAGATGATTTAGTTTTCTCAATCTTGTCTAAAATTCAGGACACCAAAACCCTAATACGCTGCTATTCTGTCTCCAAACACATGGCTTCCCTTGTCTCCAAGATCGACACCATCTTACTTAAACTTCCTCATAGGAATCATCATTCTCCCTCATGCCTACGACAAGACCAAGTCCCAGAAGGGGCAATCCCTGGCCTCATGAAGGTGTTTAAAAATCTGAAGTCTCTGAAAGTCAAGCTCTGTCCATGTTATTCTCCAACTAATTCCCCAGCCGCTACCGTTAGGGCAGAAGTTGTGTTTGGCAATGATGATGATGGTGATATACAGTATAACTGGTGTTTGGCATACGAGTTTGGGTCATTATCAAGGACAACTACTGATGGCGATGCTTCATTGTCTTTTGAAATAAACCAGCTCCAAGCTATCAGGGGTGTGGTGAATGATATGAAGGAATGGGCATCTTCTACCTCTTTTAAAGAAATACTTCGGTGTCGACCAAAAACACTGAGTACCTGGGTGATTTCCCTTGCTAAAACACAAGGGTCTAGATTAGTAAGGAAGGTGTTTATGCAAAAAGAACAGCTCTACAAGTTTCTTATTTCGATTTTGAACTCAGGGGTGAACGAGAGCTGGCTTAATAACCCTCAGAATGTGATTTATTTGCTTAACCTGCAGGATGAGAATTGGCTTGAAAAGAAGGTGTGGCTCGTTGGGCAATCTGAAGAGTCAAAAATTGAAATAGAGAGACATTTGGAGAAGTTGTTGCATGATTTTGATGATGATGATGATGAACAATAGTGGAGTAAGTTATAGATTTACTCTTTTATTTTTATGAATTAGATATATTCTTGTGTCTAAAGTCAGTACATGTTCGGTTTAATGCTAAATCATAGTTGGGTTAGGGAATTGTTTTGAACTGCCCCATGAAAGAATTCCTTGAAGCTACGTTTAAGCATCTTCCTTATATAAATAGGTCCATTATGCATTGTCCACTCCTTCAGGCATTTTATTCATTGGTCCTTGGTTTAGTAGTGCCGATGATGAATTGTTACTCTGTGTGATTCTACAAAAAGTTATACATCAACTCAACAACTAAACTTAAGGACCAGAAGACTAATTTTTTCAGTCGAGATCCATGCAGATTGACGTTCTGCGGAATATATGACCCATGCGCTTTTAGGTTCATTAAATAGCTATCGAAATCAATGCTGCCAATTATATCTCTACTAGAAATTGGTTAGCTATCGAAATCAATGCAGTCAATTATATTTCTACTAGAAATTGGTTGAGTTTGTTTTTTTTTTCATAATAAGATATTTTTAAATCTTATTTCTTATGATAAGGTAGTTTTAAACTTATTTATCATAATAAGAGATTATTTAAATATATTGACACATCAGTTATTTTTTTTTATAGACAAATATACTTAAAAACCGTTTCAACTATATTTAAATTACAAGCATGTTATTTTTTAAATAATACCCAGGTAATTTTCTTATTCTCTTTGTTTTAATTTAATCTATATTACCCTCCTGAATAGGTTCTCATTAATTGTCGGAACAACAGAAAGCTTAAAGCTTCTAGGCCGCATAAGAGCTTTTGATCGTCACTGCAACATGGTTCTTGAAAATGTCAGGGAGATGTGGACTGAGGTTAGACATAAACAAGATCTCGTTCTGTCTGTGGTCTATCTATTGCTTCAATCCTGGCTTTTTAAACATGACATTTCTCTTTTGGGCATGAAGAAGGCGCTTCCTGTTAACAAGGATAGATTTATTAGTAAGCTGTTTCTCCGAGGAGATTCTATAATTATTGTCCTCAGAAATCCTAAGTAAGTGGGAAACTGGTTTGTTGAAATTGACTTCTTTTTATGGGATAAAAATAGATTTATATATCTGGGTGTGTATTTTGTTCTATTGGGTACAGTGTGTTTCATCGTAACTACATAAAAAAATCATATATAGCTTATAAACTCAATTTAAGAATCATTTAAACCATAAACCTCAGTCCCTTCTTGCTTAAATTCAAAAACTTAAATCATTAGTCTCCAGTCCTCATTGCACGCAAAAAAAAAAAAAAAAAAAAAAAAAAAAATCCAACTTGAGAAACTAGCCACCAAATTAACAAGGCACTATACAGTAGATGTTAGTTACATCTAAAATCACTTTTGACATATTCGCAAGCTAGAATCAAAGAATAAGAAAAGTCCAGTGATGGAGAAAAAAGGTTTATTGGTTTAAGAAAGTAAAGACACTCATAAAAACAAGAAAAAAACACACCGTTTGATTAATTAAAAATGACATGCCCGTCATTTAAATACAATAAAAATGTATCAATATATTTAATTGAAATGACTTCTACTTAGCATATAATGCCTTATTATAGGAAATAAGTTTAAAATTATCCTATTATAAGAATTAAGATTTAAAAATACCTTATTATAAAAAAAAACTCAAAAGTTGGTTGCTACCTCTCATTATGTTCTCAATTCTTCTGATTCATAGGTCATTTATGGCACGCATAAAGGCTCATGCAACTGCAGCAGGATTTGAAAAAGGAATTGATGGTGATTTTGAACCTGTTCTTTCCATGACTCTTAATTAGTTGAGAAAAGAGATCTGTTCTTTCCATGACTCTTAATTAGTTGAGAAAAGAGATCCAATAGTTGAAGCTTGTATCTATAGTTGCATAGTTGCCTACCTTATCTTATTAATTTTAGTCTCTTGTTGCAGAATAGTTGTAACTCTCATGAATTGTTAGAGTACGTTTTTCTTGTTTCTTTCGTGGAAAAATTAGAGACGTATGTAGTAGTTCTTTCAAAGCTAATTGTAATTTTTGTCCATGTTCCTGTGCAGGTTATATTTACTAATATTCAGGTTTGTATAATCTCCAACCATGGCTTTATAGAGGGAAGCATGTAGTATCCTTTACTATTGAGAGTGCCAACTACTTCTCCGTACTAATTATGTGCTGCATTGGCAGAGATATCTGAAGAAATGTCAGTTTCTGTATTGAATGTTGTCTAGTTCATGAGTTGAAAGATTTTAGTGTTTAGGTGTTAAGGTGCAAATAATTTTATGATAAGAAAGGAGAAGAAAGTAGTTGAGAATTGGAAAATAGTGTTACCCAGAGGGATAAAAAAAGGAGAAGAAACTTCGTTTTGTAAGGAAAATTTTAAGGTGTAGAAAATAACCTAATATTATCAAATAAGTTGTTGTTCTAAAAATAAGCGAGTTGTTCTCTTAGTAAAAATTTTCTATTAATATAAAAGGTTTGAATTTTAAAATTAAACGTATTGAAAAAAGTTAAATCTTATTATTTTTATTTCTAATAAAATTAGTCTTATCTTTATATATAGGATGTATCTATGGAAAAAAAAAAAAACTAATATGTAAACCAATTAAAAATTAAAATATTATTATTAATTAGAATCGGATAACTTGGATATATACGTATGCAATTTCTATCTTATGAGACTATATATATATATATATATATATCATAAAATGACTTGCCTTTATACAACTTTTGAGAATTGTTAAACTTATAGTCCATAAGCTAACTTGTTTGATCTAACCCTTTGTTTAGATAGGGAGGAAAATGCAAGAGAGGAAATAAAATAAGGGTGAAAAGAAAAGTTTCCACCATTTAGATTAGGGAAGAAAGCTGTGGAAAGAAATATAAAAAAAAACATAAAATAGGTAGGACCTATTTTCCTCTCAAAATTGGGAGGAAAACCGTTTAAAACACAAAAATTTATTTTCTTTCCCATTTTTACCCTCAACTACTTCGGCTGTCCCCTTCTTTTATACTCTCTGCATACAAAATAGGTCTGTAAAACAGATCTGCAAATCAAGCCTTCATTTGGAGAAGAAAGCCGAGTGCCAATTGTTGTGCGCCTCCTAGATGAATTTGCAAAGAAAAGGGCAACCAAAGATCTCGGATACTTTCTTGCTGTCTCGACTTTGGAGAACATAGGGGAGGGAAAAGTCAAGCAGCAGACAAGGGATGTGCTATTTTCTGTTGTTTTCAGCGACATCACCTTCAAGATTTTCAGGGGGAGATCTTAGAGGGGGTTGTTCACAAGGTCCTTAAGCATGGGGTTCTCTTGAAAAGTGGGCCAATGGAGAACATCTATCTTTCTTGTATGAAAATGACTGGTTATCGCTATGTGCCTGTTTGTAAATCCAGTTTTCTTGAATGACAAGACGTCTAAGATCGAAAAAGATGTGGTGGTTCGTTTTGTTGTGCTCGGAACAAAGTGGCTAGAGGTAGAAAGGGAATTCCAGGCTTTGGTCAGTTTAGAGGGCGATTATCTTGGATCGGTTTCTTAAAGGTCTGGTCGTACTCGGTTGGAGATCCCATGTCTTCCTAAATTGTATATTCTTGTGCCTCTCTACTCCTTGTTGTGACTTGCCGTTGAGTTCTAGCAACTTAAGTGATTGCTAGACTATCACTTTACTAACTTCATGTTTCCTTCGTTCTGTCTGTAGATGTTGACAAATATCATTACATGATTTTAGAAGCACTTTTCATTTTTAGTTAGTGTGCATGTGTATCAGTTCTTTAGCCTTTCATATTGTTTTGAACCCATGGTTTGCAATGGGAAGTTGAGAACCAAAACGCACTTCTTACTAATGCACAGGCGGTATGGTCCTGTGTATAGTGTTCTATGGTGTTCTTGCCGGTGCACAAGCGGTTCGGTTCAGCTGCAAAGCCGCAGGCAGCCTGAACTACTCTTTGCTATGGTAGTTTCAATTTCCTTCCCAGATTGTAAAGCGGCTATTATATATGGATGTTGTCTTAAATTGTAATAATTTAACTAGAAACTTATGTAACTTGATTGTGGTAGCAGAACAAATTAATACTAAGACTTTCATAATTATCCGTAATGTGTACATACAAATTATATATAGTGTTTGCACATAATTTTTGCTCTCATTTATTTATTTATTTGTTTTAGGTATTATAAAAATACCAAAAAAAAAAAAAAAGATAAAACAAATCAAGCAAAAAATAGAAAAAAAAGCAATTACAATGGTCTAGTTTAGATTAATTTAAAGAAGGGAGCTAATTGAGAAAAATAATAGATTAGAAATAATTCAAAAGACAATCAAGGGCATAATTGAAACAAAATCAAACACCCAAAACATTCTAAAAAATAGCCTAAAAAATACACCCCTTAAAAAGCCATCAAACTCTTCCCCCAAAGCCCTAAAACTATCCTTCAAAAAGCTACAAATAAGCCCAAAAACATCCTAAAAAATAGCCTCAAAACCAACTCCAAAACAGACCCAACACCTACCAAAAGCTCTCAAAATCAGCCCTAAAACTATTACCAACGACCTTCTAAAATTATTACAGAACAACCTCTTTGGACAACCCATTTGAACCACCAAAGCAACCCCCAAACCAGCTTCAAAACCATCCCAAAATATCCACCAAATTAGACACAAAACATCTCTCAAAATAACCATTTGAACACTTTTTGGAGTTATAGCAAAAGAAGAAATAAAAATTATTATTTCTTCTTTTGGAAGAAGAAACCATTACAGAGCAACCTCTTTAGACAACCCATTTGAATCACCAAAGCAATCTCAAAAACACTCTCAAACCAGCTTCAAAACCACCCAAAAAAACCCCAAACAAACCCACCTAATTAGATACAAAACATCCCTCAAAATAACCTCTTGAACACTATTTAAAGTTATTGAAAAAGAAGAAATAAAAATTATTATTAAAAAACAAAAAGGCTAAACATATTTTCGTGTGTTGGATTGTTGGCGGCCACAACATGATGTTTTACGTTGCATTTGATTGAGTTTTTTTGACAGAAAAATAAGCAATAAAATATATCTTGGGCTTTCGGGAACTCTATAAATTTTACAATAAATTTGGCGTGCTCACTCAAGTAATAGGTTATGCCTGTCCGTCCAAAACAACAAATTTGTCTTATTTTTTGTGATTCAATTGACTTTCCATGATTGTTTATAATGCTAAAATAAACTCTTTTTTTTTTTTTTTTTGGATTGCTAAATAGTAATTTTTAAATCCAAAATAAAAAAAGTCGAGAAAATGATGAGTAAAAGCAACAAACTTATTATATGCGTAGATAATAATACATATCACACATATTTAAATTAATTTATGTTGATAATTAATCTAAATTGGCTATTGAATTAATTAATTAGTAAACGAGTTATCGATTATTCTATGAAGACGATTCATTATCTATCTTTTCATTTCGGATAGATGCTACATGCTAAATTTTTATTTTATTATCATTTATGTAATTTTAATAAAAAATATTCATAAAAATTTATTATAAGTATTTAAATATAAAAATATAATCATAGGAGTATTATAGTAAATATACAATAATACATTTTTTTTATTTTTTTCATAATTATCCAAATAAGGAAAATATATTTTCTTTCTTTTCATTTCTACTCTTATCTAAACAATAAGTGTAAAATAATTTTTTTTTCTCATTTTTTTTTCTTTCACTTTTTTTTTCTTTTCTCTCAAAAGAAAATATCTAAACATAGGGTAAAAGTTAGTCTCTGGAATCATCTAAAAACGTGTATAATTGGTTTCAACAGGAGGAACTGTTAATCAAGGATAAGGGTGTGTACGATCGGTATGACTATTTGTGTGGTTTGAATCCTTTTGTGGGGGGAGTTAGAGGGAACTGTAGTGGGATAAATAATATTGATTGTTACTTAGGATGTATTTGGTAAAAGAATAAAGGAGGCAAAAAAATTACCGTAGTAACTTTTCGTCTTCTTCTCTTATGTTTGAAAATAAATAAATAAATAAATAAATGAGAGGAGAAAAAGTTACGAGGATAACCTTTCATCCAAAAGTCGGGCAAAGATTACTTTCTACGCATTTACTCTCCTAGTCCTAGACGTACGTGATGGATTTTGAGTCCATCATAATTTTTCTTTTTTCAATTTTCAAACATTATTAAAACTTTCCTTCTAACAATTTTTTACACCCTTAACAGTTTATTCTTAAATTTTATTCCTTAATATTTTATTAGTATAAAATAGAAATCTTAGTAAAGAGGGAAAATTAATATCCGCAATAGAAAATCTGTCCAAAGTCATAGAAAAGAGTATTGAATGTGTTTAATATCATCAAAAGTAAATTTTTAGTTCATTATCGTATGTGATTGTCACACTCTCGTATTATTTCAGATAGGATTAAAGTGTTATGCAATTGTGTTTTTTTTCTTCTATATATGTAATTTAATAATTCAAAACAATCACATAAAATTTAACGTACTTCAACAGATATCTACAAAGTACAATTATTATTAAAATAATAATAGATCTTTAAAGAAATCCTAGCTTCTAAGAAAATAGACCTTCCAATTACTTAATCCTCCTAAAGAAACCTCAAAAAAATTATAATGAAACTTTCGAATAAAATCCTTACGATATTAAACCTCTTGTTTAATCCTTTCAAAAAAAATTCTCTTGGTAAAACCTCTCAAAATCATACTACTAGTTGTTAAACAAGGAATAAATTCCACCAAATAAGGAATCCTATACTAAATAGGAACACCTATCTTATACGAAATAGGAAAACCTAAATCGTTTTGGAATATCCAACCAAAAAAAAATGATAGTCTAGGAAAAAGATATTAATCTATCCATGTACGAGTAAAATATATATATATATATATATAGATCAAACAAATCTTAGGCATACCATAAACCATTCTGCAAACACTTCTTCAAAAGAAAAGGAAAAAGAAAAAGAATGACAGAATCCAAAACCAAACGACACTACAACCAAGAAATCACTTGGAGAACAGAACTACCAGATGAATTAGTCTTCTCAATCTTGTCCAAAATACACAACACCAAAACCCTAATACGCTGCTATTCTGTCTCCAAAAACATAGCTTCCTTCGTCTCTACGATCGACACCATCTCAGTCAGAGTTACTCACAGGAATAATGATTCTCTCCCTTGCCCGCAACATGACCACTTCCCAGAAGGAGCCATCCCTGGTCTCATGAAGGTGTTTGCAAATATGAAATCTCTCAAAATCAGGCTCTGTCAATGCTGTTCCCCGCCATCACCAGCCACCTTTAGGGCGGAAGTTGTATTTGCTAATGATTATTATTTTCACAATAACTGGTGTTTGGCACATGAGGTTGGTTCCTTATCAAGGACAACTACAGACGAATTTGCTGCATTGTCTTTTGAACTGAACCACCAAGCTATTGGTAGAGAAACCAAGTTGGTGGCGGATATGGCTATATGGGTAAAACGTACATTTTGTACATTCTATAATAAAATATTTCAGTATCAGCCTAAAACACTGAGTAGCTGGGTGACTTCTCTTGCTCCACAAAAAGGGTTTGGATCGGCGGAGAAGGTGTTTATGCAAAAAGAACAGCTGGACAAGTTTAATATTTCGGTTTCGAATTCAAGGGTGAACGAGAACTGGCTTAAGAACCCGCAGAATGTTACTTATTGGCTTAAGAATCCAAGCAATGAGAATTGGCTTGAAGAGAAGGTGTGGCTTGTTGGGCAACGTGAAGGATCTAGAATTGAAATAAAGAGACATGTGGAGAAGTTGTTGGATGCCTTTAATGATGACGACGTCGACGAAGAACAATAGTGGTAGTAAGTCATAGATTTACTCAATGTTTTTTCTCTTTCTTTGTTTGTTAATGTCTGAAGTTAGTACATGTTAAGTTTAATGCTAAATCATAGTTGGAGTAATAGAATATATTGTTTTGAACTGCCCCATGAAATTGTTGTTTACTTCATGGTTCAATCTTCTTTTTTCTTTTTCTTTTTGGTCAAATTTCAGAGCTAATTGCAATCTTTTTGAGTTATCTAACCATTTTATAACACACAACATTACTTTTCTTGTCATTGCAGATGATCACTCCTAATCCCCACTCTGGAGATTTAGTGTTTTTACAAGAAACCTCTAGCCAATTTTCCTATAAAAGGTCGTTTTTTAACGTCAAAGATGTTAGTACTTGATAAAAATATTACGTTAATATCAACAATTTATTTGTCCTGAACATCCCTTAATTTCTAAGAATCAGTCAAATCAACAGTCTTGCGACGATTTTGTAGGTATGTAGGAATGGATATTTGTAATTAATGTTTATATCCTGAAGTTAATTGAAGGAACAAAGACTTGCTATTGGAACCTATGTAGGTGGCATTAGCTGCTTTCAGTTGCTAGGCTGTATTTTTATCAGCTTCAACTGATTTATTATATGCAAGAAATCACTTGTATCAGTTGATTTTCAAATAATGAAAAATTTCGTTTATAAGTAAAAACCAGTACTCCTAATCCCTTTCCCTGCCCATCCAAAGTTGCTCTTGAATTTGAGGAAAGAAAGAAAGTATTAATTGTTTAGCATGCAGGTGCATTCATGGAGGCCACCAGGCACTAGAACCCTAAATTAAAGATGCAGTTGAAATCCATGCAGAAAGTAGAACAAAAATGCATGCATATAATTCTGGAGCAACTTTCCATCCCCATCCAAAGATGCTCTTGAATTTGAGGAAAGCAAAATTGACTTGTGAAGGAAAATGTTTGGCATACAGGTGCATTCATGGAGGCTACTAGGCATTAGAACTCTAAATTAAAGATGCAGTTGAAATCCATGCAGAAAGTAGAATCAAGAATGCATGCAAATAATTCTGGATGAAAAAAAAAAAACAAAAAACAAAAGAAAAGGCAAAGTAAACAACCACTTGGATCGGTCAGGATGAGTAGGGCATGGATAAGAGTTTCTTTTCAAAAGGGACACTTGTTTATATTAACTGTCTCAACACTATTTTTTTATGAGAAGATGAGCAAAATTTAAGACTCTCAACCATACTCTGCAGATTCATCTCTATAAAACCCTCCTTCGGCCTTCCATTTTTGATCACCAAAGTGGCATCTTGTAGCTAGTTAACTATCAAAAAATCTCGGCAAGATGGCTTCAAATTTGCCTGTTGTTTTGCTTTTTAGTGCTCTAGTTTGCTCCTCCAGTGCTAGGAAACTTGTAGCTGGAAAGGGTTCTTTTGAGGACGAGAAAAATTTGTTTAGCCGCCATAGGTTTGGGGGATGGAGGTGGATTGGGGGGCGGTGCCGGTGGTGGTGGAGGATTTGGAGGTGGTGGAGGTGGAGGAATAGGTTGTGGTTCTGGTAGCGGTTTTGGTGGTGGGTTTGGAGGTGGTGCTGGTGGTGGCCTTGGAGATGGAGGTGGAGGTGGAGGTGGAGGAGGAGGTGGTGGGTTTCTTGGCGGTGCTGGTGGCGGAGTTGGAGGCGGATTGCCTTAAAGACAAAGTTATTACACCAAATTAAATCACTCCTGCTACTACTTTTAGCTTTAGTGGATCATATTGAGCAAAATCACTTAAATGTTACCTCTGTTCTGTTGGTTATATAAATTACCAACTGTGGATTATTTCTACTTATAGCTTAAACTTTCCTCCGTCCATTTTTTTCCAGAAGAAAAATGCAAAGCTAAACTGCATAACTCATGAACAAATGTGTTGTTTCCTCTGGGGAAGATTGAAAAATGTAGCTTAAAATTAAGAAGATTCAACGAATTTAAAGCAAGCATGAACCCACCAATTTGGCAGTCTGATTCAATAACAATATTTTGCCAAAGGCTAAACCATAATAAATTGCCATTTTCCAGTTCTTCAAAGCTACATCAGTAGTCATCTTTAACAGGCCCTTATCAGGATGTTTCCATACCAAGGCAAGAGAATATTTATGTCGCTGTCTCCCATTCTCATATTCGAAATTCTTTCTGCCACGTTATAGCTCGCCGAAACCAGGTATATATAAGTGTTTAAGCTTGCCAACTACTCCATAACAGAACGAAAAGAATCTAAATTTTCTCTGCATTTTGGCTTCCCATTCCTTAAAAGAGTGATGAAACAAACGACAGTATGCAAATCCATTAAACGAAACCTCAATGAACAACCCAATGATTTAATCATCACAATCATGACAATAATCTAAGACGGTAAGCAAATCAATCAAGTGAAACCTCAAAGAAACGAGGCTGTACTGTTGGGATCTCCAAGTTATTTATAGCTCGAGGCATTCAATTGTGGCTAACTGGGTCTCTTCTTGGCAAGTTAGAGCCAAGGGAATGATGGTCGGATAAATGATGCTAATCAACTATACCTTACCTTGAATTTGATCTCTGTGGATGGCATAAATAATTATACATGCAGTATCATTTTTTACTTTTTTTTTTATGTTTATAAACAATGGAATGTCTGACTTACTTCTGTATCAATAGAGATTAAATATATTATTTTGAATTGATTTAATTCTTAATATTTTTAATTTTTAGTGGTTTTTAAAGACTACATTCTTTAAATTCAACAACAACTCATATCTAGTATCATACCAAAAAGATCGAGAGAGAAACTTTTCAACGATGAAAATCGAACCTTTGACCTAATAAGTTAGATACATTCTTCTTACCTCTCAATCTACAATTTTCGATGATACAAGAAAAAGAACCGGAGGGGGGGGGGGGGGGGGTATTACGTACGTTCTTCAATAAATGAAGATTATCAACTTGTGAAAGTGAATGGTGGGCATAGATCAGTTGACAAAGAGATGTATTAATAAAGGGCAGTAGAAGACTAGAACCCTAAATTAAAGACACGGTCGAAATCCATGCAGAACGTAGAACAAAAATGCATGCAAATAATTCTGGATGAAAAAAGTCAATATGACAAGCAAAGTAAACGGCAAATTGATCAGGATGAGTAGGGCAGGGCTGAGTTTATGTTTTTCAAATCAGGCAGCTGTGTATATTAACTCTCTCAACACGGTTTATAGATGAGAAGATGAGCAAAATTTAAGACAGTCAACGATACTGATCTCTCCACCACAACTTGCACTTACATCTCTATAAAACCCTCCTTCAACCCTCCACTTTTGATCACCAAAGTCTCTTCTATCATAACTTGGCAAAATGGCTTTTGCTTTTAAGTGCTCTAGTTTGCTCCACCAGTGCTAGGAAACTTACAAGTACTGAAAATGGTTCTTTTGAGGATGAGAAAAACTTGTTTCGCGGCCCTAGGTTAGGTGGTGGTGGAGGAGGAGGTGGCGGGTTTGGGGGTGGAGGTGGCGGTGGGCTAGGCGGTGGAGCGGGATTTGGTGGGGGTGCTGGTGGTGGGGCTGGAGGTGGATTGGGAGGAGGTGCCGGAGGGGGTGGCGGGTTAGGAGGTGGTGGAGGTGGAGGAGCAGGTGGCGGTGCTGGTGGCGGGTTTGGAGGTGGTGCTGGTGCTGGTGGTGGAGCTGGAGGTGGAGGAGGATTTGGAGGAGGAGGTGGTGGTGGACTTGGTGGTGGAGCTGGTGGTGGGTTTGGTGGTGGTGCTGGTGGTGGAATTGGAGGCGGATTCCCTTAAAAAATAAAGATGTTATTATTCCAAATAAATTACTATTACTACTTCTTGCTTTCTAATGGGGCAGATTTGGAGGTGGTAGCATATGTTAAGACAATCACTCAAGCTGTATCTCTGTTCTGTTCTGTTGCTTATTTATAAAAAAGAAATATTTCGACCTTTAGCTCTCACATTATTCCTCAATCCATATTTTTTCCATATTCAAAATGCAAAAGCTAAACTGCATAACTACGTACTGATCAAAAGCATTGGTCTCTCTTGGGGAAAATTGAACATAAGCTTAAAAATTAAAATGCTGCATTTTTCAATTTCTACTTAAAAGACAAAAATAAAAATAAAAAAATAAAAAGGCACTTCCACTTTATACCGGTTAAAATAGTATATTTTAAAAAATAAAATAAAATAAAATAAAAAGTCCTTAGTACAATTCCTTGATGGCAAAAGATAGCTGCATTGGAATTGATTTTTGAGAAGCTTTTTAAAAATGCTTCCATACCAACACGTAAGAATGTTAACGAATCTGGTAAAATAATAGATTTTGTATCCAGATACTGAAATAATAAATTTAGATTTAATTTGTTTAATAAATAAATCGAATCAGGTCTTATAAATTCGGATACGATTTTTGTAATTATCAATCTGGATTTGGATCTTAACATGTTCATATCGAATTTGAATATCCATTAGATTTTTCATTCAGTTTTTTCACATAAAAAATATTTATATTTAAAATCATGCTTAGATGTAAATGAGTTTTAATTTTTACATGTATAAAAAATATTTTATGACAATATTTATCATGTTAATTAAAAAATCAAAATATCTCACAACTAAAACAACAAAATCAAGAAATCCTGATAAAATTTTAGAGAGGGTGCAAAACATATATCACCAATAAAATAAGCCTTAAATTGAAGGGTAACATTACAAATTTCCAAATTGCGAGGACGAAAATGTATATAACTTTGGTGCAAGGGCCCCTTCATGAATGCTAAAGATAGTTCTGGCGCCGTCTATATTAATTTTAAACCATGAAAGCTTCCTGCCATTTTATAACTTGCTGGAAACAGGGGAAGTTCTTAGGCCTGCTAAAACGAAGAGAATATCATCCTCATCTGCATTTAGGGCCCTATTCTGCAAAAGAGAGTGAGGAACCACTGTTGTTTTAGGAATTAAAAATTTCACATTGTCTCCCTTGAAGCTCAAGAAAACAAAATTATTTAAGCTGCCTGTAAAAATTTCTTTGATTCAACTTTCAAAACCAATTAAGAAAGAAGAAAAGAGGAAAAGAAATCTGGGCTTTCGTTTGTTTTAGTTGTTGTTTAAGTATACTGATCATCATCAATGGAGACTGCTGATATTTATAGAGCTAGTAGTAGTTTAAGAGGTAGTTTAAGAGCAGTTTCGTCAGTATGGAGAAACAGCATTACTGTGAAAGCACTTTCAAGATCTTCAAGAGAAGAAGATGATGGAGAGGCTCTAAAATGGACTGCCCTTGAGAAACTACCTACTGACGATCGTTTAAGGAAAGGTATATTAACGAGTGCATCAAGAGGTGTAATTAGTAAAATAGTAAATTCATATTCGATTTGTTTAATAAACAAATCGAGTCATAGACCTTATAAATTCGGATTCGATTTTTGCAATTGTCGATCCAGATTTTGATCTTAATGTATTCATATTGAATTTGAATGTCCATCAGATTTCTCAATCAATTTTTTTAAAAGAAAAAATATTGTCTATAATTTATATTTAAAATCGTGCTTCGATGCAAATGAGTTTTAATTTTACACGGATAAAAAAAAATTATTATAATATTTAATATGTTAATTAAAAAAATCAAAATATCTCAGAGCTAAAAAAAAAATTCAAGAAATCCTGGTAAAAATTTGGAGAGGGTGCAGAACATACATTACCAATAAAATACGCCTTAAGTGAAGGGTGTAATTACAAATTTTCTAATTTGTAGGACGAAAATGTATAGTGTCTAAAACTTTGGTGCCATTGCCCCCTCATAAATTCTAAAGATAGTTCCGCCGCCGTCCATATTTTAAAACATGAAATCTTCCTGCCATTTAATTTATAACTCGCTGAAAACAAGAGAAGTTCTTAGGCTTGCTAAAACAAAGAGAATACCATCCTTATCTGCATTTAGGTCCCTGTTCTTCAAAAAGAGTGATGAACCAGCTGTTGTTAGAGGAATTAAAAACCTAATTTAATTTGTTTGATATGTAGATGACTAGTTTTTACCTTTTACTTTCCTTGACAACTCAAAATGGGTAATGATCTTCTTCTCAAAGAAAAAATTGAAAGGTAATCCAACTCGATCTCACCATAGAATTCTTCTCCCACTCTGTATAATTTTAAGAAATGCTGTAAGCAAATGATTTCTTGTAGATGCCTAGTTAGCACCTAAGAGAACCGGATGATTGAGATCGCATTTTATCTAAAAAAGAATTCAATCTTGTGATGGTTGCCCCTTCAGTTTTTGAGTTAACATTGTGTTGATGGAGAAAGTGTCAAGGACAAGTTTTTGCGTTCATTATGAAGTACGCAAATCCATTAAACGAAACCTCAATGAACAACCCAACGATTTAATCATGACAATAATCTAAGTCGATAATTAAACAAATCGATCGAGTGAAACCTCAATGAAACGAGGCTGTACTGTTGAAGTCCTCAAGCTATTTTAGAACTTGATGGGCTTATAGTATATACTGAATTATGATTATATAATGTTTTTATCTCTCATGTACGTCTATTTACTGCTACTGGGTGCATAATCCTAGCTAGTTTCTATAACAAGGATGCTTGGGCCAATATCCAATTGTAGCATCTATTCTTTCTAGATAATTGGGTCTTCTTCTTGGCAAGTTAGAGCCAAGGGAATGATGATGAGATAAATGATGCAAATCAATTATTTCTTGCCTTGAATTTGATCTCTGTGGATGGCATTACTAGCAGTATATCATCATTTTTTTTTTAGATAGTAGGATATTTTTCATCGATTTTCTTATCAACCGAGATTAAAATGTATTATTTTTTGGATTAAGCGCTAGATCAATTAAAAAATATACACTCTTTAAACCTACAGGCAACCTCTATATATATTGCCGCACAAAAAAAAAAAAAAAAAAAATCGAGAAAGGAACTTTTCGAGGATGAAAATCGAAATTCTTACGTTATAAGTCAGAAGCATTTTTTTTTTTTCCACTCTAGTTGCAACTTTTGATAGTATAAAAAGAGATGCAAAAAAGTAATGGCGTCGGTAATCTGGTCCTTCTATTCTGATTGTGTGCTTCATAGCTTGAATTTGCCAATAAATGCTGCATAATAGTTCAGACCTAGTAGCTAGCAGTACGTACGTTCTTCAATAAATGAAGATTCTCAACTTGTGAAAATTAATGGTGGGCATAGATCAGTCGACAAAGAGATGCATTAATAGAGGCCACTAGAAGACTATAGAACCCTAAATTAATGACAATCCAGAGCAGAAAGTAGAACAAAAATACATGCAAATAATTCTGGATGAAAAAAGTCAATAAGACAAGCAAAGTAAACAACCAATTGATCAGGATGAGTAGGGCAGGGTTAAGGTTAGGTTTTTCAAATAGGACAGCTGTGTGTATTAACTCTCTCAACACGGTTTATAGATGAGAAGATGAGCAAAATTTAAGACACTCAACTATACTGGTCTCTCCACCATAACTTTCACTTACATCTCTATAAAACCCTCCTTCAACCCTCCCCTTCTGATCACCAAAGTCTCTTCTATCTTAACTTAGCAAAATGGCTTCTAAATTGCTTCTTGTTTTGCTTTTAAGTGCTCTAGTTTGCTCCACCAGTGCTAGGAAACTTACAAGTACTGAAAATGGTTCTTTTGAGGATGAGAAAAACTTGTTTCGCGGCCCTAGGTTAGGTGGTGGTGGAGGAGGAGGTGGAGGGTTTGGGGGTGGAGGTGGCGGTGGGCTAGGCGGTGGAGCGGGATTTGGTGGGGGTGCTGGTGGTGGGGCTGGAGGTGGATTGGGAGGAGGTGCTGGTGGGGGTGGCGGGTTAGGAGGTGGTGGAGGTGGAGGAGCAGGTGGCGGTGCTGGTGGCGGGTTTGGAGGTGGTGCTGGTGCTGGTGGTGGGATTGGTGGTGGAGCTGGAGGTGGAGGAGGGTTTGGAGGAGGAGGTGGTGGTGGACTTGGTGGTGGAGCTGGTGGTGGGTTTGGTGGTGGTGCTGGTGGCGGAATTGGAGGCGGATTTCCTTGAAAAAATAAAGATGTTATTATTCCAAATAAATTACTATTGCTACTTCTTGCTTTCTAATGGGGCACGTTTGGAGGTGGCAGCATATGTTAAGATAATCCCTCAAGCTGTATCTCTGTTCGATCTGTTTTGTTGCTTATTTATAAAAAAGAAATATTTCGACCTTTAGCTCTGACATTATTCCTCAATCCATATTTTTTCCATATTCAAAATGCAAAAGCTAAACTGCATAACTGCGTACTGACCAAAAGCATCGGTCTCTCTTGGGGAAAATTGAACAACAGAAGCTTAAAATTAAAATACAGTTTTTCTGTCGCTTTTTTCAATTTGTACTTTTTTTTTTTTTTTTAACACAGCACTTCACTTTTATAACAGTTAAAATAGTAAATTTTTTCATTCACCAAGAAAAACAAAAACCAACTAATCTAATTCCTTGATGGGAAAAGACAGCTACATTAATTGGAATTGATTTTTGAGAAGCTTTTTAAGGATGCTTCCATACCAACACGACTAATTGAATTCAGACAATAGAATAATAGATTTGGTATTCGAACAATAAATTAAATAGTAGATAGTAGATTGAGAGTTGATTTGTTTAATAAATAAATTGAGTAGGTTTTATGAATTTGGATTCGGTTTTTGCAATTGTCGATTCGGATTTAGATCTTAACGTAAGTATTCATTTCGAATCTAAATATCTATTAGATATCTCATTCAATTTTTTTCAAAGATAAAAAAAAGTATTATCTATATTTAAAATCGTGCTTGATATAAATGACGTATAAAAAATATTTTATGACAATATTTATCATGTTAATTAAAAAAATCAAAATATCTAACAATTAAAAACAACAAAATCAAGAAATCCTGATAAAATTTTAGAGAGGGTGCAAAACATATATCACCAATAAAATAAGCCTTAAATTGAAGGGTAAAATTACAAATTTCCAAATTTGCAGGACGAAAATGTATGTAACTTTGGTGCAAGTGCCCCTTCATGAATGCTAAAGATAGTTCTGGCGCCGTCTATATTAATTTTAAACCATGAAATCTTCCTGCCATTTTATAACTTGCTGGAAACAGGGGAAGTTCTTAGTCCTGCTAAAACGAACAGAATATCATCGTTATCTGCATTTAGGTCCCTGTTCTTCAAAAGAGTGATGAATTAAAAACGTAATTTAATTTGTTCGATATGTAGATGACTGGTTTTTACCTTTCACTTTCCTTGACAACTCAAAATCGTTAATGATCTTCTTCTCAAAGAAAAATAGAATTAAAGGTATTCCAACTCGATCTCACCGTAGAAATCTTCTCCCACTCGGTATAATTTTAAGAAATGCTGTAAGCAAATGATTTCTTGTGAATGTACCCGTCAATATTAGCTACAATGTAGATGCCTAGTTAACACCTATGTGAATCGGATAGTTGAGATCGCATTTTATGTAAAAAAGAATTCGATTCTGTGATGGTTGCCCCTTCAGGTTTTGAGTTAACATTTTGTTGATGGAGAAAGTGTTAAGGACAGGTTTTTGCGTTCATTATGAAGTATTAAAGACACAGTTGACATCCATGCACAAGTAGAACAAAAGTTGGTGCAAATAATTCTGCATGGAAAAAGTCTGTAAAAAATGGCAAAGTAAACATCCCACATGGATTGGTCAGGATGATTATTGAGTAGGGTAGGGTTCAGGTTTTCTTTTTCAAAAGGGACAGTTGGATGTCTTAATTACTGTCTCACATGGTTTTTAGATGAGAAGATGAGCAAATTTATGACACTCAACCATACCCTCTTGGAATCTCCTATAAAACCTCCTTCGACCCTCTAGTTTGATCAGTACCAAATAGTCATCTTGTAGCTTGCTATCAGAACTTGGCAAGATGGCTTCTAAAATGCTTCTTGTTTTGCTTTTTAGTGCCTTAGTTTGCTCCACCAGTGCCAGGAAACTTGTCAGCACTGGAAAGGGTTCTTTTGAGGATGGGAAAAATTTGTTTGGCGGCGGTGGCTTAGGTGGTGGAGCTGGTGGAGGTGGTGGGTTAGGTGGTGTAGGTGATGGTGGGCTAGGCAGTGGAGCTGGAGGAGGATTGGGTGGGGGTGCTGGTGGGGGAGCTGGAGGAGGATTTGGAGGGGGTGCTGGTGGGGGTGGAGGAGTAGGTGGTGGTGCTGGTGGCGGGTTTGGAGGTGGTGCTGGTGCTGGTGGTGGGATTGGAGGTGGAGCTGGAGGTGGAGCTGGAGATTTGGAGGAGGAGGCGGTGGTGGACTTGGGGGCGGCGCTGGTGGTGGGTTTGGTGGTGGTGCTGGCGGTGGCCTCGGAGGAGGATTGCCTTGAAAATAAATTTGCTTTTGTACCGAATTATAATTTTACTACTTTTTCATACAAATTTGTCCGAAAATAGTTCTTATCGTCCGATAAAAAACATATGACTTGTTAGAACTGTGATGGAGCATATGTTTAGACAATTACTTAGTATGTATCTCTATGAATTATCTGTTTTAATAGCCCAATTGATGAGTTCTTGATGAGTTTGTCTGCTTTTTTATTTCTTTAGAGCCACGCAGCATATATTTTTGGAATAGATAAAAATATCATCATAAAAGCTTTGAACAAAGAATAAGAAACCAAACTTTCTTCTGGATACGCCCATGAACATAAAAATTTTACTGTTACAAAAGATCATTCAAAGATATAAAAAGAGTCCATGAACAACTCTACCGGTAGCAGATTTTAGATCATATATAGCTAAGGTGAGACACACTTCCTGATAGTTATTACAAAGCTAGCTGAATACTCCACTAGACCAATGAAAAAGAAAAGAGTCTCTTTTTGTAATTTACATAGAGCTGCTAACAAGATAAAAGCATCCATTTCTGAGGATCTAAGGCTTTCCTCCAAACATAAGAAACTATAGGTAAATTTTCATGTAGCAAGATTAATATTTCTATGTACAGCTCTAACTATACGATTGAAAACTAAGCAAACATATGTATATTGGTTTCGAGAAATTTTATATTACTCATAAAGTAATTATCAATATTTACTCTATAGAGATAAACATAAAAAAAAAAAAAAAAATTTGAGTCGAACCGAAAACATTTTTATCATTTTTTATAGGACTAGATGTGATTTTATTATTATTATTATTATTATTATTATTTGTATTTATCTGTCTTAAAAAATGAACTCATGTAATAATTATTGTAAGCATACAATAATTACTCAAGTAATTTAAAACTTCTCTGTTGGTCTGTTGGGGAAATTAAATTGAGAAGGGTAAGGCTGAAAGCTTAAAATTAAGAGTCTTTGTAAGAGAGAAAATATCACCATGAATAATTCTTTGCAAGCTCAGATATAGAAGATTTCAACGAGTTTAAACTGAGCACGAACAACTTGGAAGTCTGCTTCAATTCATTTTTTTTTCTTTTCAGAATCGAAATGCAAAGCTAAACTGCAAAACCATAAAGAATAAATCCGATGATCATAAATCTAATCTCTGTGGAAAGTTTGCTTTTGCGGCAGTGGATATTGATCTTGATAATCCGTCAAAGGAGCTATTCAAGTTGAAGACATTGATCAAAAGATAACATATAAAGATTTACTACAAGTATGCTATCTATGTGGGAAGATTAGCCATGACATTCTCTTTTATCTCTCACGAATCTCTTCAGAAGGAGCTACAGGAAGAGAAGGGAGTGATGACCATGATACTGCAGTTCTCGTTGGCTTCAAGAAGATTATTGTGGAATCCGATTCAAAAGGTGGATGCTGGTTAGGGATGACAATAGATCGAGTATAAAATAGATATTCGATTTACTTGACTTAATAAATATTTTTTAAAAAATGTTGCATCGGTATTGAAATGGATCAAAAATAAAAAAATACATATCTATAAATTTGATTTCATGATATGGGTACTTACTTTTTACTCTATTAATACATACTAATTTATTTATATATATTTTTTATTAACATAAATGAACTAAATTGTATAAAATTTAAAAATTAAAGATCAAAATATTTTTCTAAAAATTTTGAGGACCAAAAAAATTTATAAATAAATGACTAAAATGCAAAAAAATTAAATTTTAAAGATAAAAAACTTTTCTTAAAAAATATAGATACTAAAATGAATATTTTTAACAAATTAAATTTAGCTTGGATGAAAATTTATATGAGGATTTTTTAACGAGTAATGGATAAGATATTCTTTTGATGGATAAAACAAAAAATTAAATTAATGAATTAGATCCCCATCTATTGCCTTCCCTAGTGCTGGTCTCTTTTTTTAAACGTTCATATTCAGATAATTGCAATTTACAACTTGTTTTTGCACCCAAAAAAAAAATTGATGGATGGACAAAGTTGTAAACATATTGAAAAGTGAAGGACTGAGAAAAACATTTATAAAAATTTAAGTATTAACTAATTGGTTTTGCTAAACTGAGTCGTGCGTATGCTGCGGTTCTGTTTTCTTTCTGTTTCTCTCGTCCCTCTGCTTCAACCTTGCTGATGCTCTGATATCTCCAGTCAAAACCCTAATTTCAGAGCTGAAATATTGGTCACTCAATCTTTTGGGTTTGAGTTCAATTGAAACTTGATTCTCTAGGAACCGGAGAGGAGATTGATGTATCATACTTCGAGGTGGAGGCTGCGCCATTTCAATCTTGTCATTCTCAATACCAGGTTATGGTTTGCATTTTGAATTCAAGTTAGGGTTTCCATCTTGTTTCCTACAGCTGCATCTTTCATTCTTTTCGTTGATTGGTGAGGTCAAGTGTATCTAGTCTTGCTCTTAATTTGAAAAGTAATTCAGAAACTTATAGAATAACAATGAGAATAAATCATGAAGAATTAATCTTGTTGTTTTGAAAAATCCCAGTAAGTTTGTGATTGTTTTGCAGGAGAGGTTATTGAAGCCTTGCCAACGATATTTAGTTTTGACTAAAACAGCATCCTCTTTAATTTTAGTAAGAAACCTTTGAATCTCTTCTTTCGATAAAAAAAGTTTGGTTTCCAAATTGACCAAGAAAGACTATATTTTAGATGTCTCATGCAGATTCATTGAAGTACCGGATGAAGTGATCGTAACCATCCTGAAAAAAATGGGAGACCCCAAAACCCTTATTCGTTGCTCCACGGTTTGCAAGCACTTGCAATGTCTTGTCTCCAAAGTTGACACAGTCTCCATTAGATTCTCGTATCCAGGGGAGGCACGCGAGTATCTCTCATGCTGGAAATCAATGCCCTCATGAAAGTGTTTGCTCAAAATTAAGCTCTGCCTTTGCCCTTCCCTACTCCCTTGTTATGGAGTGCTTCACTGACATGCCTTCACGTTCAAGCTTAAGGCAGAGAATGAATGATAAATGCACACTCATTTGTGTATGGCGTTTGAGGTTGGATCGTTGTCAAGTGATGGAGAGGTGATGTTTTCCCATGAATGGCACAAATTCAATATGGAAAAGATCAAGAATCCTCTGATGTTGTCCTTTTTTCTTGTGATATTATGTCATCAATCTAAAACACTGAGTAGTGTGGTGAGTGCTGGGATACAGGGACATAGTTCAGAAGGTAAGGTGGGGTTATAGATCAGAAGAACGGAAGGTGTTTATGGAATCTGAATAGCTTTCGTACTTTGATTTTGAATACAAGAGGGAACAAGAGCTGGCTTAAGAATCCGCAGAATCTGGTCTGTTGGCTTAAGAAGGAAAATAAGCATCGGCTTGGAGAGAAGTTGTGGTCTGTTCATAAATGGGAAGGAGATAGATGCAATGTGAATAAATCAATTATAAAGGAGAGAGATGTGGAGGAGTTGCTGAGGCTTTTGACAAGGATGACGACAATGACGAGATATGATGAAAATGCACATTTCTTGACAGTAGTAACATGGGTACAATGGTAAGTTCTAGGGTTCACTTTACTGTCTAAAGTAGAAAATAATGCTTTAGTTGACTGGTATATCTTTAATTGTTACAGATGTGCTTGAATTTAGTTTGAGGATGGAAGCGTGATGGACCTTGCTGTGAAATTGTTTTTTCCTTAATTGCACATATATACTTTTTTTTTTTTTAAAAAAAAAAATTTAAGTTCAGGGTTGGAAATGTATTAAATTGAAAAGGTGTGAAACATAGTAACTTCTGACGTAAGTAGCATGCAACTTGGATAGAGAACTCAGTATCTCATTGAACTTAACCAACAATGTACACACAGGTATTGCATGCCAAAATTATATGAACGGTTTTCTCAGATTTAAGGGAGAAAATACTAATCCTATTGAGCATTACATTCACAATCTGCTTCCATATTGATTTGCCTCAGAATATCCATAGCTGAACAGCATAACTGATAATCAAACTTACTGATCTCGGTAGGTGAAAATTGACAAGCGCAAGCTCAAAATCAGCAATGATCTATGGTGGTTAGATAAGCAATGTTGATTGTTCTGACCTTTATTTATGGTGATGTTATGGCTGATGGATCTGATTGTGTGTATGCTATGCTTTGTTTATTGTTCTGCCTGGCCTCTTAATATGTGTTATCATGCTCAAGCTCAAACAGGTTGTAGATAGTTTATTAATTGATTGTTGAATTCTAAAGAGATGTCAATCAGCCACCCTTTCATGACATTTTTGCAGATGTGCTGCTTTTATTTATTTTTTATAAGAATGTTTTGTTTATCAACTTTCCTTGTTGATCGTCATTAGCTACGTAATAGAATTCCGAATTGGCATGAACACCAGATTTGAAAGCTTTAACTCTCGCTTAGAGCATCTTTTTTGAGAATTTATGCTCGTTAGGCAATGGCCAATGCATAGTTTGAATGGAGTGGAGAGGAGCCTTGCTCATCTTTGAGTCTCTGACAGTGAATTACCAAACTGTCTTATTTGCCATTGAATTGAAAAGGTGTGAAAGATAGTTACTTCCAGCATGAATACAGGACCCAGTTTGTGCAAAATTTACACAAACAATTTTTAACAAGTTAAAGGGTAGAAGATACTAATCCTATTGAGCATTACGTTCTGCTTCCAGATCTACTTGCTTCTAAAGGTGCATAGCTGAATAGCATAACTGATAAGCGAACATATTGGTGTCTTTAGGAGAAAAGGTATGATTTTTGGAAATCGATTGTCTTTTTTTTTGTTTTTAAAAAAAAAAAAAAAAAATCTTTTTCCCTGAAGAAAAGTCATAAATATGTTTGGTTAGAAATAACTTTTGACTTGAATCAAAAGGTTGTTACAAAATTGAGTCAAGATTTTGTTTTAATCAAACTTTCAACTTTTAACTTATTGGTTCTAACTTATTCTACCTATCCTCTTCAAAAAAGTTGTTTTGATTATTTTTTACCAAATGTGCCTCGAACTTAAACTCATTTTTGTCATAAGTTATTTGTGAAAATTAACCTCCGAAGTAAGACTCAAAGTTAAAAGTTAGTTGAAAACTAACTTTGAGTCATAAAACATGAAATTGATGGAAGAAATAAATTATAATAATTTGAAAAATCTATGGACAATATAAAGATTAATTAATTTCTTTTGCTAAATTACAGAGACTAAATTATAGTTAACTGTATAACCAAATATGCCCGCTTGTACATATGTATTCTAACATGTTTTTAAGGGAGGTAGTAGGTGTAGATATACTTCCATATATGCAACTACATTCCTTATTTCTGTCTGGCTCTCTCCTCACTCTGCTTCAAACTTACCAATGCTCTGATCTCTCCCCACAAAACCCTAATTTCAGAGCTCACAGATTGATAACTCAATCTTTTGAGTTTAAGTTCAATTCTAAAATTTATTCTGTAGGAACCCAACAAGACTGAGATCAGTGTATTATACTTCAAGGTGGAGGTTGCACCTTTTCGATTCTGTCTTTCTTAATCTCAGGTCAGGGTTTTCATTGTCAATTCAATTTAGGGTTTCAATCTTGTTTCCTACTGGAGAATCTTTCATCTTTTTGTTGATTGGTGGCAAGTGTATCTAGTCTTGCTCTTAATTTGAAAAGTAATTCAGAAACTTATAGACTCTTTTTGAGAAAAAAATCTTGAAACAATTAATGTTGTAATCAGTTGTTATTGTTGAATCCATTGTTTGAGTTTGGAAAATCCTTGTGAGATTGTGATTTGTTTTGCAGGAGAGATTATTGAAACCTTCCCAACCATATTTAGTTTTGACTAAAACAGTACCCTCTTTAACTCGAGGAAGGAACCTTTGAATCCCATCTTTTGAAAAGAAATGTCGGTATCCAAATTGACCAAGAAAGACTATATTTCTGATGGCTCGGACAGGTTCCTTCAATTATCAGAAGCATTGATCATAACCATCCTGAAAAAATGCAGAGACGCCAAAACCCTTATCCGGTGCTCCTCCGTTTGCAAGCACTTGCAATGCCTTGTCCCCAAAGTTGACACAGTCTCCCTTAGATTCTCGTATCCGGGCGAGCCAGGCGAGTATCTCCCATGCTGGAAATCACATTACCACATTCCGCAATCAGAAATCCCTGCCATCATGAAACTGTTTGCTAATCTGAAATTTCTCGAAATTAATCTCTGCCTTTGTCGTGCACTACTCCCTTGTATTTATGGAGAACCTTGCAGACATGGCTTCATGTTACTACTGAAGTCAGTGAACATGAACGATAAAATGCACACTCATATGTGTGCAGCATTTCAGCTTGGATCGTTGTTAAGTGATGATGAGGGGATTTTGTCCCGTGACTCGGATGTTATGCTTATTGGACAAGTCAAGAGTTCACTTATGCTGTCCTTTTTTCTTGTAATATTATGTCATCAGCCTAAAACGCTGAGAAGCATGGTGATTTTGAGTGCTGGGATTCTGGGTAATGGGTTAGAAGGTAAGGTGGAGTGTAGACCAGAAGGTAAGGTATGGTGTAGATCAGAAGGGAATTTGTTTATGGAATCTCAACATCTGGCCAGGTTTCGTGCTTTGAGTTCGGAGACAAGAGTGAACAAGAGCTGGCTTGAGGATCCGGAGAATCTGGTATGTTGGCTTAAGAAGCATGAGGAAAATGAGCATCGGCTTGAAGAGAAGTTGTGGCTTATTCGTAAATGGGAAGGAGAGAGATGCAGCATGAATAAAACGATTGTAAAGGATAGTGATGTGGAGGAGTTGGTGCGTGCTTTTGATGGGGATGATGGCGAAAAACAATGAATTTGCAGATTTCGTCTGGCTGGAGTAACATGAGTACAATGGTAAGTTCTGGGGTTTGCTTTACTGTTTGAAGTTGAAAAACAATGCTTTAGTTAAATGGTATATCTTTAATTGCTACAGATTTGCTTGAATTTAGTTTGAGGATGGAAGTGTAATGGACCAGTTATGAAATTGTTGTTTCCTTAATTGCAATACAAGTGTGTTTTTGTTTATTGTTTTTTTTGTTAGTTCAAGGATGGAATTGTAATAAATTGAATGGTGTGAAAGTTAGCGACTTTCGACGTGAATAGCATGCAACTTCGATAGAGAACTCTGTATCTCATTGAACTAAACCAACAATAGACACACAGGTATTGTGCTACAATTATATGAACAAATTTCACAGATTTAAGGTAGAAAATTCTAATCCTATTTAGCATTACATTCGCAATCTGGTTTAATGTCGATTTTCATCGGAATCTGCATAGCTGAACGACATAACTGATAATCAAATGTTCTGATCTAGTCAGGTGAAAATTGACAATCGCAAGATTAAACTCTGCAATAACCTATGGTGGTTAGATAAACAATGTGCTTATTCTGACCTTTTGTTTATGGTGATGTTATGGTTGAAAGTTCTGATTATGTTTTGTATTATTTTCGTTATGCTATGCTTTGTTAATTGCCCTGCCTGGGCTATGCGTTACAATGCTTAAGCTCAAGCAGATTGCATATGTTTATTAGTTGATTGTAGAATTCTGAAGAGAAGTCAATCAGACATCCTTTTTGTGACTTTCCTGCAGATTTGTTGCTTTCAATATATATATATATATATATATATTTGTTCTAAGAATGTTGTCTATCAACTCGTCTTTAGCTACTTCATAAACTCCAAATTGACACGAACACCAGACTTGAAAGCCTTCACGCTCACTTAGAACATCTGTTGAGATTTTATGCTCATTAGGCATGGGTGATGGGTCGATTCATAGTTTGAATAGAGTGGAGAAAAGCTTTGTCACAGCTTTGAGTCTCTGACAGTGAATTACAAGACCTTCATGTTTGTCATTGAATTGAAAAGGTGTGAAAGATGGTGAGTTCCAACATGAATAAAGGACCCAGTTTCTCATTGAACTAAACCAAGAGTATACACGCAGGTTTATGTGCAAAATTTACATGAACGGTTTTTACAAAATCCTATTGCGCAAACGTTCTGCTTCGATATCTACTTGCTTCAAAACCTGCATAGCTGATAAGTAAAGTATAGGTCTCTTCAGGAGAAAAAGTTTCTGTTTTGTATGCTTTTTGCAAATTATAGGGTAGAAGATACTAATCATATTGAGCAAACAAGAAAATTTTTGGGTTTGGTATGATTTCTGCAAATTGATTGCTGTTTTTAAACTTTTGACTCTCAAGAGAAGTCATAAATATGTTATCTTGGAAATACCTGTTGACTCAAATCGAAAGCTTTTTGCAAATTTAGGTCAAAATTATTGTTTAAAATCAAAAGTTCAAGTTTTCAACCTCATATTTTTAACTTAATGATTTTAATTTATGCTACATTTCCTCTTCAAAAGGTTGTTTCTTTCTGCTTCCATATCTACTTGCTTCTAAATCTACGTAGCTGATAAGTGACCGTATAGGTTTCTGTAGGAGAAAAAGTTTCTGTTTGGTACTTATGGTATGATTTCTGCAAATTGATTTTTTTTACTCTAGAAAAGACATAAATATGTTAGGTTGGAAATACATTTTTACTTAAATAAAAGGTTTTTGTAAAATTAGGTCAAATTTTGGTTTTATTCAAAATTTCAAAATTTTCAACTTCATATTTAACCTATTGGGTTTAATTTATACTACCTCTTCTCTTCAAAAAAGTTGTTTCGAGTATTTTTCTACTAAACAGACTTCTAATTTAAACTCATTTTTTTCCTAGATTATTTTTTTAAAAAAAATTACTTTTGACTTTGATTTGAAATTGATGGAAAAACTAGATTTTATAATAATCTGAAAGTTCTAGGGAAAATATAAAAAGATTAATTAATTAGGTTTTGCAAAATTATATCTAACGTTATAACCAAGGGATTTGCTTGTCGCATGTGTTTTCTAACATGTTTTTTAAGGTAGCAGGTAGGTGTAGATTGACTTCCGTATACGGAACTACATCTGTTTTTTCTTTTTGGTTCTCTTGTCGCGCTGCTTCAAACTTATCCATGCTCTGGTCTCTCCCCTCAACAACCCTAATTTCAGAGCTCACAGATTGAAGGCTCAACCCTCTGAGTTTGAGTTCAATTCTAAATTGATTCTCTAGGAACCCGAGAAGGGAGGCTGCACCTTTTTGATTCTGTCATTCTCAATCTCAGGTTAGGGTTTGCATTTTCAATTCAAGTTAGGGTTTCAATCTTGTTTCCTACAGTTGAATCTTTCATTTTTTGTTGTTGTTTGGTGAATTCGTGTATCTAGTCTTGGTCTTAATTTGGAAATCAATTCAGAAACTTATAGACTCTCAAAAGAGAAATAAATCTTGAAATAATTAATGTTGTAATCCGTCATTATTGTCTAATTCATTTTTTGAGTTTGGAAAATCCTTGTGAGATTGTGATTTGTTTTGCAGGAGAGATCATTGAGGCCTTGCATTTTCAATTCAAGTTAGGGTTTCAATCTTGTTTCCGAAAGTTGAGTCTTTCATTTTTGGTGGTTGTTTGGTGAAGTCAAGTGTATCTAGTCTTGGTCTTAATTTGGAAATCAGTTCAGAAACTTATAGACTCTTAAAAGAGAAATAAATCTTGAAATAATTAATGTTGTAATCCGTCATTATTGTCTAATTCATCGTTTGAGTTTGGAAAATCCTTGTGAGATTGTGATTTGTTTTGCAGGAGAGATCACGGAGGCCTTGCCAACCATATTTAGCTCTGATTAAAATAGGATCCTCTTTAATTTGTTCAAAACCTTTGAATCCCATCTTCAAAACTAAATGTCGGTATCGAAATTGACCAAGAAAGGCTGTATTTTAGATGTCTCATGTAGATTCATTCGATTACCGGATGAATTGATCGTAACCATCCTGAAGAAAATTAGAGACCCCAAAACCCTTATTTGTTGCTCCTCGGTTTGCAAGCGCTTGCAATGCCTTGTTTCCGAAGTGGACACGATCTCCCTTAGATTCTCGTATCCGGGTGAGGCAGGCGGGTATCTTCCATGCTGGAAATCACATTATCACGTTCCACAATCAGCAATCCCTGCCCTCATGAAAGTGTTTGCTAATCTGATATCTCTTGAAATTAGGCTCTGCCTTTGCCCTTCACTACTACTTTCTTATTATGGATTGGCCCGCAAACATGCCTTCAAGTTCCAGCTGAAGGCAGTTGATATGAACGATAACATGCACACTCATGTGTGTATGGCATTTGAGGTTGGATTGTTGTCAACTGACGATGAGGGGATTTTATCCCCTGCATACCTGTTGAATATCGAAAAGGTCAAGAATCCTCTGATGTTGTCCTTTTTTCTTGCAATATTATGTCATCGGCCTAAATCGCTGAGAAGTGTGGAGATTTTGAGTGCTGGGATACTGGGTGTTAGGTCAAAAGATCGGTGTAGATCAGAACCTAAGGTAGGGTATAGATCAGGTGGGAATGTGTTTATGGAATCTGAACAGCTGGACAAGCTTCGTTGTTTGATTTGGAATACAAGAATGAACAAGAGCTGGCTTAAGAATCCACAGAATCTTGTTTGTTGGCTTAAGAAGCATGATGAAGATGAGCATTGGCTTGGAGAGAAGTTGTGGCTTATTCATAAATGGGAAGGAGAGAGATGCGACATGAATAGATCAATTGTAAAGGAGAGAGATGTGGAGGAGTTGCTGTGTGCTTTTGATGAGGAAGCCGACGAAAAATGATGAAAATGCAGATTTTTCCTGACAGTAATAACTTGAGTACAGTGGTAAGTTCTAAGGTTCGCTTTAACATCTGAAGTTAGAAAATAATGCTTTTAGTTAAATGGTTTGTCTTTAATTGTCACAGATGTGCTTAAAAATAGCTGAGGACGAAAGTGTAAAGGACTGCGTTATGAAATTGTTGTTTTTATCATTATATGATGAAAATAATGCTTTTAGTTAAATGGTTTATCTTTAACTATATGAAGGATTTTCACAGATTTAAGGTAGAAAATTCTAATTCTGTTTACCATTAAATTCACAATCTGGCTCCATAACGATTTTCCTTGGTTTCTGCAATTGGTGAACGGCATAACTGATAATCAAACGTACTGGTCTAACGTTCTGTTTCCATGTCAATTTGCCTTGAATTAGGTCAGGTGAAGGATTTTGTTTATGGTCAGGTTGGGTTGACGAAAGATTATGTAATATATAGTTTTAAATGATTGTGTAATATATAGCTTTAATTCACGAACGGATGAAGAAACAGTAATACTTCGAAACTATTACCTAACAGTTATTATATAAATGATTGTTATTTAAAACAGTAATACTACGAAACTATTATCTAGCAGTTATTATATAAATGATTGTTATTTAAAACTATAATGCAGTATCCACCGGCTGAGTAGCCATTGATTTGAATATATATATATATATATATATATATATATTAGTGAAAAGTCGTTAAAAGACATCTAAGATTCACATTTTAAAGAATTAGAACAAAAAAATTAATAGATTTCCATGAATCACCACCCAAAAACAAAGATAGATTAGCGAGCCATTCCATTAGGCCTTGTTCCACATTCCTTCTCACGAGGAAGACCTTTGCTCGTCTGCAATTTGCATCTTCAAGAAATGGGAAGACGCAAAAAGACCCAAAAACCCCATAATCAAGAACTGACGTTGCACCTTCAAGAAATGCGAAGACCCAGAAAGACCCAAAAACCCCATAATCAAGAATTCGAGTTAAGAAGATCTCCAAGACTTGCTGACAAATTCCAGAAACTCCCAGATGATTTAATCCTCGCCATCTTTTCAAAGTTCCAAGATGACGCAAAAACCCTGATTCGCTGTTCATCTGTTTGCAAGAACTGGGCTTCTCTTGTCCCCGAACTTCACACACTCTTCCTCAGATTCTTCACTCCAGTTGGGGATGATGATTTTCCACCGTGCTTTCAGTACCACCACCACATTCCGAAATCAGCTATCCCTGCTCTCATGAAGTTGTTTGCAAACCTTAAATCTCTGGAAGTTAAGCTCTGCTTCAGCCAACCTTCTAATGATTATATCAGATTGAAGGAAATGGTGTTGTGTTCCGATGTTCACAGATATGAAAGTTCTACGTTGATTACATCAGAGGTTGGATTGTTAACAAGTTCTAATGGTGCTGCATTGTCTCTTCAATTGAACTTGACAAGAAATAGCACCCAAGATAATTCTTTCTTGGAGTTTTATATGTCAATATCAGATAATAAACCTAAAAGTTTAACAAGCTTGGAGATTATGACTGCTAAGAAACAAGGGTTTGGATCAGGAGGGATGGTGTTTATGACAGATGAACAAATTTCGAGGTTGAAAGATTCCATTTCAAAATCAAGACTGAATCAGAGCTGGCTTGAGAACCTGGAGAATGTGGTTTGTTGGCTCAAGAACGCGCCGCGGAATCAAAATTCGCTTAGAGAGCAAGTCTTGATTGTTTATAAATGGGACTTCATAGTGACTGATGACGGTAAACCACCAGTCATACATGGACGTATTCCAAAGGAGAGAGAGATAAAGGAATGGTTAGGTGATGATGATGATCATTAGGGGTTTCAGTAATTAACTCTGGTAGTAACTTCTGATCTTGTTTTCGTGTTTGATGTTAGTATAAATGGACAGAAGTTAGAACTTAGAATTGATGTTTTCTTCATGGTGCATATGTATAGCCTTGCTTTCTCTCTCTGTCAAACTTTACCACAGAAGAACAAATAATCCAATGTTAAAGATTTGATGGAAAAATTCAAGAAACTTATATGAATGTGTTTTTAAGGATTGGATATATGAAATTTCTAGGGATTGGATTTTCTATGTGGAATGTGCCACCGAGTATGAATCTTGAACATGAGCCCATCGTGATGGAGATGATGCGAAGGAATTATCTATTAGGTGGTTTCGATAATGATGATGAAGAACAATAATGAAAAAAAACATTACTTGGGTATTTACTGATTATCATGGTCAGTAACTCCTTTATTTCTCTTGTTGATTTCCATCACTGTTACTGTCTGATCACATGCGTACTAATATTATTTGGGATGATAATAAAATGCAGTAGCAGTGATGCTAGATAGTCATTCAATTATAAGTTTTTGATGGAAATTTTTTCCTTCATGATGACCATAAGCACTTTCTCCTTTTCGTGAAGAGAAAATGATCTCTAAGCACGATAGCAGAAATGGAAAACCACATCCTTTATGAATCTATATCAGCATCTATCTTTCATGACTCATGAGTGCTGTGAAATAAAAGAGAGTTAAAACTGTTTTGAGGGCTTCTATACTTACATGTATATGCAATGCCATCATAAGAGCATCACTAACCAACTTCAAATCAGCGGCCAGGGTTACCTCAGTTTTAAGCACAGTGCTGTCTCATATTGCTCCACTTGGTCAGCTTTGATTTTTTTTACTAAATTAATTACTGGGGAAAAAAACTCTGCCTGCTCTTTCTAAATTAATTACGGTTGCCAGTTGGTCTCTTGCTTAGAATGTGTTCATGTTCCTATGCTGTCAACCATGTTGTATGGAAGTTCCCTTTGGTTCCCGTTTTCTGCATTTAATGATCTGGTCTTTATTGATCTTGGTGTCAACTAGTTTGCATTATAGCCTGGTTAGTAATGAACCTTTTGCATATACTCATTTTTTACTGCATCTGTATTAATCAACTTTGAGTTTCTCTTCCAGCTTTGAATGCGCTAGAAGTATGACTTGACAATCTCTGTATTGAATTATGATCACATCATCTTCTTAGTTGGAATATGCCTTTACTCTGTATCTTCACCTATGCAATGCCAGACAAGCATTTATCAAAATGCATGTGTTTTCTGTCTTCTTGTGAAAATTTAGAGAAAACAGTAATGGGGTGATAATACCTAAAAGAAGGATTTATGGATTCGTTTGCTCAAGTGGATGTTCTTGTTTTGTTGCAACTACAAATTTATTTAGTGTAAAAAGAGAGCTACGCATGTGCTTGTAGCTAATGAGATATTCATTGACCAATAGCTCATAGATGTTTTGTATAATTTAGCCTATTTTTTTTTTACTCAAAGAAAACATTGCAATTGAGTTTGTTCTAAAATATTTCACTATAATTAGCAACTTAATTAACTGAATCCAGGAAACTGCAACACATGATAAAAAAAAAAACAGATTAAATTTCATTAGTCATTTAGCCCTAGCTGAGTGCTTAATCTGTCACAGAAATGACCATGGCAATATGTCTGTTTCAAGTCTTAATTTAGAATGTTATAGTTTTAAACAGCTAAAACATTTTGTTTAACCTCTGTTCATGCTCATAAATAGGTAACAACTTGCCTTCCTCTGCTTATATAATTTGAAGGTGACAAGAAACAATTTCATTCAACCTAAGATTAATAATTCTCCTCAGCAATTACATGCATATGGCTCCTACCAAAGTTGTTTCATCGCAAGTTCTTATTGTTGTAAGCTCTGTTGTAGTTCTTCTTTTGTCCGGTGTGAGCTCATTTGATGGAAATGAACCAAAAGGACTTAAGATTTGTGGGTTTGATGCCATATATAATTTTGGAGATTCATACTCAGACACAGGAAATGCTATTCAAATAGACCCTACTGCTTCACAATCCCATCCTCCTTATGGCAGAACCATCAACAAGATAACCGGGAGATGTTCTGATGGGTTGCTACCAATCGACTACATTGGCAAGAACCAATCCTGCCTTTTTATTCTTCTTGTTATTTATTTATTTATTTACTATCTTCACCTTGAAACCAAATTAATTAATGTTTCTTCCATTTGCAGCAAATTCGGCTGGTTTTCCATCTATCAAAACCTACTTGAATTCGAATGAAACGGACTCCCTCAACGGTGTGAATTTTGCAGTTTCTGGTGCTACTGCATTACCATTGAATGTTGTTCTATCGAAATTGAATATCTCGGCTGGATTCATTAACAATTCTCTCACCGAACAACTTCAATGGTTTGGTGAACATTTAAAAGGATTTTGTCAAACAGATTGCAAGGAAAAACTCAGGTCATCTCTCTTTATAATTGGAATCGGGAGTAACGAGTACAACCTAGGATTCTTCCATTTTAAGAAAGCTGAGGAGATGAAGAAGATAGGGTTGGTGTCTGCAGTTGTAGAAGCCATTCAGAAAGCCGTAGAAGTAAGTTAATCTATATATATACAATTACTAAACTGATTTGTCTAATATATTTCTACTTGGCTAACAAGATATTTGATTCTTGAATTGATTTTATTATTGCGTTCTTGATTATATAGCAAGTCATCGGTTATGGTGCTACTCGAGTCTTGGTCCCTGGAACCTACCCAACGGGTTGTGCACCAGGCTTTCTTGGAATGTTCAGGAAATTGAATTATACGAAAGACACACACGGTTGTTTAGCGGATGTTAATGATTTATACAAGTATCACAATGATCAGCTCCAAGCAGGCTTGGAAATTTTGAGAAAGAAATACCCTGGTGTATCTATAATGTATGGAGATTATTATAACGCAGTGCAATCTATTATGGACAATCTCCAAAAATATGGTGAGCATCTTTGAAATCCATTTTTGAAACTGCAAAGATGTTGAAATAGATATAATGTTTATATATATATTTTTTTACTTCATCACCTTTACCTTTAATTTCGATCATTTCACAGGGTATGAAACAATAACTGGACTTTGCTGCGGACAAGGTAGAGTACTATGTGGACAGCCCGGATCCTCATCTTGTGCAGAGCCTCAAAAACATATTTTTTGGGATGGAATTCATCCGACTGATAACACAGCTAAAAACGTGGCAAATTGGATTATTGAAGAGATCCCCTCCAAGTTTGAATGCAGAGGTTGATGAAGTTTACAGCCAGTACCAATAAGAAGAACATATTTAACGACTGTTATGCCTCTTTCTATTTATGATATGGCTTGCTACTCATTGTGCCACACTTGTACTGCAAAACTTGGATTAATCGCAAGATTCCACCCTGTACTATTCAGATTTTCTTAATGTGACCTATTTATTTATTTATGGAGTTCCTTTCTTCTCTAAATTTTCTAAATATGACACCTCCAATGGATTTGTATAAAGAGATTAATTTTAACGTTCATTGCGATTTAATCCTTAGTGTTTACTTATATGATCTCGAGGGTTATCTCATCTTGAAGTTTTTTGAATTTTATGTTATTACATTTTGATGCGAATAATATTGAAGATCAAAGACAATGACTTTTCAATATATTGTGAAAATACAGCATGAATCCAAAACTTCAACATTTTACAAAAACCTTCTCTAATTTCAAGAAATTAATCATACTTTGAACGAAAAGGATAAAATTTAACTCATTTCAATAAATGCGACTCATGAACTATGTTTCATCTATCACAAAAATAAATCTGAATCAAGACATTTAATCATGTTCGGAACAAAATCCATAAAGTTTTGATTTAGAATTTCGTAGATTTATAACAGTTTTAAAACTTTTTTTTGTACCATAAAAATTAATGAATCAACACAAGAAATGGGAAGACCTAAAAAGAGCCAAGAACCCCATAATGAAGATTTCACCTTAAGAAGATCTACAAGACTTGCTGTTCCTCTGTTTGCATGAAGTGGGCTTCTCTTGCCTCCGAACTAGACTATCTCTCCCTTACATTCTTATTCCAGTCGAGGATGATGATCGATGATGGTGATGAAGAAGATTCTCCGTGCTTCCAATCCCACCACCACATTCCAAAATCGGCAATCCCTGCTCTCATGAAGGTGTTTGAAAATCTGAAATCTCTTGAAATTAAGATCTGCTTCAGCCAAACTTGTATGGATAACTCTTTCAGATTGGAGGCAACGTCGGCAGGTTCTGATGTTTGCAGTTATTTAACTTGTGTGTCGGTGCCATCAAAGGCTGGATTGTTAACAAGTTCTGATTATACTCCATCGTCTCTTGATGCTGAATTTGGTTGCGCTCATATTTGCTCTTTCATGGATTTTTATACGCTGATGTTAAAGAATAGGTCTAAAACATTGACAAGCTTGGTGATGATGGGTTAGAGACTGATGGAAAAATTCAAGAAACATATATGAATGCCAAACTTTACCTCATTTTTTGCTGAATTAATTCTAGTTCCTTCATACTTGAGAAAATTGGTGCTTATTCTTTCAAAAGCAATTGGTTGTGTCTCCCTGTATGTTCCTGTTAGATAGATTGATAGGGAAGTTGCTAAAAGGTGGCTGGTCTCTTGCTCTTGTTCTTATGCTAGCTGTCAACCATGTTGCAGGAAAGTTCCTTTTGGTTTAGTTTCTGTTCCAGCTTTGAATCCAGTGGAATTATAGCTTGACAATTTCGGTATAGATAGATCATTCTCGTTATCGAAATGCATATGATGATGTATTGATTTTTCCAAGGTTTTGGTCTTCTTAGGGAAATTTAGAGAAAATGGTGATGGGATGATGATAATGTAATTAATTTTACTGCAGAACCGTAGTGATTGAGCCGTGGCTGATTCTTTGTTCTGGTTCTGTTTCTGTCTCTACAGCTTTATCCAGTGCTTTATTTGTTCTCCTACTCCTATTGACATATGTTATCGTTTTCTGTAGATAGCTTATGAATTGCTCAAAGCACCAATGTTATGGATGAACTGATTGCAGATTTTTTATCAGGAATTGGACGGGGAACCCTAGAAGCATAGAAAAGCTCCATGGACCATTTCTGCAGTTTTCTTTGCGTTGTATAATCTTTTCTTCTACTTAGCTTTCTATGTTAATAGTCACAGATGCTTCTTAAGTTTCCACATTAGTGAGAAAACTAGATCTGAAACCTTAAGCATTACTCAGAACAACTGAGATATTATACAATCATAAAAATACTAATTCTGTGAAGATATGTGCTGCACTATGCTTTTCTTTTCTCTTTCTTTCTTTCTTTCTTTCCCTGCTTGCATGTTGTTCATTCTTCCTGAACGTCCAGATTGTTAGGAAAATTAGACTTGAAACTTCAACCATGGTACGTAAGAACAGTCGAGATGTGAGATTCTGCACTCATTAGCCATGGCGTAGTGCATAAGTTTGAAGAGAGTGAAGAAAAGCCTTAGATATCATTACATCAATATTAGGGTTGAGATCTCCTCTCATATTCTCTTACGAAATAAGATGGCCTCCCCTCTCATATTCTCATAAGAACATAGCCATTATGTTGGATAAATCTAAAATATTAAATTCCAATAGAATGGATTTGATTTAATAAATGATACAATTATTAATCGAAAAAATTGACTTAAGTAGAATCATGTTCTAGTAGCTTAAACTAATGATTTTGGATTCGAATCTTTATGTCTATAAAAAAACTCTTTAAATAACTGTCACCTTTTTGTCCGTTGGACAGACCAGCGAAGAATTAATCCAAAAATTTATAACATTTAATTTTTTATTACTATATTTTTCTCAATTAAAATCATTGAATTTAAGAATTGTAGTTAGATTTATTCTGGATTAAGGACAGATTGGTTAGAAAAATTGAGATAAAAAATTTACTTAAATAACATAAATATAATTAATATATTTTAAGACATAAAAATAAATTAAAAACTCTTATCCAACCGGTCCAATCGGGTCGGATAATGTCTAAGTACTCAGAGATGAGGGAGATGTATTAGCGGGCTGGGCCACAAAGCCCAACTGATCCAACAAAATCGCCAATTAAACCCATCCGGCCTTTTTCCAAATTCCATCGGATTAAAAAAACAAAAAACAAAAAACAAAAAGACGTTTTTGCATCTCTGCAATTCCAGCTTCGAGAAATGGGAGAACCCAAAACGAAACAAGAACTCTCCGACCAAGATGTCACCTTGGAAAGATCATCAAGATGCATTCCAGGAATTCTCAGATGACTTAATTGTCACAATCTTTTCAAAAATCCAAGATGACCCCAAAACACTGATTCGCTGTTCCTCTGTTTCCAACTACTGGGCTTCCCTTGCCTCCAAACTTACCACCTCCTCCCTCAGATTCTTCGTTCCACTCGAGGGTGATGATGATGCTGATGAAGAACATTCTCCGTGCTTCCAATCCCACCACCACACTCCAACATTAGCAATCCCTGCTCTCATGAGGGTGTTTGAAAATCTGGAATCTCTTGAAATTAAGATATGCTTTAGCCAACCTTGTGAGCATCACTCCTTCAGATTGAAGACAACGTTGGCAGGTTCTGATGTTCGCTGTTATTTAACTAGTGTCGGTGCCATTGGAGGATAAATTGTTACCTGATGATGATACTCCAACGGTTCTTGAAGCTGAATTTAGTCAAGGTAGCACTCATATTGGTTCTTTCTTGGATTTTTATACGCTGATGTTCAAGAATAGGCCTAAAACATTGAAAACCTTGGTGATGATGGGTACCAAGATAGAAGGGCTTGGATCTGGAGGGATGGTGTTTATGACAAAGGAACAAATTTTGAAGTACTATGGCCTCAGTTCGAAACCAAGAGTGAATGAGAGCTGGCTTGAGAACCCGGAGAATGTGGTTTGTTGGCTCAATAATCCACTGCAGGATGAGCATTGGTTTACAGAGAAAGTCTGGGTTGTATATCAACGGGAATTGAAAACGAAGTACTCTGATGAGCTAAATTCTGTGTATAAACTCATTCCAGAGGAGATAGATGTGAAGAATTTGCTGGGTGGATTGGATGATGATGCTTAGAGAATGCGGGTTTCGGTGCTGAGTCTCTAGGAGTAAGTTCTTGATTTACTTTATTGTTTGAAGTTAGTATAACATGTTTTAGTTAAATGCTCAATCTTTAGGTAGTTGTTACATATCTGAGTTGTGGAAGTGACATGATCTGAAGTTAGAACATATAAATGCTGTTTCCTTTGTAGTGTGTGTATAGTATTTCCTTTTCTTTTTGACAAACTTAACCGTAGAAGAAGATCAAACTATCCCATTTTAAAGATCTATGGTTCAAGAAACAAACAAAAAGTTTGTTCTTAATTTGGATTCATAGAAATGGAGAACGTGTTTAATTCCTCAACCGTTGGTACAAGTTCTCTTTTTCCTAAAACGCTGAGATGCCTGGTGATTTGGACCTCTAAGTCGTGGGGTTCTCGATCTGGAGTGGACCTATAAACTTCTCGTGCATAGACCCTTGAGCTGATTGTGGTCAGGGGGATGCGAGAGAGTTATTGGGTGATTTTCATGATGGTGGTGAAGAACAGCCAGAAAACTACCAGATGAATTAGTCTTCGTAATCTTGTCAAGAATCAAAGATCACAAAAAATCTCATTTGCTGCTCCTCTATCTGCAACCACCTGCATTCCCTCATCTCCTAGATTAATACTCCCTTTCTTAGATTCTCATGTCTAGGGCGATTCTCTTCTGTGGTCGCAATCACACCACCACACTCAAGCTGCCATCCCTGGTCCTATTAATGTATTTTAAGGTTTTGATATATAAAATTTCCATTGATTGGATATTCGAAGAAGAATGTGCCACTCAGTATGAATCTTGAACATGAACCTATTGTGATTGATCTGCATGTCTTGCGCTTTATTTGTTCTGTCACTGCTTGTAATCTTATGCTTTTCATTATCTGCAGAGTGCAGATGATTGATGAACTGTTTGAAGTAACAATGTGGTTGAAGAAGTGATTGCAGAATCTTGAATTAGAATTTCCTGGGGCACCCTACAAGGCACGAAAAATAGGCTTTACTATTTCCAATTTTCCTCTTTTATTTTTATTATTTTTTTTTTTGGGGGGGGGGGGGGGGAGCTTCCCCTCTTCATTTTATTATTGTTGTTTTTTGTTGAGCTTCTTCTGTTTATCAAGTAATTAACTGCTTCCTAAAATTGCAATATTGGTATGGACAATAAACTTGAATAGTCGACCATTACCAAGAACAAATGAGGTGAGATTTGTTCACATTGGCCATGGCTTAAAGCATTGTTTGAACAGAATGAAGAGGAGCTTGGTCTCATCTTTGGCTGTGAATTGCAATAGTATTAAACTAGTAACTTTCTACGTGGATGCAAATGTTGAAAATGGCCTTATATCATATTGAGCTGAACCATTTTTCATGTGTCATAGCATGACTAAATCTATCTATCTATATATTAGGTGTCTTTCAAACTGGGTTAGTATTTCCTCTCCTAGAGCATGAATTAGAATCATCGAAATATATGTTTGGGTGATCCAGGCATTTATTTTCTCTGTCCTACCGTTATCGTGTTAAAATTTTGATTTTATAAGTATGGTTGTAAGTTTTGTGTGTGTGTGTAGTTTAGGTATGATATATTGTTTATATCACAACGTGATCTTCTTCTCCTTTTTTTCCATAAAAAAAGATGTGCTTATTTGTTATTATTCTTTTTAATTTCTTCTAGATGGTAACTAAAGTTGGATTTAAATTATAAAAAAATAAGAATTATCTAATTTTTCACCAAAGCCTAAGTGGGCATGGACTGTATTTGAGACCTTGGGGAAATTGGCTAGGGGCATGCAAATGCTTTTATTGTTTTTTAAAAGTAAAATCATTTTATTTGAAGCATATTTAAGATGCAAACTATAAATGTTTTTGCCATGTTCCTTGAAGGTGTTGTTAAATAATTATCTGCACTTTAATTATAGAAAGTACCTTTCAAATTTCGTTTGTAATTGTTTTAACTATTAGGCTTAGCTTGATGGCCATCCTCCTCACATATGGGATTCTATGTATTCGGTTCAAATGGTGATTCAAAATCTCAGCACCTTTTTTTTTTTTTTTTTTGTAAAGAAATGACTCGATCTGAGACCTTTTGAAGGAAGAAGATACAAGTTCCTAATACAAATTTAGCTTGATACTCATTGGCAAAATTGTAGAACTATGATCTCTTTAATTACACGAACTAAGAGATAAAGACACATATGTTGTCTTTTGCTGTTTCGTGACTTTATATTTTTGTCTAAATACTTTTTGTCAGAAGTTTTTTTTTTTTTTTTTTTTCTAAATGTAAATAAAACAGATGCCAATTATCTCAATTTATTTTGGATTCAATGATTTTGATTGGATGAAAGAAAAAATGTTGAATAATTATATTCTTTCCATTTTCAACACAGGCAAAAATCATGTGCATTTATTTTGAATTTGATCATTTAGATTTTAACGTGAGAAGATTTCAATACATCCTATGCAATCTGATCCTCTCTATTTTCTCGATCCACAGAGAAAATATCATTTAGGTTAATATGGCACTCAGAAGATTGATGCTATTGAAGATTCCTCTTTGTTGGACACGCATCTCTTCTCTTTTAACAAACTATGTTGAGTTGGTGATTTCTAGCGGGAAGATGCGAGAGTCTGGATCACAACAGAAGGTTCTTATAGAGAAAACACACCTGGGGAAGTTGGTTGATATTAGAGAGAGGTTTATATTGTTCATCATTTACAATTGCTATGAATACAGGAAGTCTCATCAACTGATTATGATGGAAACTGATGTGAAGGAGTTACTGGGTGTTTTCAGTGATGATAGTAATGACGAGAGCTGAAATGACAATAATGATGACGTGCAATGAGAACAAAGAATTTATTTCAAAATAACGTAGTTTCAATTCGTTGCGAGGTAATTGCTTGTTTCCGATCTGTATATTGTGCTAAGATTGATTTATGGGGAAATGTCCAAAAGGTATTTTGTTTCTTGCTCATCATGTTCTTTCATTTCGTTTTGCTGATGGTAGCATAGCCGGGTTTGTATCATTTCTAATCATGCTACTGTAGGTAATTTCTTTTTCTTTTTGATTTTCTCCATTTAATATGTTTCTTATTATGTCAGTATTAACTTGTTTGTGTCAGAGTTGAGTTACTGTTTATCCTTTTCCGTAGTCTTATTATAGAGTGCATTTATATCTAAATAACATAGTTTCAGTTTGAGTTTTGAATGCTATCAATCTTGGTACTGGATTAGGATTATGTAACGTTTTTATTTGGAATGTCTATGTATGTATATCTAATTTAGGATCGTCAGTAATTAATTTTTCTTGTTATCAAGATGCATGGTTTTGGTGTTGAATATTGCCTTGGCATGTGGATTCAGTTTTCTTGTTGGCAACTTAGCGAAGCTGGGAGATGAGATTACTGATATTGTGTTCTTAGTTTCAGAATTATGGTTATGGTGCGGGCAATGCTGGTCTTCTTGTTCTAGTTGTGTTTGTACATTTCCACTGATCTTAGTTGTGCTATCCTGTGCGTTATTTGTTATGCCAAAATCTTTTGGCATATCACTGACAATGGTTTCATGTCTGGTTGCCAATATGGGAGAAAGAGTGGAAACTGATAACTATTAAATGTTATGTCATAGGAAATTCTTACTTGCCAAAATGTCTATAATTGATGCTTGTTCAACTGGAAAAGTAATTTTTTGTGTCCTGTTAGATAGCTAAGAAAATGGTCGAAAATATTAGATATTCATATTAAGAAACTTTAAAACTCTTGAGACCAGACACAATATTTAATTTAGTGTCAAAATAGGTTTTTTCATTCAAGGAGAGAAAGAGTAAGAGCTAGAAAATGATGAAAGAAACTGATAGAATTAGGTTTGGATTTGCCAGCTATGTTTTATTAGTTACTTAGGAGCATAGAAAGGGATTTTTGTATGTGCATTGGTATTTATCACATTACCAAGGTTACAAGAATTTGAATGTTTCCGAGTTCTAGGATGAGAATAGGCTAGCTTGAGAACCCGGACAATGTGGTTTATTGGCTTCATAGCCCCTTCCATAATAAGCGTTGCCCTAAGAGCTCGCTTCGAGAGAGCATATGGCTTGTTTGTATTTTGTTATTGTCATGGATCGGATATTGTAGGAGGGCTGTGCCAATAAAGGTAGAAATTGAGCCTGTAAATACTATGGTGATGGGGAGGAATGTGAAAGAGTTTTTAAGTGGTTGATGATGTCTTAGTAACTCTTTCTTTCTACTATTAGTTAGTCTCTTGCTTATCATATAATAACGTTCTTTCTCTATTAACCATGTTTTTGCAGGGAAGTTCCCTTTGGTTTTGTTTTCGGAATTTGATCCTATCTTTATAGATGTTGATGTTAACTTTTTTGCATTATTATCCAGGTTATTGATGACCTTTTTTGATTTAAATTGCCTCCGTCTCTGATTATTGAGGTTCAGTTCAGGTTGAAGATTGTGGCCATTCTTTAACTTGACCCTCTCGGTATAGAGTATTGTGTTATCTCGGTATAGAGTATTGTGTTATCATTCTTATTACCGAGATGCATATGTTGCATATGTGGTTTTGATCTTCTGTTGTCAAGTTAAAGATAATGGTGGTGATGAGATGGTAATAATTGTAATTATTTTACTGTACAATTATGGTTATTGAATTGCAGATGGTGATTGCATTATTATCCTTGTCAATTTAAGAAGTTCGGAACTTACAGCGCAGCGCAATTTCGGTTGTGTTTCTACGGTTTCAGTAATTTATGTTGCTCAACCTGTGCTTTATCTGTTACGTCAAACCTTGTAACACATGTTTTAATTCTCTGCAGAGTGGAAATGGCCGATGAAGAGCTCATGTACCAATTAGTCTGAATTTTGATTGGAAATTCGATGCGTACCCCCTAAAAGTTCAGAAAAGCTCTGTAGACCTATTCAGCAAATATCGTTGTGTTGTATTTCTAATATTTCACAGAAGTTTACCGTGTTTTCCTTATTGGTTTGAAAACTAGATTTAAAACCTTAATCATTACTCAGAAGTGCTAAAATTTGAGATTTGTGATAATTCTCCATGGCTTAGTCCATAGTTTTGAACATCATTGAATAAGAGCCTGCAATAAATCATCTGCCTGTACACCCACATTGTCCATTCCTTTTTTTCAACATTAGATTTTGCTCGTCTGTCACTCTCTTAGCTTAGAGAACACAGAAGACGTCATGTTAAAGGTCGATGTCTCCTTAGTGTAGGATCGTGAAGGGATTTCACCAATCACCAGTGCAACCTTCTCATAACATCACTCTCTTTGATCAAGAGTTTGGTGTTTTGTTTCTCTCACCTCTTCGCACAGACAGTCCAGCACTCTATTGAATGATTTTGCAACCAGGGTGCTGTAGTTGTAAATAACGGACGGTTGAAAAAATAATCACGGTTATCATCATGGATCGTAGCTTATTAAAATAACAGTAATAGAATATTTCGAAATCGTTACATAACGGTCGTTATTTAAAACTATATTCAAGGCTATATTGCTGACAATGAATTAACTTTGGTCTATCAGATGTCCCAACCTCGCCATCTTCGGTGGCTATGCAAGCCAGTGATGCATAAGTGACTGTTGCTATTGTTTGCTCCTTCAACATATAACATCCTTGATAAAAAAATTATTCAACAACAAGCAAAATATGTGCAAAAGAATAAGGCCAAAATATTTAAGTTCAGTACCAAATTTTTTCTCTCGAATCTGATTGGGTCAGGAGATTAGGAAACCTGAATTTTGCTTACCATGAAACTGAAGCCTCAAGAACATGTAGGCCCAATAAACTTATCATGGTAATTAAATCCTCGTCCTCTAAAAATGGCAACTAAAACCTCATGCAGCTTATCATTTCCTTATAGTCCCTCTCATAGTAATCCATATGTTGCCAAACCTCAACCCCACCAACTCCAATCTCTGCAACTGCATCTTGAAGGGAAAAAAAAAAAATGAAGAGAACCAAGGAATCAACCGAAGAAAGCAACAAACAAGATGTCAAGTTGAGGAAATCAGAAATATTAGCAGACAAAATCACGAAACTACCAGCTGAATTAACCACCAAAATCTTTTCAAAAATGGAAGATGACCCGAAAACCCTGATTCGCTGCTCCGCTGTCTGCAAGAACTGGGGATACTTCGTCTCCAAAACTGTCAATCTCTCCCTCAGATTTTTGAGTACAGGTGAGAAGGGTGAGTCTCTTCCATGCTCAAAACGTCACTACCACATTCCAGTAGCTGCAATCCCTTCTATCATGAAGGTGTTTGCAAATCTGGAATCTCTCAAAATTAAGCTCTGCCGTTTCCCTTCTGCAACTTCACAGCCACCTTGTTGTCAAAACTTCAACCAGATTAAGGTCGAGTGGGATGGTGATGATTATCATACTTATACATGCACGGCATTTGAGGTTGGATTGTTATCATCAAGTATCAAAGGAGCTGTTCTGTTTCATGATTTCAGCAGAAACAATTTTGCTACCATCCACAGTTTCTCGGTCACCTACTTTTACTGGAAAATGTTAGATCACAGGCCAAAAACGTTGAGTAGCATGGTGATTATGAGTTCTAAGATGGAACGGTCCAGATCGGGAGGGAAGGTTTTTCTGAAATACGAACAGCTCCCAAACTTGCGTGATTCGGTTTCGAATTCAAAAGTGAACAAGAGCTGGCTTGAGGATCCACAGCATGTGGTTCACTGGCACAAGAACCACTCGGCGAAGAATCATTTGCTGCAAGAACAGGTGTGGCTTGTTTATGAATGGAAATATTTTGTAGCCAACAAAGAACTCGATCAGAAAGAACTTGACGAGAAAGAACTGTCAGCAAAGAAGACAGATTTTACGGAACTGTTGGATGGATTGGATTATGATGCTGGTGGTGATCGTATCAGAAAACGCAGAACTCCGTGCCGACAGTAATAATTCTTGTAGTAAGTTCTGTATTTTCTTTACTTTTTGAAGTTCATATTACATGTTTTTAGTTAAATGCTAAATCATTAGGTAGTTATTAGATTTATATTCTTGGATTTGTTCAAGTTCTGAAAATAATGGGGATTGAATTTAGTAAATGCAACTGCTGTTGCATAAATATAATTAAGACATGATTAGGTTCTATAACATCCTAAAATAGAGAGTAGCTTTGTGATTTCGAGGCTAGTTAAGGTATGAGGTTCTATTAGAAATGAAGAATCCAATTTCAAATGGAAAAATAATTGAAGAGAGATTCAATTCGAAATTAGAAGTTAAAGAATTGATTCTCGAATGAATTAAAGTTTAGAAAAAAGTTTATACCATTTAGCCATTTTATTAAATTGAGATAGCTAGCCTACAAGATTGCTTAAGCTAGATGTCTAGAAGATGGCATACCCATAAAATAGTATCACTAGAAGAGAAAGGGACTAATTAATATGTTAACCGACCTACTCATGATTCAAATTGCACTATTTCTAGATCTTTCTAAGACACTATCTCAATCATTATATTCTAAAGGCTAATTGGTTATAAGTATCATGAATTATGATAAACATGAGAAAAATCTTTATGTTTATTTATATATTTTTTTGTGATTTGGGTTTCATTAAGTTTTTTTTCTTTTTTGTCCCATTAACTAATCTCAAGCCACATGATGCACATAAGAAACACCTGGAGCTATAAAACAATAATACTTATTATGTGTTTAGAGTTTACAAGACACATGCTATTGTTTTAATGACTTTCGCATCTCTCATGTAGCTTGAGATTGGTCAATGAAATGAAACTACTTAACTATGGATAAAAAAAAAAAAATTGAGGGCCTAAATCAGAAAAAAAGAATAAAAAGGTTAAGAACTTTTCTTTTTTTGACCAATGGTTAGTCTGAGAAATTTTATAATATTTAAGGAATAATTAGTATTCTCAATTAGTCTATTCAATCCCCTTGCTTTCCATAGAAAATGTGCATTATTTTTCGCCAGCAGTTGTTAGATTGATTGTTAGGGAAGTGACCAAAAGGTAGCTACTTGCTTGCTTAGCATTTTTTCATGTTCATACGATCATTTGTTTGCTAACTGGGATTCCTGTAACGTCTAATCATCCAGGTTCAATTCAAAAGGTAATTCTTTATGTTCAGTATGATAGATAAGAAAATGATAGAAAAGCATGGACATTCATATAAAAGTTGAGTGCTGCATCTTATGAAATTTTGAAATGTTGAGACGACATGCAATATTTAATATAATGTAGTGTAAAAAAAGAGTTTTCCTTTCGAAGAAGAGAAAGGGTAAGATCAAGAAAATGGTAAAAGAGTAGATTGAGGCTTGAATTTTCCAGCTATGCTTATTAGTTAATACCGAGCATAGAAAGGGACTTTTTTTGTTTTTTTGTTTGTTTTCTTATGTGCATTGTGCAAAAAGGCTTTTAAGAAGTAATTATTCTACTGTACAAATATCGTTATTGAGTTGTGGAAGGTGTTGGCTTTATCATCCCTGTCAATTTAAGAAGTATGGTTACAGCGCAGCGCAATTTCGGTTGCTTTGGATTGCCTGTGCATTCTGCTTTGCAATGCAGAATGGAGCTAGTTGTGGATGGTGATGGCATTATTATCCTTTTCAATATAAGATGTTTACAGCACAGCGTAATTTCGGTCATTGTTTTGGTTGTGTTTCTACAGTTTCACCAATTTCTGTTCCTCATGCTGAGCTTTATCTGTTTTGCCACACCTTGTAACTTATACGTTTTAATTCTCTGCAGAGTGCAAATGGCAGATGAAGAGCTCCATTTCTCAATAAGGCTGATGATATTTTTGCAGAATTTTAATAAGGAATTCCAAGGGTAGAAAAGCTTTGTAGACCATATCTTTTTCTGTTGAAAAAGCTTGTGTTTAGCTTTCTATCTTAATAATCATACATGCTTGATTTTTTCCATATTGGTTTGAAAACTAGATGTGAAATCTTAACCATTGCTTAGAACTGCTTAAATATGAGATTTATAATCATTGGCCATGACATACTTTAATAGTTTTGAACATTAATATTGAAGAGGAGCCTGCTATGTATCATCTGCGTGTACACCCACATCGTCCATTCATTTTCTTTAACCGTTAGAGTTAGTCCCTTAGCTTAGAGATGATGTCATGTTCAAGTATGGCATGTCTTGTCTCGTTGACATAGAATTGCAAAGGGATTTCATGAGTGCAACCTTTGGATATCTAGCGTAGCTTTTGGATATCCTACGTTTATTTATTTTAAATGCTAAATCTTTTGTTAGTTGTTACATTTTATGTTTGGATTTGTTTCAAGTTAAGATAATGAAAGGGATTGATATCAGTAAATGCAACTGCTGTTTCTGTCATGGAGATTTAAATAAAAAATAATTCTTTATGCCTTCCATGATAGCTAAGAAAATGGTAGAAAGGCATGGACATCCATATTAAAATTGAATGCTGCATCATAAGAACTCTGTACATGTTGAGATGATAAGCAATAGTGTAAAGGCAGAAATCGAGCCCGATGAGACTATTGTGATGAGAGGGATGTGAAAGTGTTATTTGGCTGGTTTCGATGATGGTGACGGTTCTTCCCTTTTGATTATTAGTTTTCTAGCATTATTAATGCCTGATCATGAATACAAATACTAGTGTGAGGGATGAAAATTGGATACCTTAGAAGTGAATTAGACAATCACTCAATCAGATAGTCATTCAGTTAGAGCTATATGAAAATAGAAGTTGTTCCTTCATGGAAGGCATAAGCATTTCCTTTTTTTTTTTTTTTTTTCAGACTGAACTATTGATGTTAAATATTTAAACCTGCTTCCTTTATGTATTTATATAAGTGGTAATGATCCAGTTTGTCTTTATAAAATAGAGTCAACGTTCAATATGTTTTTATATTTTAAAATAGCTAATTATGTCTATGCATTTTAAATGATTTTCTAATCTATTTTTCTTGTGAATTTTTTTGGCCAAAATACGTGACTTTTTCCAACAAAAAATTAGTTATGTGCAAGTCATGTAACTTTTTTTTTTTTTAAAAAAAAGATCAATATATAAAAGAGAAAAGAGTCAACAAGAAAGTAACTATAATAACGAGTTTAGAATACAAATAAGAAGACAAACTAAATAACAACCCTTCTAAAAACAACAAAACTAGACTATAACAATAAAAAAAATGAACTATCTTTTCAGATAGTCCAATCGATAGGTTCTTGAAATATTTATCTATCTTTTGATTTTATTTGAGTTAATTAAAAGATCATTTCGAAATAGACAAAATAATCATCATTATATCTAACCTAATGCGCCACTCTATGAAAAACCAAAAAAAGAATGTTGCCCCAATCAAGAGTGATACTATTAAAGATAAGATTATTTTGTATTAGTCAGATTAACCATAGGCTTGAACAGAGAACAAGAAACCACATTGATGGTTTGAAGGAAAACATTCACCAAAATGACAAATTCAAAATTCTCTTAAAATATATGAACATAATTGGTAAAATAGAATAATGGATATTGATCTTATTATATAAAAACATACTAGATCATTTCCTCTTTGTATAAACCAAACCTTATAGGTGCGATGTGTTAATTTGAAAAGCTGTCAAATTCAGGAAAGTTAAGCGCATTAAGAAGACTTCTCTTCCACATATTCAACAAGTGCATCATTCATTTGCATCATTACACTCTAGACATCGTGCTCTTTGTCTCAATGGCAGTGAAAAATGCACAGTTATTCTGGCTGCAATGCCATGATCAGAAGATCTTCTCTAACTCATCAACAACTTCAAATCAGGGACCTGGTACACTCTTTTAGCAGTTAGAGCTGAAATCTTGTTCCTTTTTTCGTTGGGAAAGGGTGCATGCTTGTTCTTTCAAAAGTAATTGCTTGAGCCTTCTCTCTACATGTGCTTCCAATTAGGTTGATTGGTAGGGAAGTTGCTTGAAAGAGTTTGTTAGTCTCTCGGCAGGCAAGTGCCATCTGGTTTTCATTTGTTTGCTAATTTAGAGCGCATCTGTATCTAAACATATTTGAATTCAGTTCAGGGTTGAATATTGTGGATTTTGTTTAACCTGACACTCATGGTATTCAATTATGATTACTACATATTATGGTAGTGCAATTACGGTCGTTGTGTTCTTGCCGTTTCTACAGTTTCACTAATTTTTGTTGCTCATCCTGTGCTTTATCGGTTCTGCCAAACCATGTAACATATGTTTTGATTCCCTGCAGAGTGGAAATGGAAGATGAAGAGCTCCATGTACTAGTAAGGCTGAAGATATAACTGCAAAACTTCGAAGATATCTTTTTTCTGTTGAATAACTTGTGTGTTTAGCTTTCTATGCAATTGCTAAGTTTCTATATTGGAGTGAAAACTACATGTGAAATCTTAAGGACTGCTAAGAGTAACTAAGATTTGAAAATTTCTATCCATTATCTTATGGCACTTCATAGTTAGAACATAAATCTTTCACCTCACTTCCATGGGAATGAAATTTTATATACAGTTACAATGGAGTCCAATGAACTGTGGTATGCGTAGAATCTTTTCAACTCTGTTGATGGTTTGATCAAATCTTCAGATCATATTTCATTTAATCATATTCTTCGAGAAGAAAATACATCGGCAGATTCTTTAGCCAATTAAGAGTATTCCACATAGAAACAATAATTTTATAGCTTGTTTTTAATCTTTTTTCTTTAGTTTATCATAACATTATAAATTTTGTAAGCTATCAGCTGCTTAATTATTTTTAATAATAATCTAGTCTCGATTTTCATAAAAAAAAAAAAAAAGAATAAAAAGAAAAACACTGTGATATACCTCGTCCAAAAAAATTTCACATTTGTCCAGAAGAGTCTCACAATTGCTAACCCAAGCCAATCCTTAGCATGAATCCAAAGATTTTAAATCTATACCATGGAATAAGTAGTGTAAGAATCTCAAGGAGTCAGTCAGTCTGGTGGTTAGGAAGTTTGCTTCCTCCTTTTGGGTTCAAATTTTGAGATTGTTATCCAATTTTTATTTTTATTTTATTATTATTTTTTTTTAATTTTTTTTATTGAATTGAATCCTTTTCTCATCTCTTGAGCCAGCCCTTTTAAAAACGGGTCTCATTTTTATGTGAATAAGGAAAGTAATATCTTATAATTTCTCATTTATGAAAATTTCCTACCCTAAACTGCCATGAGAACGTGGGGCTTAAGGTCCAGCAGGTCCAAAAAAATCCAATAAAATTTCCCTTTCATAGGAATCCAAATGTTGTAAATGTCAAACCCTATCAACTACAATCTCTGCACGTCTTAAAAAAATAAAATAAAAATTCCACATCAACCCAACCAAGCGAAAATCAAGATTAACATTAGCAGACAAATTCATGAAATTACCAGATGAATAGTTAACCCCCAACTTTTTTTCAAAGATGGAAGATGACCCCAAATCCCTCATTTGCTGCAGTCTGCAAGAACTGGGCTTCCTTCGTCTCCAAAACCGTTAATCGCTCCCTCCGATTCTCGATTACAGGTGAAAAGGGTCTTGCTTGCTTAAAACTTCACCATCACATTCCATCATCTGCAACCTCTCGATATTAAGCTGTCATCAACCTTCTCCAACTTCACAACCGTTTTCTTATCAATTTTTTTTTTTTTTTAATAAACATCGTCATCAAAATATCACCAAGATGACTCTCACGTGGGCCGTTGATGATTTTCAAATTATAGTTATAAAAATGATGCAAAACTGATGAATTGATTGTAAACGATTCAGATGAGAAGGAGTTGTTGGCTGGATTGGAGGATGATCGTAATGCTCAGGGTATTGGAAAACAAATCAGTACCGACAGTAATAATTCTTGTAGTAAGTTCTGGATTTTCTTTACTCATGTTTGAAGTTAATTAACATTACATGTTTTAGTTAAATGCTAAATCTTATGGTACTTGTTACATCATATGCTTGGATTTGTTTCAAGTCACGAAAATGGAAGAGATTGAAATTAGTAAATGCAACTGCTGTTTCCTTCATGGAGTATATAAGCAATTTTTGTCTTTGTTTTTGTCAAGCGTGAGTGTTGAAGAAAGATGAAACAATTCCCCATAGTAAGTATGCCTACAAGATTTTGATAGACAGATTCAATATGATTATATTACTCCTTTATCGCCGAATTTGTCACTAAATATCTTTTCATTTCGTAGTTGAAAAAATTGGTGCTAATTTTTATGGAAGTAATTGATTAAGCACTCTCAAAGTGCTTTTGATCTATTTGCATATGCTCATTATGGATTGCATTTATATCTAAAGATTTAGTTTCAGTCTCAATTTCAGCTTTCATAGTTATTGTTAATTAGTTACTCGAAGATCTTATATGATTAAAAGGTTGCATTTCGTTTTCGAAGAATATGAATAAAAGAAATAGGATTCAAATACATGATCAAAAAGTCAATAACTAACTAATTATATATAAACAATGATTTTATAGCTTGGTTTTAATCTCTTTCCTTCAAGTGTTATTGATATATCTCAAGCTTATGACAACATTGAAATCTTGTTGGCTGCCAGTTGGCTATGTTTATGTTAACCTAATCTCAATTTTCGTAAAAGAGAAAAAAAAAAAGGCTACTCTACAATCTTGGCATTGGATTGTGACTTCCATGTTTTTATTTTGAATGTATCTATAGGCAGTGCTACTTAAAGTATGAAGTTTAATAGATCTTACAATCAATATGCATGGTGATGACTTTTGTTTATGGCCTTGTTCTTCTAATAGCATGGTGTGATGCAGTAAGGTAATGATGATAGTCATATATATATATATATATATAGTTACAGTGATATATAGAGTTGAATTTTTTCATATATTGAATTTTACACTTCTATTTAATTAAGTTTTGTGGGATTGTTGGAATCTTGGTTTTTCTACATTCATGGGTTTCCGCTAGATGTATGGATTTTCGTTTAGCTGATTGGTTTAATAGTTGTTCTTTGTATCCATATAGTAGGAAATTCAAAACCTGCTACGTTTATGATGTGTTGTTTGGTAGCAAAAAAGGTAGAAAGAGACCGGAAATTGATTAATTTTCTAATGTAACATTATAAGAAACTTTTAATAGCCAAAATTTTTATACATGGTTAATGCGGGTTCAATTCAAAAAGTAGTTCATTATCATGTCCTGTTTGATAGCTAAGAAAATATATATTTTTAAAAAATATATATAACATAAAAAATGGTAGAAAAAAGTGGACATTCGTATTATTGAATGATGCATCTTCAGAAAATTTTAAATGCTGAGATGATCTGCGTATTTGATGTCGTGTCAAAATAGGGTTTTCGTTTGAGGAAAGGAAGAGTAAGAGTAAGAAAATGATAAAAGAAAGAAGATCAAATTAGGTTCGGATTGGCCAGCTATGTTTATTAGTTACTATGGATCATAGAAATGGAATTTTGTAGTTGCAAAAAGGATTTATCACATTACCAAAATTATAAACATTTTAATGTTTTCGAGTTCAAGGATGAAAATAGCTTGCTTGATGGTGGTGGTTAGTAAGTACTCTTTCTTCCTATTATTAGTTTTACAGGATTATTAATGCCTGACCATGAATACAATTACTACTATGTGAGATGAAACTTGGATACCATAGAAGTGGAATTAGATAGTCATTAACTTACAAGTCTATGAAAATGGAAGTTGTTCCTTTTGGCAGACATAAGCACTCCATTTTTTTTTTTTTTTTGTCAAACTTAACAGTTGATGAAGATGAAACAATTACAATGTATGATATTATAGATTGAAAATCTGCTCCTTTTATGGAGTTGTATAAGGAGAAACCTGATTTTATAGGTCTGATGTGTTGATTTAAAAGGCTGTGGAATTCAGAAAAGTTTAGCCCATGAAGAGGACCTCTGTCGTCATTGTCGACGACTAATGCATCCTGCATGTGCTTCACTAACTTGAAAATCAAATCCGGGACCAGGATCACTTCAATATGAGCTTCACTATATTGATATACTCCTTCTAGCATTCATCAATGAACTCTTGTTCCGTTAGTAGTTGGAAAACTCGTCCTTGTTCTTTCGAAAGTAATTGCTTGAGTCCTCAACCCTCTCTGTATATGTGTTTTCTATTAGATTGATTGTTAGGGAAGTTGCTAAAGTGTAGTTGGTCTCTTTGTTATCATGTATTCATGTTCTTGCTTTAGAGGTTTATCGAGATGGTGGTATTGACTGTTGCACGTGATTTTGGTGATTTCTGTTGTCAAGTTAGAGAAAATGGTAAGGCTGAGATGGTAATAATTGTAGTTTTTTTTACTTTACAATTATGGTGATTGAGTTGTGGATGGCGATGGCTTTATTGTCCCTGTCGATTTAAGAAATATGGTTATGGCGCAACGCAATTTCGGTCATCGTGTTCTGGTTATATTTCTACAGTTCCACTATTTTTTGTTGCCTTCCTGTTCTTTATCTGTTCTGCCACAACTTGTAACTTATACGTTATAATTCTTTGCAGAGTGCAAAGGGCAGATGAAGTGCTCCATGTACCGATAAGTCTAACAAACTGACTGCAGAATTTTGATTAGGAAGTCGATGGGACACCGCCTCGATGTTCCTTTTCAACCGATAAATTTTCCTGTTGTATAGTCTTGTTTTCGCTTCCAATGTTGATACTCATAGATGCTTGCTATGTTTTCTTTATTGGTGTGTAGACTAGATGTGAAACTCTAATTATTACTTAGAACAGCTGAAATGTGAGATTTGTAATAATTGGCCATGGCTTCCTCCATAGTTTGAACATCAATGAAGAGGAGCCTGCAATATATATATCATCTACATGTACACCCACATCGTGTCCTGAGTGGAGAATTTTGAAGGGATTTCATGGCTGCAACCCTTTGGATATCTAGGACAGCGTTTGAATAGGAATTAAACAGTGAATGTGAAACCTTTAAAACACTACAATTTCAATTAAAACAATCGCTAGAACCTCCTTTAGCAATACCACATTGATGATAGAAACTTTATGCGATAATTAAGGAATAAATACTTTATAGAAGTGAACCAAAAAACAAGGGATAAAATTGCAGTTATATGGTTTGTGGAATTATAAATTCACGAATTTGAAGAAATTAAAAGAAAATATGCCGTCCAAATGCAAAAAGGAAAAAAACCCAAAAGTTTTTTGCATTCTTAAAAAACCCTCAGTATATATTGCCCCAACTACTTGGATGCTAAGTCCAACGTAAATAGCTAGGAAAATCACGGTGGAAATACATGCAACTTAGCTAAATAAGTATGGAGCGATGAAATGCATTTCAAGTATTTTAATACTCATTTATCTTCCATGACTTAGATAAAAAAATTCAGGTTTTACATGGACCAGACCCAATATTTTGCAAATTAACTAAACTTCTTTTATTTGCAGATCGTATTTTTAACTCCATTGATCTTTTGATTAAATCTTTGAGTTCCATTTCATTCAACCATATTCTTCGTGAAAGAAATGTAGTGGTAGATTTCTTATCCAGGATTACTTTCCATAAAAGCAATGAACAATTTGTGTGGCTACAGTTTTATTTTCTATTTTTTTTTGCTTACTTAGAAGTCTTTTATTGAGTTAAATAATTAAAATTGAATTTTATTCAAAAAGCTTAAACTATATAGTAGGTTGTTTTTATCTCAACTTTCTATATTATTTATTAATTATTTAGTAAAATGTGTTCTCTAATATTCTTTCTCACTTGTCGTTCATAGTTTGAGATATATCGAGTAGAGTGGGCTTCAATATCTTTATTGGAGTACCGTTAAACCTTTTTGAGAATTTAAAACCATATTAAGATGGTTATGATTGAATTTTATTTAAAAGACTTAAATGTTATAGTGGGTGGTTTATAAGCTACCTTCTTATTAATCTAATCTCCATTTTCATTTTAAAAAAAAATTTCTTTTCCTAATTTGTTAGATTTGAGAGATAGGGTTAATCCGAATTTTGCTTACCCTTAGATTGCAATGTGGGCCTCAAAATCAAGCAGCCCTTGTAAATTTGGCTGGCAATTAAATCCTGGTCCACCCAATATGGAAACCAAAACCTCGAGCAGCTCCCCGTTTCCATAATTTCCCTCCCAAGAATCCAAATGTTATCAGATTTATACTCTCCCAACTACAACCTCTGCATTACTCACCGAAAGAGAGGAAAAAAAAAAAAAAAAAGCTACAACCTCTGCAATTCAATCTTCTTCAGAAGAAAAAAATGTTCAGATACAATTTAATCCAACGAAGCCAAAATCAAGATTTCTTGTTGAGGAGATCGGAAATATTGTCAGACTGCGTCATTGATCTTCCTAAGGAAATAACCACCATAATCTTTTCAAAAATGGAAGATGACCCCAAAACCCTCACTCGCTGCTACGCTGTCAGCAAGAACTGGGCTTCCGTTGTCTCCCAAACTGTCAATCTCTCCTTCAGGATGTCGTGTACAGGTGATAAGGGTCATTCTATCCCGTGCTCAGAGCTTCACTACCATGTTCCAGTGTCTGCCATCCCTGGTATGATGAGGCTGTTCGCAAATCTGGAATCTGTGGAAATTAAGCTCTGCCATTGCCCTTCTCGAACTCCATATCCAGCTTGTAATCAACATGTTACCAAGGTGAAGGCCGAGTGGGCAGTAGATCATGCTTCTCAGACTTACACATGCACAGCAAATGAGGTTGGATTGTTATCAACTGTCAAAGGACCAATGGTGGCTCTTGAATTGGACGAAGAAAATTTTGATACCGTCGAAAATTCTCCAGCTATGGAATTATATTGGAGAATGTTGTGTTGCCGGCCGGACACATTGAGAAGCTTGTCGATTGTGAGTGCTAAGACAGTAGACTTTAATTCAGAAGGGAAGATTTTTATTAGTTATGACCAGCTCTCAAATTTTCCTGATTCGATTTTGGAGTTAAGAGTGAACAAGAGCTGGCTTGAGGATCCAAAGAATGTGGTTTATTGGCACAAGGACCAGAGGAACAAGGAGCATTCGCTTCGAGAGAAGGTGTGGCTTTTTTATCAATGGCATTCTCTAATATCTGAAAAACAAAAGAACGTGAATGATCTGACGGAAAAGAAGGAGGATTTGATGAAGTTGTTGGATGAATTGGATGACGGCGATGATAAGGGTACTAAGAAACCCGGATCTCAGAACTAACAGTAACAATTCTTTCAGTAAGTTCTCAAATTTTATTATATGCTAAATCGTTCGGTGATTGTTTCAGATATGCTTGGATTTGTTTCAAATTATGAAAATGCAACTGCTCTTTCCTTCGTGGAACATATAAGCAATTTTTTTTTTTTTTCTATTAAGCTTTAACTGTTGAATAAATCAACAACTCCAATAATAAATGTCTACAAGATTTTGACAGACAAATTAAAAAAAAAAAAAAAAGTTGGCTCTTAAATCGGATAGACACATAAGTTCAGAGATTTTGTGCATTTCTTAGCCTTAGTTACAAAGTTTATATTACGCTTAAAAGCGGCTAGGTTTGTGTTTTCAAACCCTAAGACTAGAGGTTCTGGGTCTGAAGGGACGTTGTTTATAGGACAAGAACAGCTAGCTTCTCAATTCCTTGCAAGTTGGATGTGATTTGATAAGTTCAAGTGTGAAGGAGGGCTGGTTAATTAAGAACTGCATTGCTTATTCTCTCAGGGATTGAAGAAGATAAAACAACCCCCATGTGTGATAGTAAAGATGGGAAACCTTCTTTGTTTGTGAAATTTATATAAAGGTCTTCTTTTGTGCATCAATCATTTTTTCTAACCTTTTAAATTTTATTTCCTATTAATATGATTATACTCCTTTAGCTCTGATTTGTTAGCAATTGCCCTTTTTTTTTTAGTTGGCAAAATTGGTGCCACATGTTTTTGGATGTAATTAATTGCTCACTTCGTATGTAGTTTTGGTAGATTGGATATTAGGGAGATGACCAAAAGATAGTTGCTTGCATGCTTAGCATTTTTTCATGTTCATGTGACAATTTGTTGAGTTATGCTAGGTATAACGAACTTTTGAAATGAATAAATAAGAAGAAAAGAAAGAATGGCATCTACTGGTATTTATTCTAACTTTTCAGTCATTTATTTTATGCTTCTATTTGTTATTTATTTATTACAAAATTTTCGTGATGTTAATCACTACTCTAATTTGTTTGCTAATTTGGGATTAATTCCTATCATCTCTAATCTCGAGGTCCTCATCAATTTCTTTTGCCTCTCAATTTTCCCATATAATCTAACTCCTTATGTTCATATGTGTTGGCATTGCGTCAAATTACATATGGTCGTTTTGCATATGCTTATTAAGGGTTGTTGGTTTTTGGTTTTTGTTAGATCTGTGTATGTTTTTTAAATGATAGATTTGGTTATTTTCGTATTAGTATAGTATGAAATTCAAAACATGTTATTTTCATGATGTGCTCATTATGTTGATTGCATCCATACCAAACTTGGTATAATTGTACTGATTTTTGCTCATGGCGTTGATCTTCAACGCAATTTCGATCATTGTGTTTTGGTTGCATTACTGTAGTTTCACTAATTTTGTAACTTGAATGTTTTAATTATATGCAGAGTGCAAATAGAAGATGAAGTCCTTCATTTACCAATAAGGCTGAGGAAATTGATTGCACAATCTTGATTCGGGATTCAATGGGTCATAGACGACAAAGAATAGGAAAGCAATGCCGACCATCATCCATAGATATTCCTTTTATGTTGTGTAATCTTTTGTGTTTAGCTTTCTATGCCAATATACTCAATAGATGCTTGTTGAGTTTCTATATTGGTGTGAAAACTTAATTATTAGATTTGGTAATCGTCAGCCATGACTTAAAGTTTGAACATCGTTAATAAGGAGGAGCTTTTGTTGTCTTGCGATTCAAATCAGAATATTTGTTATAAAAGTTTTCATGGAAGAGTAAATTCTATTTATTTTGCGAGAGTTCATTAGCAACTCAGCATATTTTTACTGGGCCATTACTGTTTCTTATGGACCAACACCTATTTGAACTCTAATGACGAGCCTTAAAGTTGGAGAAACACAGCACCAATGTCGGAACTGAAATTGAAGGTAGCTATGCAATCCATTGTTATTTAAGGTCTTAAACCCTACTAGTTAGGGTTTATCATTCTCACTCATAAGAAAGCCAAGCAATCCCATCTTCAAAAGATATTATGACAGTATCCAATTCAACCGTGGAATCCACAGTCCAGATGTCAATTTTGACAAAAATCAAAGACATCAAAACCCTTTTTCACTGCACCTCCGTCTCCAAGCATTTGCATTCCTTCATGTCAGAGAATCCACGCAGTGTCCTCAAAATCTCACATCCAGGACCGGAAGATTATCGCTGGTGCTCGCAATTTCACAGCCACACTCCTCTTAGCTAGCTGTCATCCCTAGCCTCATGAAAGTACTTACAAATTTGAATCAGGTTGTTACCGAACAAAAGAAACAAAAACAAGGATCTTAAATTGGACTTATACGACTATAATTCCTCTGCCTTAAAAGCAAGGGTCGAATGTACAAGTGGTTTGCTTCTTCATGATATGCTTGTTGAAGCTGAACCTGAGTTGGTTCTCATACTATGTTAGAATTCGTTTGTACAGGCCTGTGTCTCTTGAATTGGTTGCTTAATTTCTACTGGGCTCTAACTTCTTTTGAGGAGGCATGTGGAGGCCTCTTGAACTGGTTGATTAACTTCTCCTGGGCTCTGACTTTTTGCTGGGTCTATTTTTTGGAATCCATCTCACCTTATCCATGTATCAGTCCAAACAAAAATGGTTAATCCTTTCAAATTGAATCACCTTAGTGTTGAGTCCATCCACACCAAAACGGTTAACCCTCTTAGATTGAATCTGGTTGTTACGGAACAAAAGAAACAAAAACAAGGATCTTAAATTGGACTTATATGACTATGATTCCTCCGCCGTAACAGCAAGGGTCGAAAGTACAAGTGGTTTGCTTCTTCATGTTATACTTTCACCCCGTCCTAAAACACTGAATAGCACTATGATTTCCATCACCAAGTTGCCAGGGTCGAGGTCCAGAGAGCATGGGTTTCTCGGAATCGAACGAAAGCAAAAATTGGATGATTCGAATACTAGTTCAAGCCTTGATGAGAACTGGCTTAAGGACACGCAAAATGTTGGTTATTGGCTTAAGAGCCCTCTCCACATTGAGCATTCTTCTAAGCAGTTGCTTGGAGAGAATATGTGGCTTGTTCATAGTTTAGAATTGCCTTGAATTAGTGTTTATTCTTTCAGAATTAATCAACTGATTGGGTCCTCGTTTCTGTTAGATGGATCGATAGGAAATGTTCCTCACCATCATGTAGCCATGCTCTTGCGCTGTTAACCATGCTGATGTGTTCTTTATCGACATTGTTTTCAAGTTACTGATTATCTTTTTGCTCAAAACTGGTCATATCTGCTTACAACATCAAGTTTCGGTTGCAGCTTCAAATGTTGTGGCACTAACAAAAATTGCAATTTTTTACTGATCTTTCCAGTCACAAATGAAAGATGGATTTTCCGTCACAATTTTTTTAAGACTATTGATAAGGAAGTTTAGTATGTTGTTGATATCTACTTTTTTAAGAATATAGATAAGAAAATTTGCAATAATTGAAGAGTTGTGCTTTAGCAACCAGGTTCTTGAATAATTGAATCATTAAAAAGAAACAGCTACTACTTTCTGTCATGAAGAACATGTTTAATTGTTAGGCAACGTATATAGGCTACACCCATCACAAAATGGAAAGATGCAAATCATTTTGTTGCATCAAGAAACTTTAATAAATTAGTGATAACATTGATGTTATATCAAGGTACATTTGTGGTTTCAGCTCATCATTGAAGAAAAGAACATATTGGAATTCTCGTTGGAACTAGAAACAACATCAATCACTTGCATCCAAACTTGGAGATGATGTCCTGAATAAGCCAATTTGCCATATACTTGTTTGAACTTTCGGTGGAATGAAATACATCCCTGAAAATATATTTTTCAGGATCCGAACAAGGGGTGCCCTTTGCAGGATACGTAAAAGGTTCGCAAGCTTTCGTTACATATTCAAACCCTGTGCAGTAAAAAGTGAGAAAGATAAAACATTAGCATTACTTTGTTTTCAACATCTATACGGTTTCAAAAATGGATTTTAAAGATGCTTACCAAATTTTTGGAGTTTGTCCAACACAAACTGCATTGCACTGTAATAATCACCGTAGACTATAGAAACTCCAGGGTATTTCTTTCTCAAATTTTCAAGGGTTGCTTGTAGAAGATCATTGTGATGTTTGAAAAAGTCATTGACCTCATTTGCACAGCCAAATTTGTCAAGTTTACTAGAATTTTTAAACCCAAAAGCATAGCCCGGTGCACAACCTACTTGGTAGATTCCGGGGACAAGCACTCGAGCTGCACCATAATCAATGACTTTCTGTGTAACAAACAGTGCACTAGCAAATGAATTGAAGAATCGGAAATCATATTAGCATATATAGTAAAGAAATTAGGTAAAAAGACATGGTTACGCATACTCATTTTACATGTAAGTTGACTTACTTCGATAGCTTTCTCTATGGTTTTTGTAACTGTAGACGCAAAGTTCATCTTATTCAACTCCTTGATTGTTTTCTTGCTCATCATAAAAGCTAGGCTATAGTCATTAGCTCCAATCTCTCCCATTATAAAGAGAGATGACTTGAGTTTGTCCTTACAATCTGTTAGACATAACAATGGACAAACAATATTAATTTAAATGATACATTTATGTCATGATCCAACACGTACAAGGTATAATTTATGGTTTAAAGGAGTCATACTAAAGGAGTAAAAGATAACCTTCAGGTTGTTGACAAAATCCTTTTAAATATTTGTCCAACCACTGAAGTTGTGTGTTGAGAGTATTTTTAACAATTGAAGAACTGGCATTCAGTGTAGGTCCAAGAACATCTAATGATAAAGCTGTAGCACCAGAATACGCAAAATTCACTCCATTATTGGAGTCCGTTTGATTTGCATCCAAATAGGCTTTGATAGACGAAAAACCGGCCGAGTTTACTGCAAATTGAAGAAACATGCATGAGCAAGTTGGGAACATAACTATGTTATAAATTTGCATAAATATGTAATGAAGAATACTAGTAGCGATTAAATTATTACCAATGGAGTCAAGTGCTACCAGCTTTCTAGGTTTCCTATTAGGATGTTCAGCTACAAAATTCCCTGTGTCTGACAATGAATCTCCAAAATTGTATATGGCATCAAACCCGCAAACCTTGAGGTCTTTCAATTTATTTCCATTCGATGCGCTCACATGGGTGAAAAGAAGAACTACAACACAGCTTATAACAATAAGAACATGAGATGAAACAGCTTTGATGGGAGCCATATCATGTAATGGATGAGGAGAATAATTAATCTTTAAGTTGAATGAAATTGTTTTTTGTCACCTTGAAATTATATAAGCCGAGGAAGACAAGTTGTTAACTATTCAGGAACATTAACAGAGATGAAACAAAATGTTTGAGCTGTTAAAAAAACTATAACATTCTAAATTAAGACTTGAAACAAATCTATTACTGTGGCTATTTTTGACAGATTAAACAAACAACTAAACAACCATTGACAATTAATATCCTTTCTGCAGTTTGTTAGATCCAGTTAGTTTACTAATTATAATGAAATATTCCAGGATGAATTCTATTGCAATTTTTTGTTCAAGGGAGAATTTTTGTTACAATTCAGTAATATGATTTGGCATGTATAGCCAAGTCTGATGGGAAGTTTTTAGTTACAACTTGCAAGTCATTGCAATTAAGCCATAATTTATCTGAAAGTATCTCAAGACATATCAATGTTGATCTTCTAATTAATTTTTGTTTTTTAAAAATATTATCATTATACTGATTATTACATCTTTTTGTTAGTTAGTTAAATGAACAAATAAACAATATCTACTGGAATGATATTCTTCATTGCACGTTAAAATGATGCATTAATTAAGTAAGGACTAATGATTAAATACAAGATCTCACATCTAAGTTGTTAGTAATGGTTGATTAAGGTTGCAAGTCCAGACATCGACGGACATAGGAAAGCAAAACTAGAAGTTCATAATAGCCAGAGAAAAGCTCTGCAGGTGGAGCTTTATTAGTATCTTATTGTGCCCTGTTGAATTTCTTATAAAATTCTTGGATCAGTTCAACAACCATAGTTGATGCACCTTTCCAAGAATAGATCACTTAAATTAGTGAAGATGTAGAAACTCAACAAAAAATAAAAAACCAAGATTTTAAGGTAAAAATTGTTGGAGACCTACTTGTGTTTAAAGAGATGCATGGGCTTCTGCATTCGCGTTGAACCTACACGCACAATAACTTACATATAAGAGTCGACACCACCTCCAACCCAAAATCCTAAACAATAGTAGGTCATGGGTCCATCTTATATATAAACATAAAAATGAGATATTTATCACTCACATATATACCTAATAAACCTTCTCCTTGCTTGTGAAAGCAGTCCATTCAAACAAAAATAATGATCAATTATAATCATCTTGCCATGGCAAAGGGTAGGAGCAATTTCTCAACCCATAACTTGCCAACAATCAATCCCTCAATCAAAATTAGGAATATAAAAACAATATATATACTTAAAGAAAACAGAAGCTTATATAAGTTCTTTTATTCAAAATTAAACCCAGGAATCAACCTCTCATTGTTGGTAATTCAATGAACCCTCGAGGTGAAATACTACGATTGCATGAACATTTAATCAAACATCAATGTCTCTTTCTGAAGCTTTCAATATCTAAATTTCTTTAATCCCTAACGACCGCTCCATGCATGCCCTGCCTTGCTCTTTACAGATCCTTCAGCTTTGTCTCCGATCCATAACTCCTGGTACCACTAAGTATATGGATTAATTTTTTCACCAAAAAAAAAAAAAAAAGTCAAAAAATAAAACAAGTTATTAATTGAGCCATCTCTAAATGAGACTTCCATAGAAATACAAAATAGTAGTACAAAGCTATCAACTAGCAATATATTGTCTAAAAATGACAGTAAATATCTATCATGCTCTTTTTGTGAAATTCGGTGTAAATGCTTTTCACCGAATTCCTAGAGGTGCATGCACGTACAAAGACTATAAAATAATAGTAAAGGAATGCTAAATAGAAATTCAATGAACTCTCGAGATCAAATACTAAGATTCCATGAACATTTAATCAAACATCAATTTCTTTTTGTTAAGCTTTCTATAATTTCTTCAAAACTAAAAAAGACAAGCCATAAAAAACAAGTTGTTGAGTCATCTGTTGATAAGACTTCTGTGGAGCTACAAAATAGCAGTACAGAACTTATACCAACTAGCAATATATTGTCTAAAAATCTTAAATCTTAGTAAATTTCTATCATGCTCCTTTTGTGAAATTATCAACAAATGTTTTACACCGATTCATCGGTAGTGGCCTCTTATTTATATGTAAGAAGTTACGGGTTTAAATCCTATTTCTATTAAGAGCTTTGGGTGCGTGTGTGAGTTATATATATATATATATATATATGTTTTTACCCTGATTTCCTAGAGGTGCAAAGACTACAAAATAGTAATATGGGACTCTCTTTTTCTAAAAATTAGGTATGAAAGTCTTACACTAAATTCTTCCAATATTCATTAACAAGTTTTGAATTACTTACTATATGAAACCAAAAAACAACTAAATCAATTAACTAAAGATACATACACAGATCTAATGAAAATCAATATAGAAATAAATCCAACAATCCCACAAAACCTAATCAAATTTAGAGTGCAAAATTTAAGGTATGTGTTAAAAACCTCATTTCAATTTAAAATTTTAAACTATTAATTAGGTGAAGTCTCATAATATAATATTTATATTATTTTCCGACACACTTCTCAAGTGGAAGTCCAAATTGGAGGTAGTGGTATTTGAAGTCTTTCGTCATTAAAGTTCTAATACCATATCAAAGAAGTTAAAATGACTATTTGACATGGTATCAAAAATTTAATAACCAAACGATCGCGAGTTTGAATCTTACTATCTTTATTTTTTTTATTAAAATTAAATAATTAACTATAAGATAATAGTAGGCATGTGTAAGTTTCAAATTTAAAAGGTTTTTATTTAAGAATATGCATTTGTTAAACGAGTAATATAAAACTGTTTTTACGATATCATATAATAGTTTAAATTTTTGGATTGGAATAATTATTTGACAATATAAAACTAAATCTTTAATGCTCAAAATCTAAGTAACTAGAAGCTCACACCTTAAGGCTCGAATCACAAAGCTATTCATTATTTTAATTAGGATATTGTAAGCTTTGTAACTAAGGCTAGGAAATGCACATGCTCTCAAAATTTATGTCAATCCAATTAAGAGCCAACTTTTGTTAATTTTCTGTCAAAATCTTTTAGACCTTGAGTTATTATTTTTATATTCGATTGATCTTCTTCAACTGTGAACCATGAAAAAAAGAAACTTAAACTTGCTTATATGCTTCATGAAGCAAACAACAGTTGCATTTACTAATTTCAATCCCTTCCATTTTCATAACTTGAAACAAATCCAAGCATATTATGTAATAACTACCACAAAATTTAACATTTAACTAAAACATGTAATATTAATTAACTTCAAACGTGAGTAAAGAAACTCCAGAACTTACTGCAAGAATTATTATTGTCTGTCCTGAGATCTGTGTTTAATTTCCAACACCATTACTTTCATCGTACACTCCATCCAACAGCTCCTCCACATGTGTCTCAGTTACAACCAGTTTATTCTTTTTCAGTCCTTTAGTGGTAACTGAAAAATGAGATCCATAAACAAGCCAGACCATCTCCTGAAGCAAACGCTCCTTGTCCATGTGGTCTTTGTGCCAATAAACCACATTCTTGGGATCCTCAAGCCAGCTTTCGTTCACTTGTGATTTCGAAACAGAATCACGCAACTTCGGTAGCTGTGCGTTTTTCATAAAAACCTTCCCTGATCCGAGAGCATATATCTTAGCACTCCTAATCACCAAGCTTCTCAGTGTTTTTGGCCGGTGATCTAACATTTTCCAGTAGAAGTCCATTACCAAAGAACTTTTGATGGTAGCAAGTTTTTGTTTGTTAAATACATGAGACTGCATAGCCCCTTCTATAGTTGTTAACGATCCGACCTCAAATGCCACGCAGGTATCACTTTGACATGCATCTTCTGTCCACTTGACCGTCATCCTAGTGATGTTTTCATAAAAGGGTGGTTGTGACATTGGATGGCAGATCTTAATTTCGAGAGACTCCAGATTTGCAAACAGCTTCATGATAGCAGGGATAGCAGATGATGGCATGTGGTAGTGAACTCTTGAGCATGCGTAAAAATAACGCCTCCTGAAGAATCTGAGGGAGAGGTGGACAGTTTTGGAGACAAAGGAAGCCCAGTTCGTGGAGACAGCAGAGCAGCGAATGAGGGTTTTGGGGTCATCTTCCAATTTTGAAAAGATTTTGGGGATCACTTCTTCAGGTAATTTCATGAATTTGTCCTCCAATCTTTCTGATTTCCTCAACGTCAAATTTTGATTTTGGCTTTCTGGGGTTGATTTGGATCTCTTCATTTTTTTTTCTTTTTTTTTTTTTTTTTTTTTTGGGAGATGGAGGTGCAGAGATTGGAGTTGGTAAGGTTGAAGTTAGACAACATTTGGATTTCTATGAGAGGGAATTTATGGAAATGGGGAACTGCACGAGGTTTTAGTTGCCATTTTTGGCGAACGAGGATTTAATAGCCAGAGCAACTTTATTAGTTCCTTCTAAAAAAGATTTATCCCTTTATTATTGAATAAAATTTCCTTTGATGATATTTTATTGCTAAAGAAGGATTTAGTTCATTTTTTAAAATTAATTTCGTATTTTTTTAAAAAAAATTGAAAATATTTAAAAAACTATTATATAAACCTCAAACAATTTAACCTTTTGAGTTGATATGGTCTTTTAATATGACATAGAGCCTTGCTAATCAAACGGTTAGCTATTCGAATTCTACATTTATGCTTTACCATTCTGAAAATATCATGATTTATGCACCACATCATGATTTTTTAAGTTAATTAGAGCATCAATGGAGTTAGAACCATAACTTGCTTTTCAAAAGCCATCAAAAGCTGATAGAAGCACCATCTGTTTAGTTTGGAGGACTGGATTGCACTTCTAGATAGGGCATGTCACATAACTTGGGCTCCATTGTAGCTGTATGTATCAGTTCAATCCCATACACTCACATAGCAAAAATTATTGAGAAAATGTAAACAAGGAAAAACATCAGAGTGAGTGTTCGATCAACACATACAAGTAAAGAAGCAAGTAGAATAGGAACTAGCACATAATGATCGAATCGAATTAGAATTTTCTTCCTTAAAATGTGGATTAAGATCATATAAAGAACAAGAAAAATTGCCAAGTTTAATGCGAAAATTACTACAACAACAAAGGAAGCTCAAGAAAAGAAACAGAAAAAAAATCTGAAAACATGCAGAGCATTTTTCCTGCGCCTTGCAAGATTTGCCATTAGATTTCGATCTTCGAAATTTTGCAATCAGTTTCATCAACCACCTTTGCTCTGCAAAGAAAGGAAACTATGTCTTAGCAAAAACAGCAGAACAAATACTGATTTCAAAACTCAAACTAAAATACGATCTTTAGACGTAAATGCAGTCTATGATAACACTATGCAAAAGGATAAACAGTAACTCAACTCTAACGCAAACAAGTTAACGATCGAAATAATAAGCACCAGCTTAAACGGAGAACATGAAAAGGAAACTAAAATTCCTAACTAAAAAGAGATCACCATGAGCATCTTACCATGCATCCCTAACTAAAAAGATGAGTTGATCCTAGTCCATCAACAGAGATTGTTGAGTTACCGAAAATCATTTCATTTCATCAGACGAAATGAATCTGTTGGATCTATCAATGATAAAATTCTACATTGATAAATGGTTAAGCATTTATCCATCTTAATTTACTATCTTAAGCGGTCATATTGTTTCATCTTCTTCAAGGATATGCTTATATGTGCCAAGAAGGAAACAACAGTTTCCACTTTCAAGAGGCAGTGCAACAGTTGCATTGCTCGAAACTATAGTCGAGGATAAATTCATCCATGCCCTTAACAACTATCCAATCATTATGCATTCCTTGGAACACCTTATGTTCCCATAACCTTATGGATCTGCCACAAAACACATTTGAACAGATAAGACAGCAAATCGAGAGCATCCAGCCATTACTAACTACTAGTGATGCAAACTAATTAGTAATAACCAAACAATAAAGTTAGTAACTATCATGTAACTCCACACAATTAAATTCTTTGTTCTCGTTGTGTGTCGTCATTACCACCATTTCACTCTCGTTGTCATTATTATCGTCATTGTAATCACCTAGTTGTAACTCCTTCACCACAATTTTCATCAGAATCAGTTGATGAGACTTCCTAAAACTTATCTATGGCAATTCTAAATGACGAAAAATCCGCAACTCTTATCTAAGACAACAAAGCTCATAAGCCAACCAACTTATTCACACTCAAACTCAAGACTCAAATATCGACTAAAACATGAAAAATCAGAATTCACTAGATAAATGAGCTGTTCTGAAACCAGAACATAAATAGAGAAAGCACCAAGAATAACTAGTTATGAATCTCCACCAACAAAAAAAAAATTATCCTGATCTCTTATTTTAGATTGTCTAGTTATTAAAGATCTTTTCATGCCATCCTGACGAGGATAAAAAGGTATTCTGCATAGCCAATCGATAAAGGAGCAGAATCTTTACAGGGAACAAAAATTCCCCTTATTGCACAATAAGGAGACAGAAGGTTATAGTTGATTTCTTTTTATTTGACAGAATTAGAGTTATCAGATTTATGAAAGGTAGTTATAAAAATTCATAAAAGAATGATACTTTCCATCTATATGTGTAGTATGATATGAAGATTGTTTCATCTTATTCAATAGTCAAATCTGGAAGAAAAAAAAGTATATGCCTGTATAGGACATCAATAATCTATCAACTAGATGCGAGAAAATCATAGTAGCTATCCAACCTTAAGCATTCAATTACAACATTCAATTGCATGAGAATCCCATGTATTCATCTCTACCAAAAAATGAGTTGATCCTGGTCCTTAATCTTGATAGGAGAGTGCTAATCTTTCCATCTGTACAACAACAACGTTTCATCTCGTATAATAGTCAAGTTTAAGAAAAGAAATTAAGGATATGCATACTGTGCAATGAGACAAACAAAAACATGAGTAAGTAGAATCAGACAAATCAATAACAAAGTAAATTGAGAGCTTACAGCCGGTAGAGATGCCAGTATCAATTGTACTCCATGCATTTTCACTGCTTCCTACCACCACCACCATCACCACCACTACTGCTGTCTAGAAAACACCACAAGTCTCACATTCTTATATATATATATATAAAGGTTCAAAACTATAACTTCCCAGGAAGTCACCCATCTTAGTACTATTATCATCTAAACACGTTTGATTTCAGATTTCTAATAGGATCTGGTTCATTACTGTTATAATCGCAGATCCTCCAGATAGCTGATCGGCCTCATTGCATCTTCAGCATGTAATCACTCCCATTGACATAGAGGCCAGTCTCTCCAGCACCATTAATGTTATTGCGAGGGTTTTTCAGCCAACAAACAAAATTTTGGGAACCTAAACCCAAGCCTGGAACTCACTTAGTCTAAACATTCCAAAATTAGCACTTGCTGGCCTCTTCAAGGATCTCGTTTGAATAAATTAGACGAGAAGTGGCCACGCTACTCAGCGTTTCAGGGCGATGTTGTAATATCTTGTCAAGAAACAAATGACTACGATCAAAGACCGTGAAATGGCCTAGACATGTCTCTAAAAAGTTTGATTTAAGAGGGACTGAATGGTATTCTTCAATCTCATTGCATAAGCTCAAATATTGCAGTGCTGAATGTGGATACCAGTACCACTACCATCAATCAAGGCTTTCAACATTAACATGCGACTCAAATATTGCTGTGAAGGCGGAGTTGAAATAGTACATAACCTAACTTTTAAGAGATCTGACGTTTGTAGATACCTTCATATAGGCAGGAATTCCCATGGTTTTCTCCATTCTTGGATATGAGATTCTGAGGGAGATTGTGTTGATTTTGGCGAAGATGGCACGTTTGCAGATGCTTGGAGACTAAGAAGCAGCGAACTAGGGTTTTGGGTGTCTTGGATTTTTGCCAAGATTGCTCTGAGAATTATCTCCTCTGGTAGTTCTGATTTCTGAATTTGTCTGTCTACCAGAGGAGGTATCTAGACCGCTGCTTTGCTTGGTTGAATTGGATCTTATTAACGGGATTGGAGAGTTTCTTGCGATGGGGAATGGTGAACAGACATTCGATATAAGGTGTGTTACACATTTGTCCAACCGCTTAAGGAAAATGGAGGAAATTTGGTTTGCTGGAAAGTGTTTTTCTGAAATGCATTTTCCTGACTTTTTCATGTTTAGCTGTATTTTGGAAAACTTATCACCAGAATTTACTTTCCCGTCAAAAAAATAATAATATTAATAAAAAAAAAAAGATAGGCTTTAGGGGGGGGGGAAGTTTTAATTCCTGTTTAAAAGAGTGGAAAACACTTTTTGTGAAAGACTCAAAAACTAATGTGGTATAACACCTTGTTATTATTATTATTATTATTATTAGTGCATATAATGGTTTAATTTAGATAATATTGCTAGAAAATACATTATAATACACATTATGTTTTATTATACAATAATCTTATATTTTAAATTATATTACAAAAATAAGATATCATAAAAAAGAAATTATTTTCAACGTTCATCAAAGACCAGAAAATGTTTGATAGTGATAAAAATTCTGCTATTTAAAAAAAGTTAATAACTCAAAATGTATTATATTTTATTGGAACTAATTTTCTATGATATGGTCAAATACCGAAAAATAGCTTTCCACTTCTTTTCCATGATACAGCCAGACATCTGAAAATAATCCATTTTTTCGAAAAAATTTAAGAATTCACTTTCCTACAAACAAATGAGGCCTGAAACTGGGGAGCACCACCTTTTATAACTCTGACCGTATAGGATCTGGTTGCCTGGCCAGGGTTGAAGAACATCATTATTTTTGTGACAAGGAATTCGGACCCATACAATTGCCAGTTGAAACAGGACCTTTGGGCCAGACTAATGATCCACAAAAATGGCGAAGGGGATTCTTCCACGTTGTAAGAGTTTGGTTTTTGTTTTTTTTTTTTTTTTTTTTTTCCCTCCTCCTTAAGGAACAACAGAGATCACAGAACACAAAATAGTACTAATATTAGCATAATTCTCATCCAATTTAAGATCCTTGTTGTTTTTCCCTTAACAACCTGATGTTTAATGCTATTGGATCGACATTCTCAAGGCCAAAAACTAACTCAAGTTCTTTCAACAACCGATATAAGATAACCTGACGATCTCAAGATTCACACATCTGGCCAACAATCTCCCTCTTCACACATCGGGCCTTAAATTGAGTGTTATTGGATCTTCTCAATCCTAAAAACTAGTTCAAAGAGTGAAAGAGTGAACCTTTTCCTTACATCTATAAACAGCCTTTTCACAAATGATATGATATAATCCAACAAATGCTTCACAAGTTGGAATGTGGGGATCATCACCAACTGCCATGCCTTTCAATCTAAACACTTCTCTGTCAACAGTTTGTTTCGAAATCAGAGAAGAGCAACGACAGTGCCCCATTTCAATAGATTTCAGATTTGCAAATATTTTCATGAGGGGAAGCTATAGGAGTGTGGCAGTGCAATTGCAAGCACCGGTGAGAATCTTCCTTCGCAATCCACCGCTACCCAAGATATCCAAAGGGTTGCACTCATGAAATCCCTTAGCTAATTCTAATGTTATCAGAAAAAATGAATGAACAATGTGAGTGTACTCACAGATGATATATGGCAGGCTCCTTCATAAACAATATTGATGTTCAAATTATAGAGTAAACCATGGCCAATGATTACAAATCTCACATTGCAACTGTTCTAAATAATATTTAAGGGTTCACATCTAGTTTTCAACACAGTAAACATAAAAGATTAATATTCAACAGAAAAAAAAATAGATGCAGAAAAGGTCTACAGAGCTTTCTGTTTCCTTCAGGTGGTGACCCGTCTTATTCCTAATCAAGATTATGCAATCCATTCATCAGCCTTATTGGTACATGGAGCTTCATCTGCTATTTGCACTCTGCAGAGAAATAAAGCATATAAGTTCCAAGCTGTGGCAGAACAGATAAAGCACAGGATGAGCAACGAAAATTGGTGAAACTGTAGAAACAAAACCAGAACAAAGAATGATCCTAATTTTTTGCATTTAACCTAGAAAATCTACAAAGACTCTTCGGAAAACTTACTTATACATTATTCTAACAGACAAGAACTGAACCTCAATTTTTAGATACAGATGCACTGCAAATGAGCATTAGCAAAAACCTGGCTGTAATGCAGACAAGTTGACACCAATATCAATAAACACCAGATTAAATGCTGAAAATGAAAACCAAATGGAATTCCCTGCTACTCTAAGAATAACAGACCAACAATTATAAGCAAATTCCATACCAACAAATCTAACAGAAAAAACATATTGGGAGTCTCAAGCAATCACTTTTCATCCTCGAGAGAGCAATTATATCGGAGCGAGCACTTACGAAAACGCTCACTATAGAGAGGGCTATGAAGCCAACAAACCAAGTTGTCTGGATTCTCAAGCCAGCCTATTTTGAACCATAAACTCAAAAACATTAAAATTCCGGTAATTTTGGTAATGTGATAAATGCCTTTTCATGCAAAAACCCCTTTCTATGATTCAGAGTAACTAATCAGCAAAGCTGGCAAATCGAAACCTAATATTATATCTTCTTTGTTGTATAATTTCTTAATCTTTCTTTCCTCGAAAGAAAAAACCCTACTTTGACACAACATGAAATATTTTATATCATATAGCATTCAATAATATGAATGTCCAGTCTTCTCTACCATTTTCTTACAGCTATCAAACAGGACATAAAGAATTACCTTCTAAATTTTTTGGCAATTAAAAATACCTTATAACTTAGGTAACATTAAATAACTATCAATTTTCATCTCTTTCTACCATTTTTGCTACCCAATAGCACATCATGAAAGTAAAAAGTTTTAAATTCCCTTCTATACAAATATGAAAACAACAAAATCGAGTTCAAAACCCAAATAGAAAAACCAACAACCCAACCATCCTGCAAAACCTAATTAAAATTTAAGTTCAAATTCAATATATGAAAAAAAATATATATAGGAATAAGAAAACAACAAATCAAGTTCAAAACTCGAATAGAAAAACCAAGAATCCAACAATCCCATAAAACCTAATTAAAATTTAAGTTCAAATTCAAGATATGAAAAAACACGAATACGAAAACAATAAATTAAGTTCAAACCCCGAATAGAAAAACCAAGAATCCCTCAAACCCACAAAAACTAATTAAAATTTAAGTTCAAAATTCAAGATATAAAAAAAATTGATTCTATCTCCGTAACTTTAACTGAAGTATGAGTATCATAACTTGATCCCTTATCATCATCAAGCTTCTTCAATTCACTATGAAATCAATTAACATCAATACTTTGCATACCAGTGCACGCATATATATATAACACCATTGAAGTCACTATATGATACCAAGATCATCGAGTAACTAACTAACAATATCTACGAAAACTGAAATTGAGATCGAAATGAAATATTTAGATATAAATGCAATCCATAATGAGCATATGCAAAAAGATCAAAAGTAATTCAAATGCAATGCTAACACAAATAAAAATAAAGGAATAGATTATATAAAAAAATAATAATAACAATAAAGAGAGGAGAGAGAGAGAGAAGCAAAAAGAACTCACAACTACCTCTAGATGATAGGAATCCCAGTTAGCAAACAAATTCTCACACGAAAAAGAAAAATGTTAAGCAAGAAAGAAATTACCTTTTGATCATTTCCCTAATAATCAATCTAACAGAAATAAATAGAGAGTGCCCAATTAATTACTTCATAAAAAACTAGCACAAGTTTGTCAACTACCAAAAGAAATGACAATTAGTGACAATTCAGAGCTAAATGAATATAATAATATTTATTTCAAAAATAAAATAAAAGATTAGAAAAATTGATTGATGTATAAAAAGAAGAAATTTCAGAAAGAAAGGACGTTTTCCATCTTTACTATCCCAAATGGGAGTTGTTTCCTCTTCTTCGATCCTTAAGACAATAAGCCTCACATTTTAGGGTTTGATGAAATCACAAAGCTACTCACTATTTTAAAATAAGCTAATTAGTTACAAAGTACTTTGAGTTTTTGGTCAATAAGAAAAAAGTCTATAATTTTTTTATTGTAATTTTAATCCCAAATATTTATTTATTTATTTATTTATTATTATTATTATTATTTTGCAATTAAATCTTTTCATCCCATTGATCAACTTTAGTCGACGTTATCATTGTTTTAATGATTCGGGTGTCTTTTATATACGTCAAATGTGATTTGAAATTGATTAACATAATGGAAAAAAATTAATTCCAGACCAAAAAAAGGTTCGAACTAAAATCAAAATAAAAAAGATCAAGAATTTTTTTCTTGTTGATAAAAAATTCAGAGAACTTTATAATCAATTAGCCTTTGGATAATAATAATTTAGTAACCAAGGCTGATAAATGCATATGGTCTCAAAGTTTATGTGAAAACGATCCAACTTTTGACCCTTTTTTTCTCTCAAAATCTTGTAGACATATTTACTATGGGAGATTGTTTGATCTTTCTTCAACAGTTAAAGCTTGGGAAAAAGAAAAAACTATATATTCCATGAAGGAAACAGCAGTTTCATTTACTAATTTCAATCCCTTAACCATTTTCACAAATCCAAGCATATAGTTAATGCAACAACTACCATAAGATTTAGGATATTAATTAACTTCAAACATGAATACTAAAGAAAATGCAAAACTTACCATACGAAAATTACTCGGCACTGAGATCTGTGTTTTCCAATACCATTACCATTGCAGGCATCATCTAATGCAGCCAACAAATCCTTCACATCATTTTCCTTCGCAATCAGTTCAGTCCCTTTAGATCCTGGGTCAGTAGCTGATTTTTTCAATCGATAAACAAGCCACACCTGCTCCAGAAGCAAATTCTCCTTGTTTGTGTGGTTCTTGTCCCAATAAACCACATTCTTGGGATCCTCAAGCCAGCTCTCGTTCAATCTTGAATTCGAAATCGAATTATGCAGATTTGAGAGCTGTTCATGTCTTATAAAAACCTTCCCTCCTAATCTGCGCACATCCATCTTAGCACTCCTAACCACCATGCTTCTCAAAGTTTCTGGCCGGTTCTCTGAGACTCTCCAGTAAAAATCCATCACAGAAGAATTTTCTATGTTAGCTAACTTGTCTTTGTTAAAATCATGTTTCACCTTAGCTTTATCTATAGAAGATAACGGTCCAATGTCAAATGCCACGCATATGTCAGTTTGAGAATCATCATCTGCCCATGGAACTGTCATCTTCGTGATGTTTTGATGAAACCTTTGATAATAAGGTAGCAGTGAGCTTGGAGTTCGGCAGAACTTAATTTCGAGAGATTCCAGATTTGCAAACCACTTCATCATGCGGCGGATTGCTGTTATTGGAATGTGTTGGTGAAGTTTTGAGCATGCAAGGTAACGACCCTTTGCACCTGTGCTCGAGAATCTGAGGGAGAGATGGGGGGTTTTGGAGACAAAGAAAGCCCAGTTCTCGCAGACACCAAAGCAGCGAATGAGAGTTTTGGGGTCATCTTCCAGTTTCGAAAAGATTTTGTTGATTAATACCGGTGGTAATTTCTGGAATTTGTTTGTTAATCTTGTTGATCTCCTCAACTTCGACTCTTGATTGTTGCTAATTTCTACGGTTGATTCTTGGGACATCTCCATTTTTTTTCTTTGAAGATAGAGATGCAGAGATTGGAGTTGGTAGGATTGAAGTTTGACAAGATTTGGATTCCTATGAGAGGGAATTTATTGCAATATTGGTGAACTGCACGAGGTTTTAGTTGCCATTTTTGGAGGACGAGGATTTAATAGCCAGAGCAACTTTATTTGTCTACAAATCATATAACTTCAAATTTTGTTTGTTCATTTCTAAACAATGATTTATCTCTTTATTATTGAATTTTTTATTTGACAGTAAAGGGATACTCGTACCAACTTGCCTTTTAAGGTTCAATTTCCATTTAAGTTTGGTGCATTCTGAAGAATTCAAAAAAAAAAAAAAATCTAGATGATGATCTTAATATTTGAGTCTAAAAAGAAATGGAATGAAGCATACAGTATTAACCATTAAAACAACCTCTTAAAGTTACCAATCTTTTATTATTAAAGAAAATTTCTATCAAGGATATTGAATGCTTAGAGGAGGTTTAAATTGTTTTTTAAACAATGATGTTTTTAATTTACCGAGTTCAAAATATTCAAAACTTGACTTAAAAAACTAAGTAAGAAAAATTTATTACACGATCCCGAATCATCGCGAGTTTTATAAAATTTGAAAGAACAAGCTCCGAATTATTGAACTATATAAGTAACGATCGAAATTCAAAGATAAAGAGGTTTCTGAATCTATTATCATACTTGAGGATTATTTCATCTTCTGCAAGTTTGAAAAAGAAAATGTGATTATATGGATCATTAAGGAAACAACTTCCATTTTCATCAGATCACATCACTATACTATGGTCTCCAAAGGGTTGGCCTAATGGTTTAAGAAATATGTTTTTTTTTTTTTTTTTTTTTTTGACTTTCTGGATTCAAATTTCGGAGCAGCATCTAGAGAAATTTATTTAAAATTTTCGTTTTTTTTTTTTCCTTTTTCTCTATAACAATCCTATGTTTAATGCTTTCCAAGTCTGAATGTGAAGGCCATCACCAACAACCGATTGTTTCAATCTAAACACTTTTCTAACAAGAGATTTTTTTGAAACTGGAGGAGCAACGACAGTGCTCAATTTCAGTAGATTTCAGACTTGCAAATACTTTCACGAGTCTGAAGATGAAAGCTATCCTAAATATCTGCACTCATGCAATTCTAAATCAAGGAGACACCTAATACTCGAACATGACATAATCTTTAAGCTAAGGCAAGGACAAAAGACAATGATTAAAATCTCACAGTTCAGAAATGCTAAATAATGTTTAAGGTTCCACGTTTATTTTCCACAAAAGATTATTCGGCAATAAAAGAAAAACATAAATTAAAGGTCTAACAAAAACATGAAATTTAAAACATAAATAATCCTCTTAGCTGAAACCAATACTGATAAAACAAACAAAAACAGGGACAAATATTAAAACGAACACAGGTTTCGCTATTATTGATAAAATAGAAAACTTCTTAGATCTCAGCCTCGTCTTTCGACGCTTCCTAGCTCTTCAATCTCCTCATACACTTCTTCTTCCACTGTTTGTTTAAACACAATAAAATAAATAAATAAATCAAACAAACAATCTTATTCTGACTAAACAAGTATAAAAGAATTCAAAAGATGGTAATGACCAAACAAATAATTACATTCCAAAGAACAAGCACAATTTTTCCAACCACAAATGAAATAAGAGTTCAGCGATCGAACAAAAGAGTTACTAACCACTAATATCGTCAAAACCACCCAATAACTCTTTCACATCCCTCGTCATCACAATAGTCTCATCATCAGGCTTGATTTCTATCTTCATTGACATATATGCTAGATAATATCTAATCCATCCCATCAAAATACAAAGAAGCCAATGCTCACTCGAAGTGAGCATTTACAGCAATGCTCATTATTTCGAGGGCTATAAAGCCAATAAACCACATTGTCCAGGTTCTCAAGCCAACCTATTTTCATCCTTGAACTCGAAAACTTAAACTTTAAACTCTTGTAATTTTAGTAATGTGACATTAAATTAAACAATTATGAACATCCAGTCTCTTTTTACTATTTTTGCTACCAAACAGCACATCATAAAAGTAATAAATTTTTAATTTCCTACCATGCAAATACAAATGGCAACTAATTAAATCAATTAGCTAAAAGAACATAGCTAAATCTAACAAAAAAAAATTAAAAAAAAAAAAAAAAAAAAAAAAAACAAGAAACCGACAATCTCACAAGACCTAATTAAAATTTCAGGGTGAAATTCAAGATATAAAAAAACTCAACTATATATATATCACCTTAACTCTAGTGTTGTTTAGTAATCAAGAATAGAGTGATGGGAATAAGAATAGAAATTTATTTTCATCTCGTAGTGGTTGTTTGGTTAAAAGAAATGAATTGGGAATGGAAATGAAAAATAGAAATAAGAATGAAAATTACATACAATTTCATTCTCGTTTAAAATGTGATGATAAAAAATATATTTTTTTAAAAAAAATAATTATATATTTTATTTATTTATTATATATTAACTACTTTTACCACCACCACAACTACCACCATAACCACTACCATCACTACTACTACCACAAACTACCACTAGTACTTTTATTATTTTTATAACTATTATAGTTTGATCAATTTATTTTTTTATTATTTTTTTATTTATATAAAAAAATTTAAATTATATTTCAATTCTTTATTGATATTCCAAACATATTATGAGAATACAAATGTCATTTAGATTTTCTAATTTTCATTCTAATTTACGTACTTTTATTAAGGACCTTTCATCCCTAACAACCAAACGTCACCTGAAAAAATAATTATTATGATTATCCTACAATCACCATGCCCTTAAAAGGACAACGGCATACGCAATGGCCATCGCCATACATCTTGATTATGAAATCAATTAACATCATTACTTGCATGATCCGTACAAAGGCCCTTGAAATATTATTGGTTTTGAATTAAACCTTCTTTTTTTATATATAATTTTAATACCTAAATTATTAGGTATTTAGATTGGGATCCTCTCTATTAGGATCCTATCACTATTGGTGATGGAACCACTACCAAGGGAAATATATTATTGCCATAAGTTCATCCATACAAATCTTAGACCTAGCCATTACTAGATTTTGGTGTTTAAAGACTTGAAAATTTTGAATCTAAATACTAAAACCAAATTATCTGTTTGATTTGAGTTTTAAAATGATTTTAGATTTTGAAATGGTGTTTGCCAGTTAAAAAAAAAAAAAATTGTTTTGGTGGTTTACTAGAGTAATTTTTTGTGGTCAAAAGGGTGAAAAGTTTGGTTGTAACTAGCGAGAGAGGTGGTCATCTTAATCCAAACACCCAATATTTCATGTCATTATAAAATCAAAAGAAAAGAAAAAACTACAAAGAGTGTAGATCATAACAGTTCAAGATTCTATGTACATTTTAGTCTCAATATTTTGCATAAAAGGCATACACACCTTCAAAATAAAAACATGAAAATCACAACCGTATACCAAGATCATCAAGTAATTAACTAACAATAAGTAAGAAAACTGAAAATTAAAGTAAACGGGACAAAATCATATAAGTTCATTTTTAATTTATGAAATGCAAACTACCAATAAATTCTGTGTTAATTTTTTTTAAATTCACTTTTATAGTTTATCTTCCAAGAAATTTAATATTTTATTGTGATATATATATATATATATATATATATATATATATATATATATATATATATATATATATATATATATATATATATATATATACTTAACAAATTAGCCATTAATTAGTTTTCCTTTCCTTTTCTTTTCTTTTCTTTTGCTTTTCTTTAAAAGCCTTTCATAATAATTTTTTTGAACGTACAATTTCTCTCACTTATAGAATAGTCTATAATTAATGTAATATATTTTTTCTTACATTATCATTATTTTAAATCTTGATTATATTCAAATCAAATTATGATAGAAAAAGTAGAAAATATAATCCTTCGTATTTGTAATTCTTGCTTTTAAAAATAAAAAGTTTAATGATGATCAGCATAATAAGGTTCTCTAAACAATATTTTCTAATAATTATAGCAATTAACAAAAAGTAAAATTATACAAGAACAAATTTTTAGTTTAAAAAAATCTAAAAAAATTTTTAGGCAATATATATATATATATATAATTAAAAATGCTACATAATAAAACTTGTTGTAAAGTAATTTATAAGAAAAAATAAATAAATGACAAATTTTCAAGTGTAAGGTAAATAATTTTTTTTAGAAAAAATATAAGAAAACAAAAATATTTATTTGAAAGAAAAACTTGAAACTATGTTTATTGCTCTAACAAAAATATCGTAGAACTTATTAGTCATTTACCTTTCAAAAACGAATTTATTCTTTCTTTTCCCTAACTAAATCCTTAGGGCTCGAAATCACAAAGCTTCTCATTATTTTGAGATACTGTAAACTTTGTAACTAAGGCTAAGAAATCCCTGTGCTCTCACAATTTATGTCAATCCAATTCAAGAGCCAACTTTTGTTAATTTTTTGAATTTTTCTTCAAAATCTTGCAGACATTTACTATAGGAGATCTTTTGATCTTCTTCAACATTTAAGCTTGAAGGAAACAGCAGTTGCATTTACGAATTTCAATCCCTTTCACTTTCAGAACATGCAACAAATCATATATATGTAATAACTCAAAACGTGAAACATAGACTTCAAACAGTAAAGAAAACACAGAACTTACCTCAAGAATTATTACTTTCTGCGTTTTCCTTTGCCATTGCCATAAACATGAGCATCATCCAATCCATCCAGCAACTCCTTGATGTGCGCCTCCTTCACAATTGGGTCATTCCTTTCTAGTCCATTCATGGTTAATGAATATTGCGTTGCATCAACAAGCCACACCTGCTCCCGAAGCAAATTCTCCTTGTCCGTGCCGTTCTTGTGCCAATAAACCACATTCTGGGGATCCTCGAGGATGCTCTCGTTCGCTCGTAAATTCGATAACGAATTGAACATCTTTGAACGCTCTTCTTCGCATCTTAGGAAAACCTTCCCTCCTGATCTTGACTCTTCCACCTTAGAAGTCATAAGCACCATGCTTCTCAATGTATCTGGCCGGAGATCTAACAGGTTCCAGTAAAAGTACATTATCGAAGACCTGCTGATGGTAGCAAGTTTTTGTTTCTCATAATCACGACACAGCTTAACTCCTTTCATAGTTGATAACAATCCAACCTCAAAGGCCATGCATGCATCAGTCTGACAATAATCACCCGACCACCCGACCTTTATCTTCATGATTTGTTGAGAAGCAGGTGCTTGTGAAGTTGGATGGCAGATCTTAATCTGGAGAGATTCCAGATCTGTAAACAGCTTCATGATAGCTCGGAGTGCAGTTGGTGGAATGTGGTAGTGAAGTTTTGAGCATACAAGAGAGCGCCTCCTTGCACCTCTCTTGTAGAATATGAGGGAGAGCTTGACTGTTTTGGAGACAAAGGAAGCCCAGTTCTTGGACACAGCATAGCAGCGAATGAGGGTTTTGGGGTCGTCTTCCATTGTTGAAAAGATTTTGGTCATCACTTCTTCAGGTAATTTCATGAATCTGTCTTCTAATCTTTCTGATCTCCTCAACGTCAAATCTTGATTTTCGCTTTCTGGGGTTGATTTGGATCTCTTCATTTTTCTTTTTCTTGGAGATTGAGGTGGAGAGATTGGAGTTGGTAGGTATGAAGTTATACAACATTTGGATTCCTACGAGCGGGAATGTATGGAAATGGTGAACTGCACGAGGTTTTAGTTGCCATTTTTGGTGGACGAGGTTTTAATAGCCAGAGCAATTTTATTAGCGTACCAACCATGTAACTTCAAATTTTATCAAATCACTTCTTAAAAAGAATTATACCTTTATTGTTGACTACAATTTCCATTAATGATGTTATATGTAAAAAATTTTAAAATACTCAAGAAGTAACTAACAATACATATTCTATAAACATACATCTTACTAATTTTCATTAATGATGTTATATATGAAAAATTTTATAATACTTAAAAAGTAACTAACAATACATATTCTATAAATCTACATCTTATTCTATAAACATACTTTAAAGAGAGAGACCGACATGAAAGGGGAAAAAAAAGATAAAGAGAGAAAAAAATCTGAATTTATTAAAAATGATAAAAATATTTCTACCGATATAATAAAGCACTCCAAAAATAATTATTAATACTTATTTTATAAACCTACTTTGAAGAGAGAAATCGATATAAAGAAGAAAAGGAAAAACACATCCGATCTCACTAAAAATAATAAGAATATTTTAACTGATATAATAAATATTGTTAATTACTTCTGAATTAAGATAAAAAAAAATTAAAAATTGTTGTATTGATAAAAAAAGGTTAAGAAGTACTATTGTCTATTTTAATCAATCTAAAATATTCAAAGTAACCAAGGAGAAACTATTACATAAGCTCTAATCATCATGAGTTTTATGATTATATGGAATCCACCACTTTATGAATACAGAAAACTACACCAAGTAATAATGTAAAGATGGTTCGAATTTCATGTAATAATGTAAAAGCTATTAGAATTTGGAGTTCGTACGCTTTACCATTCCGAAAATATAGTGATTTTTTAAGTTCATTAGGGCATCCATTGAGTTGGAACCATAACTTGCTTATCAAAAGATACCAAAAGCTGAACAAAACACCATTTAAGCTAGAAGCATAACTCGGGCTCCATTATAGTTAGGAGTGTTCATTCAGTTGTTTTGTTCTGTTTGATTTCGTATTATTTTGCTTCGGTTTTTTATTATTTATAACTGTATATATCAGTTCAGTCCCATATACTCGCAGCAAAAATTATTGAAAAATGATAACAAATAAGTAGAAACATCAGAGTATTTGGTCAACATATGCAGGTATTAATAGCTTAACACTATTCAAGTAGAGAAAAGGAGCAAGTAGAACAAGAACAAGAACATACTGATCGAATAGAATCCAAATTTTCTCCCTTATGATGTGGATGTGAATCATCTAAAACACATAATGGCCAAGTTCAATGTGTACTCTTCATATGGGAAGTTACAGCATCAACAAAGGAAGCTCCAGACAGCATAGACGAGAAATCCAGAAAAACACAGCACTTCTCCTGTGTACAGAGCATTTCTCCCGTGCGTAGCAAGATCTGCCATTAAATTTCTCTTCAAAATTTTGCAATCAGTTCATCACTGAATTGGTATATAAAACAGTACTTCAACCATTTATGCTCTGCAGAGAAAGGAAATCAAGTGTTACAAAAAGAGACGGAACAAATAAAGCACAGGATAGCTCAACTAAAATCAGTAGAATAGTACAAGAACAGCTAGAACAAGGTGACCAGCACTGCCCACACCACAACCACAATTCTCAAACTAAGAATAATTATAATTAATCTTATCTCCCACCTTCTATATCTTGCCAACAAGAAAACCAAACCCACATGCAAACGCAATATTCAACACCAGAACCATGCAACTTCATGGTAGCAAGAATAATTAATTATGACAATCCTAACTTAGCTACACATAAAGAGACTTTCCAAATAAAAACGTTATGTGATAATAATCCGGTACCATGATTGATGAGTTATAAACTAGCCACAGCATTCAAAACTCAAATGGAAACTACGATCTTTAGATATAAATGCAGTCTATAATAGGACTATACAAAAGGATAAACAGTAACTCAACTCTAACACAAACAAGTTAACACAGATAGAATTCGGACCAGATTGAATGGAGAAGAAGAAAAAGAAAAGGAAATTCCCTACAGCAGCGTGATTGGAGACAACACAAACATGGCAAAGAGACTTAACAGCATAAGAAAATTAAAGAAAATGATAAGCAAGAAACCAAAGACCTTTTCGTCATTTCCCCATAAATCAATCTTATCACGTTATATAGACAGGAACCAAGCAATTACCTCGGAAGGAACTACAGCTGATTTTATTAACTACGAGAGAAACAAAATATATTAGTGAAAACTCGCAGCTAAAGGGGTATAATTATAAAATTAATACATAAATACAATAGATCAGCATAAGTGTGTTACCATGCATCCCTAACTAAAAAGACGAGTTGATCCTAGTCTATCAATTTAGATTGTTTACTGAAAATCATTTCATGGCATCAGAGGAAATGAATCTGTTGGATCAATCAAGGGTTAAATTCTATGTTTATATATCATCGAGGTTATCTATCTTGATCTACTACCATATGCCGTCATATGGTGTCATCTTCTTCAATGATATGCCTGTGTGTGCCATGAATGAAACAACAATTTCCACTTTCAAGAGGCACTACAACAGTTGCTTTAATTGCTTAAAACTAGAGTCAAGGATGAATTCACGCACGCCCTTAATAACAATCTAACCATTATGCATTCCTTGGCACCCAATGTTCCCATAACCTTGTGATCCATCCACAAAACACATTTGAATAGGCAGCAAAGTAAATCAAAAGCATGCTGCCAATATTAATTACTAGTGACTCAAACTAATTACTAATGATACAACAATAGAGTTAGTAACTATCATGTACCTCCACATAGTAAAATTCTTTGCTTTCGTTGTGCGTCATCATTTCAGCTCGTCATTACTATCATGATTGCAAAAACCTGGTAACTCCTTTACATCACTTTCCATCTGGTGAGACTTTGTAACACTTATCTACAGCGATTCTAAATGATAAACAATCCAAACCTCTTCTCTAAGACAACAAACCTCACAAGCCAATTCATCACACTCAAACTCAAGACTCAGATATCAACCAACTTGCCCAGTCGTTCTTTTTCTATAAAAACCTCCCCTCGTGATCCAACTATCCTTAAGACCAAATCAACATATACCGTAAGAAAGAAGAAACATGTCCAACGAGGAGGAATCTTCGATAGCATCAATTTTCTCTGGGTACAATATTCTTCTAAATGATATTTTTTTCCAGGGAACGAGAAAATAGAGAGAATCAGATTGCATAGGATGTATTGAGATCCTCTTATGTTAAACTATAAATGATCAAGTTCAAAATAAATGTGCATGTTGAAAATGGAAAGAATAAAATTATTTAATATTGTTCCTTTCATATAATCTTAATTGTTGAATCCAAAATGAATAGTGAGCATTGAGATCCGTTTTATTACTTTTAGAAAAAAGCTTCCGACAACAAGTATTTAGAAAAAAATTGTAAAGTCACAAAAAAGCAAAAGGCAACATACGTGTCTTTATCTCCTAGTTCGTATAATTAATTACACTACTAAATAATCAAAGAGATCAAAGTGCATGAATTTTGCCAACGAGTATCTAGTTAAATTTGCATTTGGAACTCATGTCTTCTTCCTTCAATAAGGTTTCATGTCGAGCTATTTCTTTATAACAAAAAACATAAAATAATAATAAAAAAAAAAACAAAAAAAAAGTAAAAAAGGTCTAAGATTTTGAATAACCAGTTGAATGGAATATGTAGAACTCATATACGAGGAGGGATGGCCATCATGCTAAGCCTGATGGTTAAAAAATACAAGCGAAATTTTAAAGATAGTTTATATATTTAAAGTGCAATAATTATTTAACAACTCCTTCAAGAAGATGGTGAAAACATTTTACAATTCGCATCTTAATACGCTTTAAATCAAATGGTTTTTCTCTTAAGAAAAAACAAAAGCATTCGCAAGACAATTTCCCCAAGGTCTCAAACGCAGTACATGCCCACTTAGGCTTAGGTGAAAAGGTAGAAAGTTCCTTTTTTTTCTTTTTAATTTAAATCCAACTTCCATTACCATCTGGAAGGAGACGTCAAGTTTTTTTTAAAAAAAAAAAAAAGAACAAGAATAATAGTAGTAGTAGTAGTAGTAGTAGTAGTAGTAGTAGTAATAAATAAGCACATCTATTTTGATAGAAAAACAGATCATGATGTGATGTAAACAATCTATTATACCTAAAATATAAATTCACAACTTACAACCATCTTATAATCAGAATTTTCAAAATGATAAAACTATAGGACAGGGAAAATAGAGGTTTGGATCACTCACACACACATATATATAGATTTCAGATGATTCTAAATTCATGTTATAGGAGAGAAAATACTAACCGTATTTTAAAGACACCTAATAAATAGATAGATAGATTTAGTTGTGCTATAACACATGAAAAATGGTTTAGCTCAATATGATACAAGGCCAATTTCCACATTTGCATTTACATAAAAAGTTACCACACTTTAATACTATCACAATTCACAGCCAAAGATGTGGCCAAGCTCCTCTTCATTCTGTTCAAATAATGCATTAAGCCATGGCCAATGTGAACAAATCTCACCTCAGTTGTTCTTGATAATGGTCAACTATTCAAGTTTACTGTCCATGTCAATAATGTAAATTTTAGGAAGCAGTTAATGACTTGATAAACAGAGGAAGCTCAACAAAAAAGAAAAAGGAAAACTGGAAATAGGTAAAGCCTTTTTTCATGCCTTGTACGGTGCCCCAAGAAATTCTAGTTGATGATTCTGCTATCACTTCTTCAACCACAATGGTACGTCAAGCAGTTCATCAATCATCTGCACTCTGCTGAGAGTGAAAAGCATATGGTTACAAGAAGTGCCAGAACAATTAAAGACAAGACAGCCAGATCAAAAAGGCCAACTCTGCCCTATTCCGTAACTGTACTTCTCACGATTACAATGGTAATAATGCAATAGCAACCACAAGCAATTGTCCGCACCACCACGATGCATCTTGATAACAAGAATTAATATAGTTCAAGATCGCATGGCAATACATACTACAAACAAACATATTCTGAATAAAACATGATGTAATCATGATTCAGTATACCAAAACTTTTTAAGTTATCAATAAGGCACAGAATAAAAAAGCGAAACTAAAACTTAATATTCATAACCAAATGCAACCTATAATGAACATATGCAGAAAGATCAAAGTAACTGACAGGCAGTTTGTCCAAGGCCCGGGAATGAGGCTGTCAAACAAGCAAGGAGATTAATACAAAATTAAAACAAAAGGAACCTCTCTACAATTCTGTGATTGGAGATCATACAAATCAATGCTGACAGACAAACCCGCACAAGGACATTAATACATGATAAGCAAGAAAAACTACCTTTTGGCCGTATGCCAAGCAATCAATCATAGCACAACTACATTAAGGAGAAAACAATTACCTTAGTAAGAACTACCTCCAACTTGCCACCTACGAAAGGAATGAGAATTCAATGAGAACTCAGAGAGAAAATTGTTAAAATTGCACCGTAGAAAGGAAACCAAGTAAATACAGTTTACAAAATATGATCAGATTCAGTACATCAGTAAAAGACATCACTGTAACATCTTAGCATGCATCTTCCTGAAAAAATTAGTTGATCCCAGTTTGTAAACCATCGAGTTTAATGAAAATCATTTTGTGACATCACAAACAGAACAAAAATGTACTCTGACACTGTAACTGGACGAAGGAGCAAAATGCATAGAGTACCATGATGCACGAGCATAAATTCATTTTTGCATCAGTTCACAATCAGGAAATAAATCTGTCGGATCTATCAAAGATTAAGTTACATAAATCCATAAAGAGCTGAGGCTATCCATCTTCTCTATCAGATCTTATGTGGGGATTGTTTCATCTTCTTTAATGGTTAAGTTTAAAGCATTGAATAGGCCTATATATGCCAAGAAGGCAACAACAATTTCAATTGTCAATGCGAAGCGCCATCAGCTGCTCACTAAACAACTATCTAACCATTTCGCATTCAAATACAACACTGCCAATTAAACTGCTACATAACTTTACAATTACACCATACTATATTTGCAAAACATATTTGAACCAAAAGTAAAACAAATAGAGCGCAATTTCAATTGTCAATGCCAAGCGCCATCAGCTGCTCACTTAACAACTATCTAACCATTTCGCATTCAATTACAACACTGCCAATTAAACTGCTATATAACTTTACAATTACACCATACTATATTTGCTAAACATATTTGAACCGAAAGCAAAACAAATAGAGAGCAATTTCAATTGTCAGTGCCAAGCGCCATCAGCTGCTCACTTAACAACTATCTAACCATTTCACATTCAATTACAACACTGCCAATTAAACTGCTATATAACTTTGCGATTACACCATACTATATTTGCTAAACATATTTGAACCGAAAGTAAAACAAATAGAGAGCAGGGTTTCAAAATTAATAGTGATAAAAAAAAAAAAAAAAAAAAGGAAAAGAAAAAAGAAACTGAGTAACCACAAGATACCTTCAAAAGGTTAAATTCGATCTCCTCATTGTTGCTCATCATTATAATCATAAACGCTCAGTAACTCCTTCACATCACCTTCCACCACAATAAGCTCATTGCGCTTCTCCCATGGCCATGGCAATTCTACACGACGAACAGCCCACACAATTTCTCTTAGACAACGCTGCTCATCAGTAAGTGGATCCTTAAGCCAATAAGCCACATTCCTCGGGTCGTTAAGCCATGTAAGCCAACCCTCATAAGTCCGCAAACTGGAAATCACATCAGCCAACTTGCCCATCACTTCTTGTCTCACAAATACCTCCCCTCTCGATCCGGGCCCCTGCATCTTCGCACTTGAAATCACCAAGTTCCTCAGCGTCTTCGGGCAATGAGGTAATATAGTATTAACACAGGAAAGATTTGTTTCAACAACGGCAGTATCCACAATCTGGGGCCTCAATTTCAGAGGCAATCCTCCGTTTGTGCTTGTACCTGACAAGAACCCAACTTCGAAAGCGACTGTTAATTCACAGTGCATATCATCATCATCATTATGACGGAAGAACTTCAACCTGGACATCTCTCCGTCTTGTGAAGACGGAGAAGGGCAAGGACAGAGCCTAAGTTCCAGAAACTTGATATTTGGAAACACCTTTATGATCCCAGGAATGGCTGCTTGTGGGATGTGGTGGTGTGATTGTAAGCATGGAAGAGAAGCATGATCCTCATCTGGATATGATAATCTGAGGGAGAGACTGTCAATTCTGGAGATGAGAGAATTCAGATTCTTCGAAACAGAGGAACAACAAATGAGGGTTTTAGGGTCTTGGATTTTTGACAAGATTGTGAGGATTAACTCTTCTGGTAATTTATTGAATTTGTCTGCTAACCTTGCAGATCTTCTCGGAGTGAAAACTTGATTTTGGGGTTTCTGGGCCTTCTTGGATCTTCCCATTTCTTGAAGATGAGAAGAAACCAGAGAGATTTTCAGAAGGAAATTGGAAACAATGCAAAGAGCGATTCTTGATTGCGGTAGGGCATCAATAGGTATGTTGTGGGCCTGCACACGTGGCACCCTTTACTATTTGAAGCACACCTGGAACTTGTTGATTTTTGTTGTTTTTTGTCTCCTGTTAAGACAACAACTTAGGTTCCAAGGGACCTACCTGTCTTATTTCTATAACAGAACATGCACACATAGGCAAACATATAACGGTTTATATCTAATTGTGTTTCCACACACAATATAGTTTCAAAAAACATTTAATAATGAGATCCAAACTCAGTATATTGGAAGCCTAGCATCTGGATTAAAAATAAATAAATAAAGAAATAACAGACATAAAGATTTTGAAAAAATTATAGAACATATACTCTCCACAAGATTGAGTTATTGTTATTGTAGAACACATCTAAAGTATAATAGTTTCAATAGCCAAGAAACTAATCATCAATTTAATTAATAAAAATCCAGTAAGAATTTAATAATTAGAAACCAAAACAAGAATAGAAAGACATAAAATATTGCAGTATAAAGTGAGAGGTTCTAACAAAACATGGAGCATTAAGAAGATCAATAGCAAAATGTAGAAGAACATAGCCCATTAAAAGAAATAGAAGAATAAAAAAACCTATAAATACAAGTTGTAACAATAGGAAAACACAACGTTGCATGTTAACATACGAACAAACTCAATTTGCAAATTATAAACAGCCTCTAAATTAAATACAATTTCAAATTTCAACCACACTTAAAACTTATTAGCCAATAACTTATAAGTAATAATCAAATAAGCTAATAGATTTTTATAATGTGATAGATTAGTTAATGGTTCTCGTCTTATATCAGTGGTTCATGATTATAAAGGGTTGGTATGTTTAGAGTATCGATTAACAAACACTCTTTGTCATTAGTTTTTGCGAGAGTACATGCTTAAATTTGTTACATTGATAATCTTGCAATCTTGTTTTTGTTTTTTTTTAGCATGCAGGTTGTTTAATCTTGTAATTTTCAATTTGAACTTATTGTTTTGGTTTCACAGTAGTTTAGAGCGTTTGAATTATTCGTTTAAAATCATTATAGTTGTGAGTGATCATCCTTACAAACTTGCAATCGATTAAACCATAGCTTCCAACCTACACTCCTACTCAACACAAAACTCATCCCATAAAGCCATTAGAGAAGTATTGAAATCCTGGTCCAACCACCAACAATTAAAGATTTGAAAGGTTTCCATCCCCAATTTATCTTTTCAGAACCCCAACAAATCGAACAATTAATGATTTGATAAATCTCAATTTAAAGCAACTAGTTTACAATCTGGATGCTTAAGCAAAAAATAAAGACCAGCAAAAGCTCTATCAATTCTGCTCACGGAACCAGTATGAAACCAAGTGTAGCAATGAGCCGTTAAAGAGTACTCAATCAGATTACAACTAGCAATGAATTCACTAAAAGCTTGAGAACCACTCATATTCAACAAACCACTCCTTCTATCACTTGCTAATAAAATTTCATTAAAATCTCCAATTAACACCCATGGAACATCAAAAGCATATTTAAGCAAGCAAAGATCCTTCTACAATAATTTCACAGTAGTTGTTTTGATTATCTTTTTTATTTTAAAAATTTTCAACGTATGAGTTTTATTTGACACATAGTAGTCCACTTGTCACTTTTGTTTGGAAAATTAGGTGCAATCCCATCAGATAAGCAATATTTAAAAAAAAAAATAGAGAGAAAATGGACTCAATAAATAAATAAATAAATAAAATAAAGAAGTTACATTAAAAAATTCTAAATAATGCAAGGTCGAATCTTGCAATTAATCCCAAGTTTCGTAGTCAGCCATATCGTAAATAGAAAAAGGCATAACAGTCGTTAAATATGTTCTTCTCATTGGTACGTACTGGCTGTAGACTTCATCAACCTCTGCATTCAAACTTGGAGGGGATCTCTTCAATAATCCAATTTGCCACATTTTTAGCTGTGTTATCAGTCGGATGAATTCCATCCCAAAAAATATGTTTTTGAGGCTCTGCACAAGATACGGATCCCGGCTGTCCACATAGTACTCTACCTTGCCCGCAGCAAAGTCCAGTTATTGTTTCATACCCTGTGAAACGATCGAAATTAAAGGTAAAGGTGATGAAGTAAAATATATATATAAACATTATATTTATTTTCAACATATATATGTGCAGTTTTAAAAATAGATTTCAAAGATGCTCACCATATTTTTGGAGATTGTCCATAATAGATTGCACTGCGTTATAATAATCTCCATATATTATAGATACACCAGGGTATTTCTTTCTCAAAATTTCCAATCCTGCTTGGAGCTGATCATTGTGATACTTGTATAAATCATTAACATCCGCTAAACAACCATGTGTGTCTTTCGTGTAATTCAATTTCCTGAACATTCCAAGAAAGCCTGGTGCACAACCCGTTGGGTAGGTTCCAGGGACCAAGACTCGAGTAGCACCATAACCGATGACTTGCTATATAATCAAGAACGCAATAATAAAATCAATTCAAGAATCAAATATCTTGTTAGCCAAGTAGAAATATATTAGACAAATCAGTTTAGCAATTGTATATATATAGATTAACTTACTTCTACGGCTTTCTGAATGGCTTCTACAACTGCAGACACCAACCCTATCTTCTTCATCTCCTCAGCTTTCTTAAAATGGAAGAATCCTAGGTTGTACTCGTTACTCCCGATTCCGATTATAAAAAGAGATGACCTGAGTTTTTCCTTGCAATCTGTTTGACAAAATCCTTTTAAATGTTCGTTGAACCATTGAAGTTGTTCGGTGAGAGAATTGTTAATGAATCCAGCCGAGATATTCAATTTCGATAGAACAACATTCAATGGTAATGCAGTAGCACCAGAAACTGCAAAATTCACTCCGTTGCGGGAGTCCGTTTCATGCGAATTCAAGTAGGTTTTGATAGATGGAAAACCAGCCGAGTTTGCTGCAAATGGAAGAGACATTAATTAATTTGGTTTCAAGGTGAAGAGAGTAAATAAATAAATAAATAACAAGAAGAATAAAAAGGCAGGATTGGTTCTTACCAATGTAGTCGATTGGTAGCAACCCATCAGAACATCTCCCGGTTATCTTGTTGATGGTTGTGCCATAAGGGGGATGGGATTGTGAAGCAGTAGGGTCTATATGAATAGCATTTCCTGTGTCTGAGTATGAATCCCCAAAATTATATATGGCATCAAACCCACAAATCTTAAGTCCTTTTGGTCCATTTCCATCAAATGAGCTCACACGGGACAAAAGAAGAACTACAACAGAGCTTACAACAATAAGAACTTGAGATGAAGCAACTTTGGTAGGAGCCATATGCATGTAATCGTTGAGGAGAATAATTAATCTTAAGTTGAATGGAATTGTTTCTTGCCACCTTCAAATTATATAAGCAGAGGAAGGCAAGTTGTTACCTATTTATGAGCATGAACAGAGGTTAACAAAATGTTTTAGCTGTTTAAAACTATAACATTTTCTATATTAAGACTTGAAACAGGCCTATTGCCATGGCCATTTCTGTGACAGATTAAGCACACAGCTAGGGCTACAAGACTAATGAAATTTAATCTGTTTTTTTTATCATGTGTTGCGGTTTCCTGGATTCAGTTAATTAAGTTGCTAATTATAGTGAAATATTTTAGAACAAATTCTGTTGCAGTTTTTTGTTCAAGGAAGACTTTTAGTTACAAGTCAGTATTATGATTTGGCATGCATAGTTATAACTTAATTCCAAGTAATTTTTAATCTATAGTTTGAGACGATCGACAATTGAGCATAATTTCTTAAAAATGAGAAGAAAGAAGAGAGATTTCTGAGAGGGAGGTTGAGAACGGAGAAAGTTCACATTCTTGGTTGCAGTAGGGCTGTAATAGGTGTATCGTGGGCCTACTTCCACATAGCAATCTATTTGGTACTTGAAGCACACATGAACTTGTGAGTTTAGGTTGTGTCTCGTGTTGATACAAATAATTTAGAGACAGCACGTCGAAGATGTGTTCCTTGATATACGGGCCTTGTTATGTTATTATAAGAAATTTTATAATACATTAGGAGTAACTCAGTGACATATACGATAGTTATTTCATGAGTCTATTTTAAAGACAGATAGACACACAAAAAAATAATGAAATTACATTCATGCCTATCAAAAGTAATAAGAAGATTTTTACTTACGCTCAAATTTTTTTTTTTTGTATATTTATCTCTTCGAAGTAAGCTCATTCGAGTAATTACTACATATGCCACTAGTTACTCCTAGTATATTATAAAATTATCGTATTATTATAATTATAGTATCTTTAAATTTATAAAACACTAAGATTTTTTTCATGATGTAAGGTATAGATTTGGAAGAAAAAACTTTAGGGTTTTGTTGGTTTAATTTAGAAATTTTTAAATATGTCCACGCAACAATATGAAACGAAATTATACCGAAATGACCAATAATTTTAAATAGTTGTTTTGATTACAATAACGATTGCCTAATTATACTATATATTAAAGTAAAACGTTTTTTTACTGTTCATTATTACCTTACTTTGGCTTTTTCTTTTTTTTTTTTTTGCCAACACCCGTTGGCCTCCCCCTACTCGTTATTGTTCATTTGAACAGTAAAGTCTTGCCCTCTTTTTTCTCTCTCTCTAAAAACTGAGTTTTTTTTTAATTTACATCCGTTTACTATTCACATGAACAGTAAACGCTGGCCTCTAAACATTGAATTTTTTTTATTTTCGTTTCTTAATAATATTGGGTGTTAAAATTTTAAAGAAATCAATAATTTATTTTCTTTATTATTTATTTCTAAAATTTAAAAACACAAATAAGAAGTAGTTAAATACAAATTTTCATTAAAAAATATAATTATTTTTTATCATAAAAAAATTATTAAACTGAAATAATTTTTCTTTATGATTTTATATATTTTATCCAACCCATAGCGTAGCGTGTCAAAAATCTAGTTTAACAACTAAAATGAAATGGTTGCGGCTATCGTGAACCATTTAAAAATCATGAAAAATTTTGAAATATATGTCAATTTGATATATATATGTGTGTGTGTCGCGCGCGCGCGCGCGAAATAAAAAAGTAAAAACATTATTAAATTTTTTAAATTATACACAGTAAAAAAAGATAAAAATATAATTCTAAAATTAGGCCCAATTATCACTTAAATAAAAAGAGTATGCCTGTTTTTATTGTGAATCCAATTATATAATGTGACCCAAAACTGGTTTCTGTGTTTAAGTGAAAGGCTCATGTGTCTTGTCAAAACATAGAATTTCTTTATGCCGCCTCCCTCTCTGTCTCTTCTTCTTCCTTAAAAATGCCTCTCTTTCTCTCTTTGTATCTTCTTTTTTCCTACAAACGATTCTTGCCCTGGTCTCTTCTTCTTTTCGATTCTTGTATTTTATACTTACAATAAAAATAATACGCCCATTTTTTATACCTAAAAATTCATTATTTTTTTGAGTTTTTTTTTTTAAGTTCCAGCTAATTTTTTTGGATAATTTATTTTGTTTCAAAAATTTTAACGCGTCAGTTTTATCTCACATATGATTTAACTTGTCGTTTATGTTTGAAAAATTAAACGCAATCCCTTACACTCTGTTTGGAATCCCTTATTTTGATGGAATTGAATTCAATTGGATAGAATTGAATCCAAATATCTCGTTTGGATATTTATAAACAATAGAATTGGGAAGAATAGAATTCATTTGAGGGCAAAAAATAAAGATTTCCGTACAGAAAGAATTCAACAAAAAAATGGTGTGATTTGTGTAGAATTCTATTGGTTTTCATGACTAAAAGTGGGTCTCATTCCCTCTAAAATAAGAAACCCATCTTTACCCTTACTTTATCACCCGGTAAACCCTAAAATCTGGTTCTTCTTCCCGCTAAAGACATTTTCCTATTTCCTTGCTGGGATATTTCTTCATCTTCTACATGTGATTTCAGTCAGAGGAGGGAAAAAGTCTATTTTGACATCCCCAAGCTGAGTGGAAACAAATACTATCTTTATCAATTATGAGATTAAAAAAAATAAAGATTTTCAAGATGAAAACGATAACAGCTAGGAAATTAGTTACTACAGAAAAATCTCTAGGCATATACAGTTAACTCAATAACTTTTAGTTTGATGAGCTGAAACCTGAAAATAGAAGAAAAGTTTGTGTTTCAGTTCATGCCCAGTTCAGCCCCTAAACCAATGGTTACAATTAGCATTTCGATTCTTTCTTGTGATGGAAAACTAGCAAGTTCAAAAGATAAAGCAACTGCAAAACTTAAGTCATCCAAACACCAATGAAACAATACCAACCCTTGGCAAATGACAAAGAAGAATCACGAGACCTTCAAAATTCAGCCTCTTGCATAGCATAGCCCTGATAAGCCAATGACAAATTCCGCACAAGCTTTAATTACAGTGTCTGGAAAATAAAGGATGTGTCAGATTGAACATTATTCTTGTGAGAGAATACAAGAGTACTGGTATAAGCTAGCTACATTGAACTAGATCAACGGGGTAATCCTAGAGGAAGCTAATATTGAGGCACAACATGAAGCAGAGTGAGAGACATACAAGCTTCCATAAAGAAAAAGTGAAACAAATTTATACATTTACTTGCTAAGCCATTTAAAGAAAAATATACATTTACTTGCTAAGCCATGTAACTACATCACCAACTTTACTAACTTTTTGTTAATATTGAAACCCAACTATAGGTGTATTGGGTTTAACTTAAATATATGCATTATTGTAAAGATATAGTTGTGAAGTTTATTATAATTAATATTACAGTCTTTGCATGCTTAATTCAAGTATGAAAATTATTTTGTTAATTAAGAGAAACCAATGTACTGACATTTGCTTTCTAGTAAACTAAACTTCAGTTTCAAGGAAGAGGAGGATTGTAAAGGAGTAGGAATATAGAAAAAGCATATTATGGTAAAGTTATAAAAATTTAATTCTTTCTCAAATTCTTCCAAACAAGAGAAATCAATTCAATTCTATTAATTATGTATTCATTCCAAACATATGAATTCTATAGTAAATGAACTGAATTGAATTCTACTTACTAAATTGAATTGAATTCCATCCTAGATTTGGTTCCAAACGAGGTGTTAAAGGGCTCACATTAAAAAATAATTAAAGAGAAAAGAAACTCAATAAATAAATAAATAAAATAGAAGGATCACATTAAGAAAATCTAAACAGTACAGAGTCCGAATCCTACAGATAATCCAAGTTTTGTAGTACAAGTGTTGCATGATGAGTAGCAAGCCATATCATAAATAGAAAAGGCATGTTAGTATATTCTTCTCATTGGAACCAGTTGGAAACTTCATCAACCTCTGCATTTAAACTTGGAGGAGATCTCTTGAATTAGCCTTTTTGCCACATTCTTATTTGTGTTTTGAGTCGGATGAACTCCATCCCAGAAAACATGTTTTTTAGGTTCTGCACAAGATGAGGATCCAGGCTGTCCACATCGTATTGCACCTGGTCCTCCGCAGCAAACTTCCGTCATTGTTTCAAACCCTGTGAAATGAAATTAAAGGTGATGAAGTTCAATATCTATATATATATATAGATATATATATATGTATACACATGACATTTATTTCAACGTCAAAAGACTTTCAAAAAATGGATTTCAAAGATGCTCACCAAATTTTTGAAGATTGTCCAGGATAGATTGCATTGCGTTATAGTAATCTCCATATATTATAGATACACCAGGGTATTTCTTTCTCAAGCTTTCCAAGCCTACTTGGAGATGATCATTGTGATACTTGAAGAAGTCATTGAAATTCTTTAAACAACCATGTTCATCTTTTGTATAATTCAACATCCTGAAAGATCCAAGAAAGCCTGGTGCACAACCAAATGGATAGGATCCAGGGACCAAGACTCGAGTAGCACCATAGCTGATGACTTTCTTTATAATCAAGAACGCAACAACAAAATCAATTCATATATCATGTTAGCCAAGTATAAATATATATATTATCCAAAAAATTAGCATTTATGTTTTTTACCAATTGCATTAACTTACTTCTATGGCTTTTTGAATGGTTTCTACAACTTCAGAAACCAACCCCATCTTTATCACCTCCTCAACTGTCTTCTTGGCAGGGAATAATGCTTGGCTGTAGTCATTAACCCCAATTCCGATTATAAAGAGAGATGACTTGAGTTTTTCCTTACAACATGTTTGACAAAATCCTTTTAAATATTCGTCGAACCACTGAAGTTGCTCGTTGAGAGAATTGTTAATGTATCCAGCCGAGATATTCAATTTCGGCAGAAGAACTTTTGGTGGTAACGCAGTGGCACCAGCAACCGCAAAATTCAATCCGTGGTGGGAGTCCTTTTCTTTCGAATTCAAGTAGGTTTTGATAGATGGAAAACCAGATGACTTTGCTGCAAATGGAAGAAACGTTAATTAATTTAGTTTCAAGGTGAAGAAAATTAAGAAAAAGAAAAAGGAAGGATAAAAAGACAGGATTGGAATAGTAAATAAACCCTTTCCTTACCAATGTAGTCGATTAGTAGCAACCCATCACAGCTTCTCCCAGTTACCTTCTTCATAGTTTTTCCATTAGGAGGTTGGGATTGCCAAACAGTACGATCTATATGAACAGCATTTCCTGTATCTGTTAATGAATCTCCAAAATTATATATGGCATCAAACCCACAAATCTTAAGTCCTTTTGGTTCATTTCCTTCAAATGAGCTCACACGGGACAAGAGAAGAACTACAACAGAGCTTACAACAATAAGAACCTGAGATGAAGCAACTTTGGTAGGAGCCATATGCATGTAATGGTTGAGGAGAATAATTAATCTTAAGTTGAATGGAATTGTTTCTTGCCACCTTCAAATTATATAAGCAGAGGAAGGCAAGTTGTTACCTATTTATGAGCATGAACAGAGGTTAAACAAAATGTTTTAGCTGTTTAAAACTATAACATTTTCTATATTAAGACTTGAAACAGGCCTATTGCCATGGCCATTTCTGTGACAGATTAAGCACACAGCTAGGGCTACAAGACTAATGAAATTTAATCTGTTTTTTTTATCATGTGTTGCGGTTTCCTGGATTCAGTTAATTAAGTTGCTAATTATAGTGAAATATTTTAGAACAAATTCTGTTGCAGTTTTTTGTTCAAGGAAGACTTTTAATTACGAGTCAGTATTATGATTTGGCATGCATAGTTATAACTTAATTCCAAGTAATTTTTAATCTATAGTTTGAGACGATCGACAATTGAGCATAATTTCTTAAAAATGAGAAGAAAGAAGAGAGATTTCTGAGAGGGAGGTTGAGAACGGAGAAAGTTCACATTCTTGGTTGCAGTAGGGCTGTAATAGGTGTATCGTTGGCCTACTTACACATAGCATCTATTTGGTACTTGAAGCACACATGAACTTGTGAGTTTAGGTTGTGTCTCGTGTTGATACAAATAATTTAGAGCTAGCATGTCGAAGATGTGTTCCTTGATATACGGGCCTTGTTATGTTATTATAATTATAGTATTTTTAAATTTATAAAACACTAAGATATTTTTCATAATGTAATGTATAGATTTGGAGAAAAAAAAATTTAGGGTTTTGTTGGTTTAATTTAGAAATTTTTAAATATGTCAACGCAACAATATGAAACGAAATTATACCGAAATAACCAATAATTTTAAATAGTGGTTTTGATTACAATAAAGATTGAGTAATTATATTATATATTAAAGTAAAACATTTTTTCACTGTTCATTGTTCCAATATTTTGACTTTTTTGTTAAGTTTTCATTTTTTTTTTTGCCAACACCCGTTGGCCTCCCCCTGCCCCCTACCTGTTACTGTTCATTCGAACAGTAAAGGCTTGCCTTTCTTTTTTTTTTCTCTCTCTCTCTCTCTAAACACTGAGTTTTTTTTTTTTAATTTCCAACAGTAAACGCTGGCCTCTTTTTTTTTCCCATAAACATTGAATTTTTTTTTTTAATTTTCGTTTCTTAATAATATTGAGTGTTAAAATTTTAAAAAAAACCAACAATTAATTGGGTGTTAAAATTTTAAAGAAATCAATAATTTATTTTCTTTATTATTTATTTCTAAAATTTAAAAACATAAATAAGAAGTAGTTAAATACAAATTTTTCATTAAAAAAATATGATTATTTTTTATCATAAAACAGATTATTAAACTGAAATAATTTTTTTTATATTATTTTATATATTTTATCCAACTCACAATATAGCGTGGGTCAAAAATCTAGTTTAACAACTAAAATGAAATGGTTGCGGCTAACGTGAATCATTTATCAATCATGACAAATTTTGAAATATATGTCAATTTGATATTTTTATTAAATAAATAAATATATATGTATATATATTTGTGCAATAAAAAAGTAAAAACATTATTAAAATTTTTAAATTATACACAGTAAAAAAAGATAAAAATGTAATTCTAAAATTAGGCCCAATTATCACTTAAATAAAAAAGAGTATGCCTATTTTTATTGTGAATCCAATTATATAATATGACCCAAAACTGGTTTCTGTGTTTAAGTGAAAGGCTCATGTGTCTTGTCAAAACTTAGAATTTCTTTATGCCGCCTCCCTCTCTGTCTCTTCTTCTTCCTTAAAAATGCCTCTCTTTCTCTCTTTGTATCTTCTTTTTTTCCTACAAACGATTCTTGCCCTCGTCTCTTCTTCTTTTCGATTCTTGTATTTTATATTTACAATAAAAATAATACGCCCATTTTTTATACCTAAAAATTCATTATTTTTTTGAGTTTTTTTTTTTTTTAAGTTCCAGCTAATTTTTTTGGATAATTTATTTTGTTTCAAAAATTTTAACGCGTCAATTTTATCTCACATATGATTTAACTTGTCGTTTATGTTTGAAAAATTAAACGCAATCCCTTAAGGGCTCACATTAAAAAATAATTAAAGAGAAAAGAAACTCAATAAATAAATAAATAAAGTAGAAGGATCGCATTAAGAAAATCTGAACAGTACAGAGTCGAACCCTACAAATAGTCGAAGCTCAGTAGTACAAGTGTTGCATAATGAGTAGGAAGCCATATCATAAATAGAAAGGCATGTCAGTGTATTCTTCTCATTGGAACCAGTTGGAAACTTCATCAACCTCTGCATTTAAACTTGGAGGAGATCTGTTGAATTAGCCTTTTTGCCACATTCTTATTTGTGTTTTGAGTCGGATGAACTCCATCCCAGAAAACATGTTTTTTAGGTTCTGCACAAGATGAGGATCCAGGCTGTCCACATCGTATTGCACCTGGTCCTCCGCAGCAAACTTCCGTCATTGTTTCAAACCCTGTGGAATGAAATTAAAGGTGATGAAGTTCAATATCTATATATATATATATATACACACACACATGACATTTATTTCAACGTCAAAACAGTTTCAAAAAATGGATTTCAAAGATCCTCACCAAATTTTTGAAGATTGTCCAGAATAGATTGCATTGCGTTATAGTAATCTCCATATATTATAGATACACCAGGGTATTTCTTTCTCAAGCTTTCCAAGCCTACTTGGAGATGATCATTGTGATACTTGAAGAAGTCATTGAAATTCTTTAAACAACCATGTTCATCTTTCGTATAATTCAACATCCTGAAAGATCCAAGAAAGCCTGGTGCACAACCAAATGGATAGGATCCAGGGACCAAGACTCGAGTAGCACCATAGCTGATGACTTTCTACATAATCAAGAACGCAACAACAAAATCAATTCAAATATCATGTTAGCCAAGAAGAAATATATATATTAGCCAAAAAATTAGCATTTATGTTTTTTACCAATTACATTAACTTACTTCTATGGCTTTTTGAATGGTTTCTACAACTTCAGAAACCAACCCCATCTTTATCACCTCCTCAACTGTCTTCTTGGCAGGGAATAATGCTTGGCTGTAGTCATTAACCCCAATTCCGATTATAAAGAGAGATGACTTGAGTTTTTCCTTACAACATGTTTGACAAAATCCTTTTAAATATTCTTCGAACCACTGAAGTTGCTCGTTGAGAGAATTGATAATGTATCCAGCCGAGATATTCAATTTCGGCAGAAGAACTTTTGGTGGTAATGCAGTGGCACCAGCAACCGCAAAATTCACTCCGTGGTGGGAGTCCTTTTCGTTCGAATTCAAGTAGGTTTTGATGGATGGAAAACCAGATGACTTTGCTGCAAACGGAACAAACATTAATTAATTTGGTTTCAAGGTGAAGAAAATTAAGAAAAAGAAAAAGGAAGGATAAAAAGACAGGATTGGAATAGTAAATAAACCCTTTCCTTACCAATGTAGTCGATTAGTAGCAACCCATCACAGCTTCTCCCAGTTACCTTCTTGATAGTTTTTCCATTAGGAGGTTGGGATTGCCAAACAGTACGATCTATATGAACAGCATTTCCTGTATCTGTTAATGAATCTCCAAAATTATATATGGCATCAAACCCACAAATCTTAAGTCCTTTTGGTTTATGTCCATCAGATAAGCTCACATGGGACGAAAGAAGAACCACAACAGAGCTTATAACAACAAGAACATGAGATGAAACAACTTTAATGGCAGCCATATGCATGTAATGGCTGAGGAGAATAATTAATCTTTAGTTGAATGAAATTTGTTTCTTGTCACCTTCAAATTATATAGGCAGGGGAAGGCAAGTTGTTACCTATTTATGAGCATGAACAGAGATGAAACAAAAGGTTTTAGCTGTTCTAAAACTGTAACATGCTAACTTAGGACTTGAAACAGACCGGTTGCCATGGCCATTGCTGTGAGATTAAGAACACAACTAGGGCTAAACAACTAAAGAAAATTAATCATCTTTTTTATCATGTGTTGGAGTTTGCTGGATTCAGTTAATTAAGTTGCTAATTATAGTGAAATGTTTCAGATCAAATCCTGTTGCAATTTTACTCGACTAGAGGCATTATGACATTTTCTGTTTAGTTGGTTTTGATTAGTCTGTATTTTCATTCATAAATAAATAAATAATAATAATAATGATAATGATATTTAATCTTTTTTAAAAATTCCTTTAGCACTTAATTTTATCTGGTTGAAGAGACATAGACAAAAATATATTTTTATTTGTCTTCGTGAACAAAAATCCATTTAATTAAAAAATGAGACTTTTTTATCCATCATGTATTATTAATTATTCAACAATGAAAATTAGAGTCATAAACAATAAAATCATCTAAACTTTTTAAAACTAATTATTAATTTTTTTTTCGAAATTAATTTTAATTCTTCAAAAAAATTAATAATTTAATTTTTTTTAACTAAAAGAATATATTATTTAAATGCATAAATAATAAAATCATATAAACTTCCTTAAAAACTAAATATTATTTTATATATATATATATATATATATATATATATATAAAGAATTATTAATTTAGTCGTTTGGTTTTGGGCTTGATTTGAAGGGCTAGAATTTTGGACTAATATAGAGTATCTTTCCGGCCCAAATAGGCCCATTTCTGCTCTGAAATTCTTCTTTCCAAACTGCAACTCTGCAACCTCAAGACAAGACCACTTGAAAATGCAAGGGCAGGGACAGAAGTAAACAGGCAACAAACCTTAAGAACTACACAAAATGCCACCCCAACCGCCACCGCCACCATCAAAACCCCTTAAACCCTACTTCTTCTACGGCCACCGTAGACCCTCTCAAAACCGGCCAGTAGTCCGCGGCGGCCTCTTCACCAACCGTCAAATCGTCAAACAACAACCCCAAAAAGTCCCATCACCCCTTTCAAGCCATTCGATCTCCAAAAATGGGACCCACAACAAAACCTACCCCACCAATCACCACCGTCGAAATCACGACCACCACAGTCACGACACTCGCTCGCCCTCGCCCAACGCCTCTCCCCCATTGCCAGGTTCATCCTAGACGCATTCCGTAAGAACAGGAACCAGTGGGGCCCAGAAGTGGTAACAGAACTCGGCAAACTCCGGAGGGTGACACCGGACCTGGTGGCCGAAGTGTTGAAAGTCGAAAACAACCCTCAGTTAGCGTCCAAGTTCTTTCACTGGGCAGGTAAACAAAAAGGTTTTAAGCATACCTTTGCCAGTTACAATGCTTTTGCTTATAATTTGAATAGAAGCAATTTTTTTAGAGCTGCTGATCAGTTGCCTGAATTAATGGATGCACAAGGGAAGCCACCGACTGAAAAACAGTTTGAAATTTTGATTAGAATGCATTCTGATGCAACTAGGGGACTTAGAGTTTACTATGTGTATCAAAAGATGGTGAAATTTGGGGTTAAACCACGGGTTTTTTTGTATAATAGGATAATGGATTCGTTGATTAAGACACGGCACTTGGATTTGGCTTTATCGGTTTATGAGGATTTTAGGAGGGATGGATTGGTGGAAGAGAGTGTTACTTACATGATTTTGATAAAAGGGTTGTGCAAGGCCAGGAGAGTAAAGGAAATGATGGAGGTTTTAGGGAGAATGAGGGAGAATTTGTGTAAGCCAGATGTTTTTGCATATACAGCGATGATTAGAGTGTTGGTAGGGGAAGGGAATTTGGATGTTTGTTTGAGGGTTTGGAACGAGATGAAGAGGGATGGAGTGGAGCCGGATGTGATGGCATATGTGACTTTGATTACGGGGTTGTGTAAAGGAGGGAGAGTGGATACGGGGTTTGAGGTGTTTAAGGAGATGAAGGGGAAAGGGTTTTTGATTGATAGGGGAATTTATGGGGCTTTGGTTGAGGCATTTGTGGAGGATGGAAGGATTGGGTTGGCTTGCGATTTATTAAAGGATTTAGTGGATTCAGGGTATAGGGCTGATCTGCGAATTTATAATTCACTTATTCAAGGATTTTGTAATGTTAAGAGGGTTGATAAGGCTCATAAGCTTTTTCAGGTTACCGTTCAGGAGGGTCTGGAACGGGATTTTAAGACTGTGAATCCTTTGTTAATGTCTTATGCAGAGATGAAAAGGATGGATGACTTTTGCAAGCTTCTTAAGCAAATGGAGAAGTTGGGTTTTTCTGTCTTTGATGATCTCTCCAAATTCTTCTCATTTGTGGTTGGGAAGCCAGAAAGAACTATGATGGCCTTGGAAGTGTTTGAAGACTTAAAAGTGATAGGTTATAATAGTGTGCCTATCCACAATATACTTATGGAGGCTCTCCTCAAGGTTGGGGAGGTGAAAAGGGCACTGTCACTTTTTGGTGAAATGAAGGACTTGAATGAACCTGACTCAAAAACTTATAGCATTGCAATTATATGTTTTGTAGAAGATGGAAATATCCAGGAAGCCTGTGTTAGTCATAACAAAATAATTGAGATGTCTTGTATCCCTTCTGTTGCTGCCTATTGTTCTCTTGCTAAAGGGCTTTGTGATAATGGAGAGATTGATGCAGCTATGATGCTAGTTCGTGACTGCTTAGCCAGTGTTGAAAGTGGGCCCATGGAGTTCAAGTACAGTCTCACAATTAACCATGCTTGTAAAACAGGTGGTGCTGAAAAGGTGATTGAAGTGCTAAATGAGATGATGCATGAGGGTTGTAGTCCCAATGAAGTTATATATTCTGCTATCATCTCTGGTATGTGCAAGCATGGGACAATTGAAGAGGCAAGAAAGGTGTTTACGGATTTGAGACAGCGTAAACTTTTGACCGAAGCAAAGACTATTGTGTATGATGAAATATTAATTGAACACATGAAGAAGAAGACGGCTGACTTGGTACTGGCAGGACTGAAGTTTTTTGGTCTAGAATCAAAGTTGAAAGCAAAGGGCAGCACGCTTCTGTCAAGCTGAACAGTTATTTACTTTACCTGTTTGATTGGATCACAACCAAATATAGCATTTATAAATAGCACAACAATTTGAGAGAGAGGATTCTGCTTGCTATTCGTGCACATGCAAATGTTATTCATGCCCTAACATACAAAACATGTTGCTTGCAGTTACATCAGTGGAACATGGATCATGTGTTGCAGGATAAGGTTCTGATGCCCATTAGTACAGGCATCGTGATGAATAACACTCCTCAAACTGGTGGACCTGGAGTCAAGATCTCACTTGGATCTGCATGCTTTTGCAACACCAAATAAGTAAGTTCAACTCTCAAGCATGCCTTATATTCATCATCAAGCAATCAGGTCATGAAATGCCTGCAAAGTCATTCCTTTTCTTGACACTAATCCCCTCGACCGCACAGTACTTGGTTAGCCCCTTCCAGTTTTACTACCTTGTGCACTTGTTGTTATACACGGGAAAAGAATGTGATTTTGTAAGATAAAAGAAGATAAATTTCATAGAACTTCTGGTCTGGGAGCATTTGATAGGTAATTGTCGGTACCTGGTTGATTAAATGATCTAATTTATCATCTTCTTTATGTTGACACTTGCCTCTTGATACCCTGCAGAGTCATTGTAAACTGCATCCTAGTTTACAAGGCACAGGAAATACTATGATGTGATGCTTGAAGGAAACTGGGTAGTGCTTATGGACAATGAGAAGAAAGAGGAGTCATTTGAGTAGTACTTTATATGGTTAAATCAAGAGTTTGTTGATTGATTGATCAGTACCAGGGGCAGTTCTTAGAGATGCAGACTTGTATAGATCCAAAAGTATGAGGAACATTTCTTTCTCGTGCTAGGTTACTGTCACTATGGAGAGGAATGCTGAATTTGGTGTGTATTATCATTGTGGGACTTGCAAAAAGACCGTTTTCAGTTTCAGAATAGGAGAGGCCAGCATAAAAGGAGCTGAATGAATGCAGTAATCTGCTCATAGGGAAGCCTTTTTAAAGAAGATGCTGTTTGTCTGTTTCTGTTACTTTTTATAGAAAGGAAAGCCTATAGAGGGTAGCTGGTGTGGTCGAGAACACCATCAGGTCAAGGACAATTATCAGATGGATCTTCTTATCCAAAAGTTCCTACATTTATAAAGGTTTTGAAGGATAAGTCATCCAAGTTTTAATTGCTTTTAACACAATTTGTAGCTGATATGGGGATCAAGTTACCGAAGTAAAATGAGGTGCATATTTGCATGAAGTGTGAAACAAATTCTTCTGTCACTGGCTCTATTACTTCAGTAGCTTGTAGAGCTCCATTCTCGCTTTACGATTTCAGATATGCATGGAACATTTCAACAATTTGAAGATGGTCAAGATCCTGTCACCGCCAAATTTGGTGGTGTTTACTGATTTGACGACTCCCCTTGCTCTTAAGAATGTTCTTCTCTGAAGATGAACTGTCATTCTTGGAGTCGCTTTTCTGCTAATGTGTAGCAGTGAAGCAGCCATGTATTATTGTAGGTAATTAATTTTGTGAGTGGTAATGAATGGTGGAGTGCTGAAGACTTTAAATATTTTTATGAGGACTTGTTCTGTTATGCATTTCGAAGAAAACAAGTGCTAGAATACCGCCCGGGGAAGTTGCAAAAGCTTAGATCAAGCGAGAAACCTCTTTTTCTGTGATTTACAAGTTGGTTTATAGACATCAGATGAGAATTTAAGATTTTTGTTTCCCTCCCCGTGGGCAAGTCTTCTGAGGCTATTCGAAGCTTCTGGTGCAACCGTGTAACGTTAGCAGGCCTAGGGATACCAGTACTGCATCAACAAAGATCTGAAAATTTATCTTTGTTATGCTGGAGTGCCAACCAAGTGTTACCTGTGGTGTCAGACTCAGTTCACTGAAGCATGATTAGGCAGAAACTTGATTTTGATTTTTAGCAGATGATGAGGTTGGTTGTATAGCCTTCTTCCCAAGTTTTCTACAGCTTCATCTGACCTACAATTGTACTTTTGTTTGTAATCTAAACAATTTCATGCTGAGTTCGTATTGGCATATGTAAACAATTTCTATAGCTCCATCTTCTGACCTACAATTAAACTTTTGCTTTCCTGCAAGGCACTCTAACAATCAATCGAAACTCCTATGATTGATTTCTTGAATTCTTATCTTCATCTGGTATCAGGTGTCGTATCTATGCCCTATGAGATTGGTCCTGCTCAAAATGAATTAGCATACAATTTTTATTTTTATTTTTTATTTTTTTAAAAAAAGAAACTAAGGCTGTACATGCATGTTAATTTCTGAAGGAAATTAGCTTTAATGGGTCTTAATTGCTTGTTGAAAAAATTGGCAGAACAGTTGTAATGCCCATAAAACCAAGAAATGACTTAAATGGGTTTTTAAATGAGGGGCATTAGGGTAATTTAAAAGAAAAGAAAAGAAAGAAACAAAAGGGAAGAATTGGCAGAAACCAAAGGACAGAAGAACGGGAGAGGGAGAAGAGAAAGAAAAAGAAGAAGAGAAGGAAAGGAGAAGGAAGGAAAGAAAGGAAGCTGCCGGCGACCACTCACTCCGGCGATAGCTCCAGCGACGGAAGTGGTTGAGTGACTCAGGTAAGAAGAAGAAAAATAAGGATAAAAAGAGGTGGAATAAGGAAGAAAGAAAAAATTTATCAACTTAGTTTTTGAATTTTTTTTTTAATGTTTTAATTAATTATAACCTTAACTAGGATGGATTATAGATAATTTAGTGAATTTTATTTTGAATTAAGAATTAGAATTATGAATTAGGTTTGATTAAAATTAGGATTTATGTTAGTTTAGGAAATTTGGGAAAAGTGAGTGAGTGGGTTAATTAGGATTCAATTAAGCTTGAATTTTAATTTATTTGTATCTTATTATTATTATTATTGATAAATGTAAATTTATAACGATAGAGGTAAGAGAGGATTTGGTGGAAGAAGCTACTTAAGGAAGAGATAATTACAATTTGGGGTGTTCCTCTAGATTAGAGGTAAGTATAACATATATTATGAGTCTTTACTATCATATATGTATATATTGCTTGTGAAGTGAAAAAAAATTGATTGTATGGATAAATGCATCATTAGTACAAATAATTATATATGAGTTGAATTAATTTAGTATGGATGTTCTTACCATAAGCTAAATGAATTGATTTGGTATGTTGCCTTATGAATTGTGGTTGTTAAAGAGAATTTTGATACATTGAATGGTATATGTGCATGTCGATATGATGATCACTTGCATTAAATGGAATTGTGTGATTGATATGTACTCGATTGAGAATAATGATATTGATGACTTGAAAGAAAGTCTATGCGGGACTAACTAAGCTAACGAGGCTATAGTTAGCCTAGGTGCACCTAGTATTGCGGCTAGGGAATGGCCACGAGTGCTTCCCTCGCAGTTCATTCCTGTGGGGGCCATAGTTTACCTTTTTGAGGCCTAGAGTTTACCCATGCGGAGGCTATAGTTACCCTTTTGAGGATTAAAAGAATAGATAGTTCTACATAGAGTGATTTCAAGTAATTGTTATGCTATTTTTAATTGTTAAGAAAGAAAGAAAGAAAAAGAAAAAGTTATTGGTTGTTTGCTTGGTTGCAAATCATGTATGATAAATGCATTGTCATAATTATATGTATAGCGATATATAATATGTGTTCTCGCTTATCGAGTTTTGAAAACTCACCCCCCAACCTTAAATGTTTTGTAGATAATATGAAGCTAGATAACGGATACGTAAGCTAGATCATAGAGGAGGACGATAGATTTTTTGGATTTGAAGGTACTACCCGGATATTATTTTACTTCCTTCGGGTATAGGACATGGTTGTTTCAAATTTATACTCATTATCCATTTTTGAATTGTAATTAGTCATTATATATTTTATTTCACCTAGTTGCTCCGTCGGTAGCATCACCAAATCCAGGGATAGCTAGTTAAGGGTCTCTATGTTTCGTATTTGGATGGTTAAATGGTGATTTATGAATTTTTTTATGTTAAATATTGGATTATGTGTTTATTAGTCAATTTAGTAAATACTAAGATTTATGAGGAAGTGTGGATATCCAATGGAGGGACTTGATGATGATTGAGAATTGATGAAGATAATTTGAAAGTGTATATTGTCACGACCCGAACCGGCGAGCCGCGGATCGGCACGTAGCCCGGGGTGGGTTGACCCACCACGAGCTACGTAAGCCTTAATCCTTTCTCTATTTCCTATAGAAATTTCGATAGCATTTCCCCTATAATTGAAGGGTCTCAAAAATAATATACATCCGACATAAAAATCATAATATATGTACACTTTCAAATCATCTTCACCAATTCTCAATCATCATCAAGTCCCTCTATTTGGACATCCACACTTTCTCATAAATCTCGGTATTTACTAAATTGACAAAAATACACATAATCCAATATTTAACATAACCAAATTTATAAATCACCATTTAACCATCCAAATACAAAACATGAAGACCTTTAACTAGCTATCTCTCGGATTTGGTGATGCTACCGACGGAGCAACTAAGTGAAATAAAATATATAATGACTAATTACAATTCCAAAATGGATAATAAATACAAATTTAAAACAACCATGTCCTATATCCGGAGGAAGCAAAATAATATCCGGGTAGTACCTTCAAATCTAAAAAATCTATCGTCCTCCTTCTATGATCTAGCTTACGTATTATCTACAAAATATTTGAGGTTGGGGGGTGAGTTTTCAAAACTCGGTAAGCATAACATATATTATAAATCGCTATACATACAATTATGCCAATGCACCTATCATACATGATTTGCAAGCAATCAATAACTTTTTCTTTTTCTTTCTTTCTTAACAATTAATAATAGCATAACAATTTCTTGAAATCATTCTATACGGAACCGTCTATTTCTTTGGCCCTCAAAAGGATAACTATAAACTCCAGCCCACGAGGGTAAACTCGAGGGAAGCATCTGCGACCATTCCCTAGCCGCTAATACTAGGTGCTCCTAGGCTAACTATAACCCCGTTAGCTTAGTTAGTCCCGCATAGAATTCTTTCAAGTAATCAATCTCATTATTCTTATTCGATACATAGCAATCACACAATTTCATTTAATGCAAGTGATCATCATATCAACATGCACATATACCATTCAATGTATCAATATTCTCTTTAATAACCACAATTCATACGACAACATACCAATTCAATTCATTTAGCATATAGTAAGAACACCAATACTAAAATAATTCAACTCATATATAATTATTTATACTAATGAAGCATTTATCCATACAATTATTTTTTTTCACTTCACAAGCAATATATTCATATATGATAATAAAAACTCATAATATGTGCTATACTTACCTCTAATCTAGAGGAACACCTCAAATTGTAATTGTCTCTTCCTTAAGTAGCTTCTTCCACCAAATCCTCTCTTGCCTCTATCATTATAAATTTACATTCATCAATAATAACAATAATTAGACACTAATAAATTGAAATTCAAGCTTAATTGGACCCTAATTAACCCATTCACTCATTTTCTCCAAATTTCCTAAACTAACATAAACCCTAATTTTAATTAAACCTAATCCATAATTCTAATTCTTAATTTAAAATAAAATTCACTAAATTACCTATAACCCATCCTAATTAAGGTTATAATTAACTAAAACATTCAAAAAAAAATTCAAAAACTAACTTAATAAATCTTTT